GAAATTCGACATGGGTACTTCCAACAGGACAATGCAACAGCTCACAAGACAAGGGAAACTATGGGTCGAATTCACGAGTTTTATGATGATCGAGTTATTCAATTTCCGGCTCGAAGTCCGGACCTGACAATTCTAGATTATTTCATTTTCCCATATCTCAAAAACACCGTTTTTAAAAATAACCCGCACAACCTTGAAGAACTGCAAGAGGCAATTTCTAATACATGTAACGCTGWAACCCCTGAGATATTGGAAAATGCATTTGAAAATATGAAACGGAGGGTTAACAATTGTATTGCAGCTGGGGGGGAACACTTTGAACATTTTATGTAATTCGCAATAAAAACGCATTCGTTTCAGTGTTTTCATTTCCTTTAAATTAAAACGATTGAATATCAGATCCACAAACGTCACAAAGTTAACCACAACCTCAAATTTATTCAATCAGTCAATTGGCATTCTGGGCAATCGTATAAAAAAAAACCCGCCTGCTTTAATTTATTTTTTAAATGATCTCATGGTACTAGGAATATGCAAAAAATGTTTATAAAATTTTGTCTGTCAAAAAATTTTGACATTTATTTTTTCACATTTAACATTTTTTTATGTCTATTTAATGATACTGATGATCTTATATATGTTTTTTTTTACAATTATTTAGTAAAGGTACAAACATTTTGTCAATAATAGCCACAAATAACATTGAACAGAGTTACAAATTAGGATACAGCTACCTTGTTTCCTCTTGTAATAGCCTATAGCAAAAATACTTGGAAAATTATTTTTTTAACCGAAATAAATAGAGTCAAAGTGCAAAATTTAAACCCTCATAACTTCGAAATTTTTTTAGATAAAATTTTTTCCATGTTCCTAGTGTCTTACTTTATATGGCATTTTTCTCTGGGGCGCGAGTTCTGGCGCAACCTGTATAAAGAAACATGAATATTTTGAGTTTTAAGTTATATCAAAAATGCTTTTTATTGGTTGTAGAGGCGTTGTCCCTGCAGAATTTCTGCAAATGTAAGTGTCAAGCACGGGTATTAAGCGTTTCTCCGGTCGCCACCCCTCGTCTATATCATAAATCATGCCATATTAGCGTTTAGGAAAAAAGCTTTTGTTCGCTGAACTTCCAGGTCAAACGAATTCCCCCGTCTTGCTAAAATAATTACCAAATACGCGTGTAATTATTTCGAAACGTCCTGAGCATAAATTTAGCAAAACTCGTTGATTTCAAACAATCACGTCGAAAATGCGTCGAATGGGCCGTTTGCATGCGGATGTAGGGTTGATTTTCCCTCTCCGGTGGGTCGTCCAGAAGGTGGTGCTAGACCCTGGAGTTACAGTATCATATTATCGACCTGCGCCAAGAGTAGACGCATTTAGTCTCTAACTAGACTGATACGTTTAGAATTGAGATACATTTACCAAAATGGCTACCTGCCCCCCGAATAAATTTATTACTATTTCAACGTCTCGGGCCGGTGCTCAATCAGCGACTTTATCACTTCTCCGAATTATTAAATTGATTTAAAACTCGGCTTCAGGTCGATTTCGGCGAAGTTTTCATCCCTCCAAACTTAGAAGTACCCAAACCTCGAGTTCTTCCGGAATTCAAACGACTAGCTCACGGCCTGCGCTCAGACAATATTAGCATTTTAGATGCCAAAACTTTTTACATTCCGAATTTGCATTACGACGGGGCTGGACCCGATGCCTACTTCTGGGTGGGCAACGGCAGCGAACCCTCGCCTTTCGGGATCAAAGTGCCCAACGAAATGGGCTCTTTAGACCCATTGAGGGGCTACCAAGGTGAAGACATCGAAATCCAGCTTCCTGGATCCATCACGGTCTATGATATCGACTGGCTGGCCGTCTGGTGCGTCCAATACCGACACAATTTCGGACACGTCATCATCCCCAAAGACCTCGACGTCCCTCCGGCTTTAGGCCAAACCAAAATCTCGGTAAGTCTCACGAAAATACCTAAAAACATCAAATACCTACAGTTTGTTCCAATAGCCGCCCTGGTGGTATAATCCCGTAAGTACGCCAAAAACCAGTTTTAGTCAAGTAATGTTTGTTTTAATTTTAACACTGCTTTCATTGTTCTAAACAATGTGAGTAAGCTTGGAGTGAATTAACAAATGTTATGACTGTTTCATTCTTTTGTTTTCTATTTGTGAAGACGAGCACTTCGAAGCCGTCAAGTCCTGCGAATTGTCAAGAGTTCTTAGACAAACGGTTACAAGTACGATGGGAAATGAGAGGAGATTACGTTCAAATCACACTGGCAGCGAAAATCCGTGAAGATCAATACGTCGCGTTTGGACTTTCGGGGGCTCCCACCAAGTCGCAAATGGTAATTAAATTTACGGTTAATGACTTTATCGAAACATTGTATGATAGAAAACGTATTATAAAATTGTACACTTGTCCACGTAAGCTTCTAGACTTATTATTACTCAAACTACTTTGCTTTCCTTTGTTGAGATTTATATCTTGATTATATATTATCAGCACATGATTCTTGATGAAACCGTTAGTGGGATTTAGAATTGCCGGAAACATTATTCTGGTTTTAAATTTCCTTTGAAATTATTAAACCTTTTAATACAGAAAACTATTTTTATCTGTCATTCGCGCCATTGTGTCTATTTTCACGCAAATTGTTAACAAATGGTTTCAATGAATTTTAAAAAACTGCAAGACTGCTTTATTATCATATACCCAGTGAGTTGAGACAATTTCTTCTCAGCTTTTATTTAATAATAAAATTTTACTTAAAATTTGAAATAAATAAACATTAAATAAATCTAGAATTGCTACTTTCATAGGTCCTACGTATTTAAAAATTATTGAAATTAGCAATTACAATTATTTTTTATTTTAAAATTAAAATATACAAAACAATAAAATTTCGATTTGAATTACACAAAATTACAAGTTATACAGATGTACCTACCTAATAAAAAAAAAATAGGAGAATTAATTATACGTACAGGTGATTTAAAAGTATCGGACCATCTCTTGGGTGGTGATAAAGAACATCCCTCTGAGTAAAAGTTTATATTAAAAAAATTGTTTGAGTTTTTTTTCACAAGATCTCTACAAAGATTACATTTTGGATTAAGTTTTTGGCCGTTCTGATTATGTAATTTTGAATCACCAATTTGTAAACATTTAACAAACTAGCAAATTTAACAATAAATTAAATCTAATAACATCGGAAACAAAAAAACTAAAATGCTTACATGATAATATGAAAATTAACAGTTTTGTTTTTTTTTCAAAAAAAAGCTTGAAACAAAAATCTGTATTCGTTTTTGTGCTTAGCTGAAAGTCTTCTATCACCATTCGAGAGTTGGTCCGACATTTTTGAATCAGCCTCTATAATAACGTAACAAATTCTTTAAAAAATAATTCAAATTTTAAGGATTTCAAACAAATATTTAAGTTTTTGCCAAATGGATAAAAATTTCAAATTCAAAATATTAAAAATCAACAATTTGAATATAAAATAGATATTGTTATAGGTACTAGAAGATTTTGAAAAATGTGAAACTGAAATTGAAACGATGTTTTAATGTCTCTGAAAATTAAGTTCATAAACGTGAATCAAAATTCAAGATCTTAAAACACGATGAAAGTTAAATATTAATTAATAATAATTTGTTAAGCTAGATGTATAGTTATCTATTTTTATTTTCTCATTGTACAATATGGTCGCTAATTACCCTCGTGGTAGATGCGGTCTATATCTTTTTCTAATTAAAAAAAAGTTAAATATGTGTGTGGTCACTCGAAAAGAAGAGGAAAATGATACAAAATCAATTAGGTACACGTGTGATGTATGTATGTATGAAAATATTTTTTTTTAATAATTCAAAAAGTCCAGTTCACTTTAAACGAAAATAAAGTTTATCTTCCAACAGTTCCACTTAAACAATGCTTTCAAGTTACTCACATATTTTAATTGGTACCTAATAAAAGCTCAGAATTGGTATTGTAAAAAGGTAGGTATTCACGATAATAAAAAACTTAAAATTAAAGAATTAAGGCAAAAAAAAGAGAAATGTGAGAAAAATTACAAGTGTTAGAAGTATTGTAAAGCAGAGAGTTTTTTGGTAAGTAAAAAAAAAATCAAAATACAAGATCAAAGTAAAAAACTCATGAAAAAATTTAAAAAAATTATGGGGTGTGGCACAAAGGCCGAACAGGAATTCGAGATTACTTTAAATAGTCTGATGGTGCTAAGAACTTTGTAAAAAAAAAATTTTGTTAAATAATAATTAATCTTTTGCGTTGGTCTTAGTACTAAGCAAATATTACAAAATTCACTAGCATGCAAACTTATTTCTCAAACGGTAGTAATAGTTTTTCTTAATTTGCAAGAAATTGTCAGACTTTAACGAATCCACAAATAATAACATGGCCAGGTAAGTAATATGCTCGTAATAAATTTTGCTATTATGTTGGATGTATGAAGCCCGATTTTCTAATTCATTGAAAAATAGAAGTAATTCATTTTATTAGTTTTCTCATAGTTGAGCGGCAAAATTTTGTAAATATTTTCGTAGAGGAATCTTATAAATTATAGAATGAAATTATTTTTGCTGTCCTTTTAAGGATTTATTATTTATTACCATATCATTCATCAATAATGGACTACATATTTAAAAATGTCCAATAACTAAAAATTCGGTTATTTTTATTTCTCTTTGGTGATGTTAGTAATTCGTATACCTTTTTCGATCTTTTTGACACATCCGATATTAAAATATTTAAAATGTTAAAATTTCCAGATATTTAGGGCCAGTTTCATAATTGAATTAAAAAATGTTGGTTTAGAATGTGACATTTTTGTCAACAAGTTTGTAGAATCAACACATTCTAAACGACATTTAATTTAAAGCTCCTTTAAATTCGATTATGAAACTGGTCCTTAGTTTCTACAATTTAAGAAGAGCTTTTTTTAAACAAGTTCAACCAACTCTTTGTTAATTAAGTGAAACATTTTCTCAGTGCTTTTTAGTTGGACATCTAGTTTACATTTTGGAATAGTATATTAAAGTACAAGTTGCACAAATTTGAAATTCCGAAACGAGCCGCGTAGCGGCGAGTTGAGGAACAAATGAGTGCTTGAAGAACCTTCTGCAGCAAGTGCTTTATACTATTTTTTTTCTTTTGCCGCTTTATATAATTTTATAAATTAAAAAACGAAAATTTTATTTTTTTCTTTTCTAGAGAATTTTGCGAATGTTGGCGACATTTATGTGGAATAATTTTAGGCGGCTGTAAAAAATAAAAATAATTCTTATTTTCACATTTAAAAATGAATTGTGAAGAAAGTCCCTCACTAAAATTAAATTAACGCCAACGACTTATTCCAGCCCTCAAATGACGTCATTTGGGTGCTGGAATAGACTTATTCTAACACCGAAATAGAAAACATTGTTAATTTTGCGTTCTGAAACTTGCTTAGAAAAGATAATGAAAAACATTTCAAACCGGGTTTTTCTAAATTCAGTCACCCGCATCCCACTTCTCTCTCACCTCAACCTACAAACTAATCAATCCGCCCCTATTTTTAAATAACATTTTCAACTCTTATTGTAGGTCGGCGGAGACGTGACCGTCGCTTTCTACGACACTAACTCTCGAACTTTCAAAGCTGTGGATTACTACATGTCCACAACGGCCCAATGTGACGGCAAGTCTGGTGTTTGCCCCGACGAACGAATCGGTGGCCGAAACGACGTCACCTTAATCTCAGGCGACCGCAAAAACGGCATTACTACCATCACCTACATGAGACCTCTCCAGACCAATGAAGCCGTCAATGACCGACCTATACCCAGCCAAGGCAACATCAGCGTGATCGCCGCTTTCGGACCACTCAACTCCAGAAAAGAAGCCAACGCTCATTCTATAAGAGATAAGACAGAAGGAGATTATATGATCGATTTCAGCGACGTCGATCATAACATGTGCAGTGGGGATTTGGACGATTTGGACGACGAGGACGAAATTAAGCCCTGGCCACCGGCGAAGATCACAGGTGGGGAAAGATTTTTAAAAAGTTACACATTCTTTTTTCAAAGTTTTGTTATCTTATGATAAAATTAATGGGCAAACTTAGTTTTTTACATTTTACTCAAAAATTGGTGTTCAGTGAATATTTTTTCAAAAGAAAAAAAAGGTTCTAAATAAATTTTATTCAAAGAGTGCTAAAAATACAAAAAACCACACGATCTCCTTCCAAAATCTTGTTTTTAATGATAAAGTTAATGGGCAAATCTAATTTTTATTTTTGCTCAAAAATGAGTGTTCAGTCAGTTAAGTTAGAAAAAAAATCAAATGTATGCCTCGTGATTTTAGGTGAAGTAGTGGTTCCAAAGAAAAAATGTTTCTAAATTAAATATTGAATTCAAAATTACGGAAAAATCTGAAAAACTATACGATCTCCTTCCAAAGCCTTGTTTTGATTACAAAATTAATGAACAAAACTTTATTTAAGTACATTTTATATCAAAAATTATTGTTTAATTAATATTTTGCAGAAAATCTAAATTTCTAGGTAAGTAAATTAAATTTGTCATTGAAAAATGTGCTAACAAGCCAAAAAAACTACACGATCTTCCTCCAAAGCTTTATAAAATTAATGGTCAAATCTAGTTTTTTTTTTACATTGTATTCAGAAATTAGTGTTCAATCAATATCGAGAGACCTTTAACTTAAAAAAAAATGTTCCAAAAGTATCCACCACAATTCCAGTAATTCCAACTTGATTCGAATTTAATTCCCGTAATTCCAAAATAATTCCTGTAATTCCAAATTAATCACGTTAGTTCTAAGAAATTCAACCTAATTAAAAAAAATTATCCCGATAATTCAAAAAAATATAGTAATTCCAAAAAGGTAGGTAGGTACTAGTAAATCGATCTATAAAAATAGTTATTCCAATAATCTATCATAACTCCATTATTTTCAGATTAATTCTTATAATTCCAAATTAATTCTTGTAATTCTTAATTTCAACTTAATAATCTTAATTCCAAAATAATTCCTGTAATTCAAAATTAATTGCAATAGTTTTTAGAAATGCAATGTATTTTAAAAAGAAATTATCTCCGATAATTCCAAAAAAATCCAACAATTCCAAAAAGAAATTCAGTGATTCCCGAAAAATTCCAGCAATTAACAAATAAAATAATTCCGCTAGTAATTCCAAACAATCCAAAATAATTTTAACAATTACAAATAATTCGAAGTAATTTCGATTAAATTCCAAAAATTTGTACAACTAATTCCAAAGTTAACGGCCCCTTAATCAATATTTTGCAAAAGAAAAAAGTTTCTAAATTAAATTATCCATTCAGAAATGTGCTAAAAATCTATAAAGAAATTGCACCATCTTCTTCCAAAATCTTGTTATCTGATTGTAAAATTAATGGACAAACCTATTTTACTCAAAAATTGGTGTCGGATCAATATTTTTCAAAAGAAAAAAAGTTTGTAAATCAAATTTTCCATTCACATATCGCTAAAAAGCTAAAAAACAACATAACTCTCCCAAAATCTTATTGTTATTTGATCAGAAAGTTAATAGAAAAGTGTAGTTTTTTTATAGTGTGTGCTTTTTTATTTCATTATAAAATGAATGCACAAACTTAGTTTTTTTACATTTTACCCAAAAGTTATGTTCAATCAATAGTTTTATTTGCAATTTTGAGAGATGGTTCTTAAAACCACCCGAGTGATGATATTTACGTTGTACTTTTGAATAACGCTTTACATTTTGCAAAAGTGGAAAAATTTATAAAAACGAGTTTTCTATTCAAAAATGTGCTAAATACTTATTTTTATACCGTGCGATCAAAAAAAATCAAAGTAGGCGTCGATTAAATTCTACAGTTGGCAACATATTGGCTGAAAATCTGAGCTGGAAATTTTCCACACAAACTGAAAGTGAAAATGACCATTCACCGTTTTCGTCTTGTACAACAATAAAAATTTTCTGCTCTAAAGTGAACATTATTTCACGCAAAATGAATAAAACGCAAACTTGTCAAAGTTTCCGCTGACATTTGATGTCAAAAATCAAGATTGCCATCTGAAGGACTTTAATCACCGCCTACTCAAATTTATTATTTTTTTGATCGCACGGTATTAAGTGTGCGAAATGACTGTTTTTTCAAGTCAAGGAAATGCCGTTTTTCTTGCGTTAAAAAAACTGTTTAGCACTCATAACAAAGACAACATTTTTCTACAATATTCAATTTAAATATTTAAAATACTTCAAAATTTAATTGTCATGTTTCTGCTGTGATTTCGCGTACTTAACCAAAATGACGTCTTGATTTTGATGTAGACAAAATCAGTTAATGGATTTTTTCTAGAAGAATCTAAGAATCTAAAAAACCATATTACAAAAAAGTATTTTTGAAATCTATTTGAGAGTTTACAAATTCTGATAAACTATAAATAAGTAAACCAAAATTACTCCAGCAAAAACAATAGCGGTTTGAGCCATGAACATATTTACAATTGTTTCCGTTCTACCTGTATAAACGTGAAATAATCAAAATAATTTAGGGGAATCCACCTTTACGGCGAAAATCGGGCCGACTGGCGGCAAACGGGGCTACACAGCCATCACAGGGCAGCCTTCCTGGGGCATCGCCTGGTACATCAATGACCTCCTAATCCCCGAAATAACCGTAGAACGCGGTCAGACTTACACCTTCATAGTGGAAGGGGGTAGTGACAGTAGCAATCCTGCACGCTACCACCCTTTCTACATCACCGATTCGGTGGAGGGTGGTTTTGGACAGAAAAACGAAGAAGAAAAACGCCAACAAAAAGTCTATGCTGGAGTTGAATATGACCGGGAAGGCTACCCCTATCCGACAGCCTCGGGGAGGTACTGCGAGTTGGCACACAAGAGTATAGACAAATCGGCCGAATCGGAGACTTTTGAGGAGTATTTGGACACGCTGAGGTTGGAGTGTGACCAGGGAGAGCCGGGATATTTGAATTGGACGGTTCCGATGGACGCACCCGATTTACTCTACTATCAAGTAATGAATGTTTCTTTGTTGCTTATTTGTATTAATTGGGCTTTTGCAGTGTTATACACATAATAATCTAGGTTGGAAGATCCACGTGGTCAATCCAGGGGCGTCGCAAAGCAATGGGGAAGCGCCGTCTCGAAGTGTTTCAATTATCGCACTTGCTGCTATTTGTCTACTGACGGTTTCGGCTATTACAATACATTCTCGTGGCCGTATTTTCTAACGTTTTGATGAAAATCGCGACAATAATTTTATATGATGTTGACTGATTATTATTTCTGTGACGAGACAATAACTTTATCTTCTAATGCGTCCATATCAGTTAAATATCGTGGTGTAATTGGCATTTCCAAAAATGTAACTCTTCGTTTTGTTTTATAAAAGGTTCTACAATAACATATCTGGTTCTGAAGTTTCCCAAAGTCATTGATTCCCTATTGATTCGAGTGTCATTTTGATAAGGATTTTGAGATAATCGATAAGAATATGAATTAAATATTTTAAATATTGCAAAAAATAAAGACCTTCAAAAATTTCGAAAATGCATTTATAAAAATACTTACCACTTTAGAAAATACCAGCTTGAAAAACAATAAAAAATCAGAATATATACGACTATAGTCTATATTTTTTTATTTGTTGGTGGGGGTAGTGTGAATCAAGAACACGACATGACCTCCGTCTGTTTTTGACATTTGACAGCTTCTGACATTTTGGTACTAAAGTAAAAGTTAAAGCTTCTTCCTTGCATTAGAATTTTTATAGGGCTTGAATTACCATCGTTATGATGATAGCTACATGATGGTAAGTCACACTTTTGGCACTATCTCTGCGTTACTATAATCGCATTTGTTAAAATAAGATAAATAGCCTGACCGACCTTACGCAAATATGTAGCGAGATAGCAACAAGGCTGTTTACAAATGTTGAAAAGAGATAGCTATCTGGTACGTTTTTCGAATTATTAATCGATCCACGCATAAATATAAAAAAACGGATTTTATATTCGTCAGAAACGCAAACATTGAAAATTTTTTTTTAGCTTAAATTCTTCCCTTCTTTTCATAGAATCTCTAATTTTCGATAAAGAGATTACAAAAAGAAATTAAGATATTGAACAGTTAAAATTTTAGTGTTAAAAAGTACAAATAAGTATAAGAAAATAACTACAATCTTCGTAAAGAAATTAAGTAGCAAATTTAAATTAAAAAAAAATTAAATTTAGTGTAATTATTAATGCTCCAAAATTTAAAAACTAACTTTGATAAAGAAACTGAACGATGTTTAAATATTGAAAGACATTAATAACTTACAACGAAAAAAGTAAGGCAAAAATCCTTAAGAATCTTCAAAAATTGGATACATGATGTTAATATAATATTGATAATATTGAACTTAAAATCCTACGCAAAAACTATAATTTTATTATTTTTGTAAAATGAATTAGCTCTAAAATTTGCAGATATTGCCATAACAATTTTAATTAACAGAATTAAGATCTTAAAGTCTGTTCTGCTGAAAAAGATTTTAGATCGAAGGAATATTAAAAGAAATTGAAGACAAACATTTCAAAAATACTAGTCGAAATATCTGAATTATCTGATAAAAATAGAGAAACGTGACTTTTTGATGCTTCCTGTGATTGCAATTTATATCCTCAAAAGACTCTTGACAGTTGATATACATCGGTATGTGTATGAAGCGGCAAATTTATCACCCTTGAGAGTCTGCCGCCTTTTAGAAATTGTGAAACATATCTGAAACCCTTTTACCAAAGAATGATTTAATTTTTTTGCTGTCTTGAGGGCAAGGGACACGCATGAAAAAGAGGAACCAAGAAAATTATCGTGCAAACATATCAAAGACTTTGTAGAATCTTTATTTTGTAGGTTTTTGAACTAATTTTGCGTTTTTAGAATCAGTGGTGGAGGGATTGCCAAGAGGAGTATCACTGTTTAGATAATTTTTTTATTAGAATTAAGTTTTTGTTAATTATGTAGATGAGAAGTTGCAAAGTCTTACCCAAATCTAGCAAATTTAGCCCAAAACCATCATCTCTTTGGGCTTTTTAATAAAATAAAGTTGTGTCTACTTGCCAATCCTCGCCATACATTTTTTAAATTTTGCGGTTACGTTTTTGGAAATAAAAATCGATGTTAAGTGGACTTTAATTTTGGATTGATTAAAGTCAATATACAAAACAAGCGACAATAATTATTGTACTGTGTAAGAATATGTGCACAAATTTAATGATAATTTCTCAATACTTGTAATATATATAGTGAGCTAATTCTAAGGCTGTTTTCGCTGACAATAACAGTTATTTTGTAACATTTTTTAAATATTTTAAATTGATGGTGTTCAAAATAGGTATGTTTCACACATATCCATTCAATTTATGACAATAACATAATAGTGTAGGTATCTGTATTTCACTAAATGTTCACACGATCAAAAAACCCAGACAATAAACGAATTACAACGGAAAACGACCAAAAAACTTCAAGTTTTTGGCAAGTGAACTAAAGCGTCAATTACATAAAACAATGTCGCAACTATTGATGCTAAAATTCATTGTTGTTTTATTTATTGTAAATCGGCTTGATATATTTATTGCATGTTGGAGTGACTTGACAATAATTGTAAATAATCGCATTTTCGATTTAAAATATTTGACCGTGTGATCTGTACTTATACAAATATTTAGGATACTCCATATCAAACGTTAATTTTGACTCTTTTTTCATAGTTGTTATAAATTTTTATATTTTAAAACAAAGTAGTTATTATGTAGAATAGCGAAGGTTTATATACTGCGCATTTAGGTGTTTTAAATGGTCTTTCAGTGTTTTTTATTCGATTTGAATTCTCGTTGTAGTTTTGATTTTTTAAATGCATCTCATACTCAACTGCTTACATCGTGATTGATGCAAGCAGCCGTTAGGCTTTAAGTAATTACGCAATTTAACGGAATTAAGTTATTGGAGTGCCTTTTGTAAGAAATATTTTTCACTTTGTAAAACAATAGTTTATTTGGATTTCTCATTGACTCCATTATTAGGTCGTCCTATAAATAAATGTACGCTAGTTATCAAATTTTATTTCAATAAATTTACTGTGAAAATTAGTTTTTTATTATACACCGCAAGGGAAACAGGTTTGAAATAAAAAAAAACGTATTTTTTACACCATTTATTTTCACATTTGCACTTATACAAATATAAAAAATTGAAAATTAACGCCTTTTGCCCTTCTTCTTCTGTTGTCCTTTCTTTTGAGGATGTTGCGACTTAGTCCTTGGTGAAGGTTCCACAGTTGGACTTTCAGCTTCTTGCTCGGTGACTTTACTTGAAAAATCACTGGAAAAAAAATCTGTTATCGGAAAAGTCACACACTAGACAAAGTTTTACTATTGTTCTGCCTGTCCCGACGCTGTCCCTTGAGATCCCTTAATAACATCTTTTGCACGCCTATCCCTCTTCTTCCTGTAACCAGTCCTCTCATATTTGGGCAACCATCTCTCTGGGTCTGGTGGGATATTCGGGTTGTAATTTTTGGGTAATTTACCCTTACGTTTTCTGTGTTTTTTCTTCTTCTCAACACCACCTTCAGACTTGGGAGTACTACATCCAAATTTAGAAAATAATTAACTCAATTAATTTATTTCTTACCCGGGTTGAGAGTCCTGTTTCGAAGCAGGACTTTTCTTTAAATTAAAGGACGAAGGAGTCGATAGTTGTAAAGTCTCAATGTCAATATTCGCAGAAAGACTTTCAATAGACGGCAATTGTTTACTCAATTCAACGGCTCGCGATTTATCAAACTAGAATTAATCATTAATTTATAAAATTGCATTTTACAAAAAAAATACTTGGGAACAGGCCAGGACTAGCTGAGCTGTAATTTTTTTATTCCCTTTATTACTCTTCAATAACTCTTCTAAACTGTTCGCGGCCACTTGTGGGTGCCCATTTCTGATATGAAAATCGGCCGCTTGGCGCCACATACTTGTCAAATTCACCTCCTCAGTTTTATTTTTCTTATACCAATCGACACTCCTTTCAAACACTCGCAATGCTTGTTCTTCGTTACCTAAACCTAGGTAAAGAGTAGTAAGGGCCCCCACAATGCCTGGTTTGTAACTATTCTCGCCCAGATTTTCCAAAATTTTACACGCCTGTGCTTTATCACCCTTAAAATAGTCATAAATAATTATGCAACCGCAAAAAATTGCAAAAAAATACTTGAACCAAATAGAGCTGAGCCATACATAATTTGATATAAAGCTCGTCTTGTTTCGAATTTGGAGAGATTTTTCCTAACAAAGCAATAGCTTCTTTCGCATCGTCCCCCTTAAGTAGCGTAAGAGAGCGTAAAATTGTTGTATAAGTGCTAAGGTCGGGCCATTGTTTTTCAATTTGTTTGCAAATTTTTTCACACTGGTCCACTTGATGGATGAAATAATTCAAAATGGCGTTATTTAACGCAATGTATTTTCTTTGTTTTGAAGGCAGTTTGTACGTCAGAGTGTCATTAAGCGCCACTTTCATTTTTTTCTTAGAATCAAACAAATTTTGATCTTTGTTGATGCAAACAACATTGTTACTCGCGACGGCCATTAGGGCCACATCGTCTAATTTTATTTTAAGGTTGGCAGTGTACAGTTGATGAGCTTCTTTAATCCGGCCCTGTTTTTGGTAAACAAAAGCAAGTTGAATTTTTATTAGAGCGAGATCAACGTCAATTTCTTCTTCTGAAGCTTCCTCCTCTTCCAACATCTCTCTACACAGTTTCTCACACTGACGCAACTTCTTCTCAGCCTCAGTATACTGTCCATGAGCAATCAATAGACACGCCTTATTAAAACAAAGCTCGTAAGTGTTGTCTCTCAAATCCTCAATCCTGTCTCTGGTTTCCTCTGTATCAAGGTGCACCATAACAGCCCCCAGATTCGTATGCCGCTCGTCCTCGTAATCATCGTCAGTGTTTTTGATAATTTCGCGATAAAGAGCAGCAGCTTGGTCATATTTCTCGAGACGGTACAAAATCTGGGCTTTTAATTCTTTGGACCGGAGGTCTAATTCCGGAATATTATCGATTGTTTTAAGAGCGTCTTCGTATTTATTGGCGCGATAAAAACAATAAGCTTTTTCAAAAATCAACTCGCTAAAAAGAAACGAATCAAAAAGGAATCGTAAAGTTTTGAGGATTTACCCATCGAATTGGGCATTGCCGTTCAATAAACGAATTGCTTCATCAAATTTTGATAACTCAATAAGGCAAACTACTTTATAGTGGAAAGCCAAAAACTCATTCGGGGCCAAATTCAAAACTGGAAAGTTTTATTTTAATCCATATGTTTTTTTGAGGTTAGGTACTCACTTTTATTTGCTGCTTTTATAGCACGTTCGTATTCACCATTCTGGCCAAAACGGTTCAATTCGGCGTAAAACGAGGTTATTGCCTTTTTGTCCCGTTCAGCTTTTTCACTCATTTTTATTTTATTTAACAATAATCAACTTTTAATGCTTTTAATCAACACTTGTGACGTTTCAAATGTCAAAACTGTCAAATATCAAACACATAACCTTAGAATTTAGAATTGTTTGTGGGGGTCATTTCCACTAAATTTATCTATCCATAAACTTATATTCATTTTTTTTTTACCGTAATGATTAACTCATTATACGTAATTTTTTAAATAGTAATTTATGTAATGTCTCAGGTTGGTATAATTATTTTTGTTTCAATAAATTCTTGTCTGATTTTATCATTAGGAAGGCTTATCTTCTACGAGACAACGTCCTAAGGCACGCCCTTCGATACACCGGTCGAATTCTGACACCATGAATGTATCCACAAGTCCCAGAAATGTAAGAAAGATAAATAAATTAAAAAATGATTCCACCGAATTTATTCCGGAGTGTAGTCGGTACTCAAATGAGACAAGTAGAGCGGACTCAAGTTTGGATCAAACAGTAGAGGATAATTGTCAACGTAAGCAAGACGAAAGTTCAGAAAGTGAGGTTGATACTGGTTCAGAAGACACAGGGGAAGAGTTTGAAGAATCACATGTGTATAATAGAAAGACACCAGAACTAATTAATCGTCAACCTCCGAAATTAAAAGCATCAGTAAATAATCCAAACAATCAATGGCCGAGTCCCATTTACATCGCTCTTATTTTGATTTCTTCGTTGTCTCTCGTTGTCTTGCCACTGATGATTTCTACATCAGAAACAGAAGCAAGCAGTTTTCATTTAATTCAAGAAAATTTTCCTACTCAAAAAGATGATCTTTGGTTGTCTTTTGAGACAGGTGTTGATGACGTAATCACAAGGAACAGGCCTTCAACTTTTGTTTTTTTGTACCAAGAAGAAGCTGAAGACACTTTGATGAAGTTATTGCAAGATCTCACTAAATATGCCGTTTGTAACATCAGGGACTGCTCAAAAAAACCCATCATTTTATCAGACACTGAGCTTAATTCTCCTCAAGTCATCAGAAACTATGGCAGTCTTATTGAAAAATACAGAGACAAATTGAGCGAAAATGGTGTCATGATCATTAGAAATCTTGAAAATGTACGTGGAGTGTCGGCGCAAGCCTTTCATACATTTTGTGATGAGTTTACACCTCTGGTTGAGAAGTCTGTCTTTATTTTTACAATGAAAGTTAAGGAACTTCCTGGCCCTAACAGTATGAAATTTGTGGAAGAGTACTTTAGAAAAAAATGGACTGATATCAAAATTGACACTTTTAATGCTTTAATTACGCGAATTACGAGTATGGTTGTTGAAGTTATGCCATAATGTGTGATTGTAATTTTTGTATCATTGGAAATTAAATTGTGTCGTTGTTTTTTAACATTGCAATCTTCTTGTATTATGACCCCGTTTACCATTACGTAACAAATTCTTGTAAAACTCGTTTCAAATCTGTGTTAAATTTCAAACTTAGCGCCTTTCCGCGCTTTGTCATCTGTCAAAATCCAATTTCCGGCCACCATTTTAAAGGTTCATTGTGGAAATTTTTGACGTTTCCACACGGCTTTAACGCTTTTAAAGATATATAAATGTGTATTAAGTGAATTAAAGTGATTAATAATGGCTCGATACGGTCAAAGACCTGAAAATGCTCTGAAACGAGCAAATGGTGAGTAAATTGACCGGCGCATATGTTGCCCCAAGAGCCCCACATGGTTATTTATAACTCACAATTGCGTCGTTTTGCCAGAATTCATCGAAGTCGGGAAACCAGCGCGTGCTTTGGACACCCTTCAGGAGGTTTTCCGCAATAAAAAATGGGCGTACAACTGGTCCGAGTCCGTGCTGGAACCCATCATGTTCAAATACTTGGATCTATGCGTGGAGCTGAAAAAATCCCATATTGCGAAAGAGGGGTTGTTTCAGTACCGAAACATGTTCCAGTCGGTAAACGTGGGCTCCCTGGAGAATGTTATAAGGGGGTATCTGCGGATGGCCGAGGAGAAGACGGAAAATGCGCGCGAGCAGTCGGCCCAAGCCGTCATCGATATCGACGATTTGGACAACTTAGCCACCCCCGAAAGCATTTTACTAAGGTGAAGATTGTGTTTTCGCTAAGGGTTGGGTAAAAACTTGTTATTTTAGTGCTGTCTCAGGGGAGGACGCACAGGATCGCTCTGATCGTACAATTTTGACTCCGTGGGTTAAATTTTTATGGGAGTCGTATTGCCAATGTTTAGAGTTGTTGAGGACTAATGCTCACGTTGAAAATCTTTATCATGATATTGCGAGGATGGCGTTTCAATTTTGTCTGAAATACAATAGAAAAACCGAATTTAGGAAATTATGTGACAAATTGAGGAAACATCTGGAAGATATTTGCAAACTTCCAGCCCAAGTGGCTAACGTTTCAATGTCTAAGCCTGAAACGCAGCAACTAAACCTTGAGACTAGGCTGCACCAGCTTGATTTTGCTATTCAGATGGAGTTGTGGCAGGTAAGTTCAAATAATTGAAACTTTATGGCCTAAGAATTGTTTTTATTATAATGTTAATGAGCAATAAGCTGAGTACTATTTTTTAATTAATTTTGTTGCTCTGTATATTATTGGGTATTTTTGTTTTTTATTTTGTTTTTTATATTAATTTTATCTATACAAGTAATTTTTTACATACCAGGTGAATGAAAAGTATGGAACCAAACGTTTTTTCCTTCAAATACTTATTTTTTAGAGAAACTAATTGATGCATGATAAAGTACCATAAAAAATGTAATGTTTTATCGAGATTAGAATTTCTTTTTTTTTTGTTCTACAAATTTTTTTATTTTTTAAAAGGCAACTCACTATAAAATCATTTTTCTCATGAAGGTTATTATTTAAGGATTACAACTATCTACTTAATATTTAATGTTTAAAAAAATATATAAATTACAATTTTGAATAACTCAGAAACGAAACAAAATTTCGTTCTCAAAATACGATTGCATTTTTTATATTACTTTAGATTATATTAATTATTACTTTCTGGAGGCAAATGATTAAAAAAAAACCTGCTTGGTTCCATACTTTATATCCATCCTGTATATATTCTCACATTTGTCAACGAAACGATATGATTATTGATTACCTTTTCATATTTAAAAACGCAAGTTTTAACTAAAAGTGTTATTTTTTTTATTTTTTATTTTATCACTAATACTCAGCAGAAAAACACTTTCTTGACATTACGTAATCAAAACCCATTTTAACAGGAAGCTTACAAAGCCATTGAGGATATACACAACCTAATGAACATGTCTAAGAAAATGCCAGTACCTAAAACAATGGCCAACTATTATCAAAAATTGGCCATGGTTTTCTGGAAGGCCGGAAACTACCTTTTCCATGCCGCAGCTCTATTCAAACTGTTCCAATTATCGAAAGAGATGAAGAAAAACATCACTCAGGAAGAACTACAACGGTACCACAATTATCAATTTTAATTTTTTTTAACTTATTGATTTCTTTCTAGAATGGCTTGTCGCGTTCTTATTGCCACTCTTTCCATCCCTCTTCCATCTGCCCATCCCGAATTTGATCGTTTCATCGAAACGGACAAGTCTCCATTAGAGAAAGCTCAACGTTTGGCTGTCCTTTTAGGACTTTTCCAACCTCCAACTCGTGCCAGTCTTCTCAAAGATTTAGTTCGGGTAAACGTCGTTAATTTAGCTTCTCCTCAACTCCAGGATTTGTATAATTGGTTAGAAGTCGATTTTCATCCACTTTTGTTATGCTCGAGGGTTCATTCGGTGATACAGTCATTGCAAGCTGAAGAAAATTTACTACAACAATACATACCGGCTCTACAGGACGTTACTTTAGTCCGTTTGGTGCGTCAAATCGCCCAAGTTTACCAAACCATTGAGTTTGCAAGATTGTTAGAACTAGCAAAATTCACTGATGCTTTCCATCTAGAGAGACTTCTAGTCGATTGTGTTCGACACAACGATATGCAGATTAGGATTGATCATGGCAAATATTGCATCCACTTTGGTATGGATTTGAGCGAAAGTCAGAGGGAAGATAAACCGGAAGGCCCCACTCTGCAAGTAATGCCGAGTGAACAAGTGAGAAACCAACTTGTTAATATGGCGACTGTGTTAAATCAAGCTATAAATGTGATTTACCCGAATAAGAAAAAGGCCGAAAGGGAGAAGATGAGGAATATCATGGTGAAGAATTACCACGAGACTAAGGCCCAAGAACATGAGAAGATTCTTCAGCGTCATAAGATTATCGAAGATAGGAAGGAGTATATCGAAAGGTTGAACACAGTCAGGGAGGAAGAGGAGCAAAGGCGTTTGGAGGAGTTGGCCAGGCAGCAAGCTCTTGCCGAGCAAAAACGTCTAGAACAAGAAAGGGAAGAAAGGGAGAAGAAGAGAGCCCAAAACGAGATTCAACAAATCAAGGACAGACATTTGAAGGAGAAATTGCAACAGATTAGTCAAACTGGACATGGACAAAAAATCTTGAAGAAGTTGGACGAGGATGATATCAAGAAACTTGACGCTGACCAAATCGCTGCTAAAGAAGCTGAAGAATTACAAAAGGAACGTCGGGAACTTCAAGCCAAGCTTAAATCTCAAGAGAAAAAGGTCGATTATTTCGAACGCGCGAAACGTTTGGAAGAAATTCCTCTTCTTCAAGCTTCTATAAAAGAACGTCAATTGCAAGACCAAGCTTTCTGGGAACAACAAGAAAAAGAAAGAATTGCTGCTGCTATAGAGGAGAGAAAATTGGCAGTGGCAACTCGAGACCGTTTGGTTAGAATGAAACCCGACAAAGACGCTTTCTTAGAAAAATTGAAGAAAGAACGTAATATCGTCTATGAAGATAAATTGAAAGAATTTGAGAAGCTGTTGAGTGAAGAAAGACAGAAACGTTTGCTTGAACGTAAATTGAAACGTAAAGAAGAACGTCGTACGCGTTATATCAAGGAAAAACAAGAAGAAGAAGAACGAAAGTTGGCTGAACAAAAACGAAAGGAAGAGGAAGAAAGACAACGTTTAGAAGAAATCGCCCGGAAAGAACGCGAAGAAAAAGAAAGAGTCGAACGCGAGGAACGGGATCGTCGAGCTCGGGAACAACAGGAAATGTTAGATAGGACCGGTGCCAAACAACGTCAGCGAATGGAAGAAATCGAGAAACGGTTAGCGGAAGATCAAGACAAGGGCGTCCGTCCTGAAAAGCCCAAGGATTCCTGGCGCGCTAAAGGCGAACGGGAACCTCCGAAACGCGAGGGTGGTGACTCATGGCGTCGCGGCGAGAAACCCGAGGAGCCGAAGAAAGTCGAAGCTTGGCGCCCGCGGAACATGCGCGCCAATCCCGACGAGCCGAAGGGTGGAGATGCCTGGAGGACCACCCGTGAGGCGGAAGCTGAGGAACCCGAACGTGAGCGAAGAGAAGTGGGGCGTAGTTTCGAACGTGGCGATCGCGACAGGTTTAGTCGCGAAGAACGACGTGGAGGGGAAAGGGATGAGCGAGCTGGGCGTGGGGATAGGGAAGAGCGAGATAGGCGTGGCGATCGGGATGAACGAGATAGACGTGGGGACAGAGATGACCGAGATAGGCGTGGCGATAGGGATGAGCGTGATAGGCGTGGCGATAGGGATGAGCGAGATAGGCGCGGCGATAGGGATGAGAGGGAACGTAGGGGAGGCGATCGAGATATGGGGTCGTGGAGGAATGCACGTCGGACAGATGATGAACCGCCAAGGAGGCCTCCGCCGTCAAGGGGAGGACGCGAAGGAGGGTCCGATTGGAGACGGAGGGAGGAGACACCGAGAAAGGCGGAGGAACGAAGAGTGGCTCCGCCTCCGAAGGAAAAACGTGGGTACTTTGATAGGTTTGATTTAAAAATTAATTTGTTGTTTTAGCTCGTGAGCAAAAAACCGAAGAGGATGACGGTTGGGCCGAGGTTAAACGTCGTTAAAGCGTCTGTTACTTCATCGTAATTTTGTCTGTATGTTTAGGGCAATATTCATTTTTAGTAACTATTTTTAAAGCTAGTTGTGGGACGCTTTGTATTATTTTATAAACCAATAAATTTTAAATGAGGCACAAATCCTTTTTTTCATTTTTTATTAAAAAAAATACAAAACTTAATGTTATGTCATAAATATTTTTACATTTTTTAGTACAACATAATGGCTCCATTTGTTTTTTCTTCTAAGACTGGTATAACCGTGTCGACTTCTTTTTCGCTATTGGCTATAAATACTATTATAATATTTACAAATGAGGCTACAGCTGCTCCAACTACGAACCTAAAATAACAAATAGAAGAGGTAGAAAAAAATTTTATTGTAAAATTTACCAAAATGAATATCCCAATTCAGCCATCCCTTCTGACATCCAATCGTTGACTCTGTCTTCCCTAGATAATACATTAAATTGTATTCTTAAATAAAATTGTGCTATCCAAAAACCTATGGCGATTACATCGGCCACCACTAAAATGAAAATAATTCATTTTTTAATAAATTAATTAATAATTGAAGTGATTAATTACTGGCCAAAATATTCCACAGATAGAGGGCTGAAGCGGATGCTAAACACCTCGAAGTAGAAGTTGCTGTGTTTGTAGCAGCGAAAATTGCACTCAATGCAGAAAACAAAAGGGCAGCACAAACACTGACCACTGTACCAATCCAAAACCAGTAAATTAAAAATTCTGGTTCGTACTTCAATAAATGAATCACTGAAAAAAAGCAGGATGTTAATACAAAGCAAGTGCATACAATTAAAAGACAAGGCCATAACATGTGTATATTTTAAGTGTACGCAAGAATGACATCAAGGTTATCACCTGTTTTTAATTATTATTTACCATTCACGTGAATATTTAATATGAAATGCAATAAATTCAATCCCAACTTTCCTTTTTCGTTTTTTCAAATTTAACGGTTTCTTACCGGGCCTACTTTTTTATTGTAGTTATACAAGTTTGGATGACCGGTATTATTATGATGTACATGTTTTTTGACCGCGCCCTACTTCTCTTTGACCTTTTGTTTCGAGGTTTAGGATTAGAGAAATGAAAAAAAAGTTTAGGTAGGTAACATTTCGTGAACAAACGAAATTGGATTTCACTTTCCAGTGTCGCCAATTAAAATAAATTGGGAGAGGTTGTGACAGCGCCTACGCATTTTTTACGAATTTCGTACGAATTGGATAAACATGTAAACAAAAAATGTAGCCCGCGATGTTAGTAGAAAAAAATTATAATTACATAGTTGAATATTATTATTTAATTAAGAAAAATAGAAAAGCTTTATGGCAAGGTCGTTGATTTTAATTTAAATCGTGTTAAATGTGTTGACATTTCGGCCAAGCTGCGTAAATTTTCAGGTTTTTAGCGAAAGGTCTTGGTGATAATTGGGTATATTTACTGTGTAACTGTGTCATAGGTGAAGCTTTTTGCTTGAGGCAAATGTTTGTCTTAGTACGGTAAAAGATGCGTTTTTAAAAGTTTTGTAAGTAAAAGATACCTGCAAGACAAGAAAAAACTAGAGTTTTGTTTAAACACTTGACTTTCACTTTTTAAAAATTAAAATGCACATATTTTAAAAGTCGATATCATGTTTATCAGACTTGATGAATTTTTATTTTTAATACGGGTCTCTTTCTGCAAAGTGGAATTTTTACGAAAGTTTTGATATTTATTTGGCTTCACAAAATTTCTAAATTGTGGTTTTAATTTGGTGGTATTCTTTAAATCCGACGATTGTTGTTTTCGGACACATTAAAAATAAAAAATATTTTTCTTTAATATTTTAAAAGTAGTTTTAAAAAGCAAAATATTGGTAAAATACTTTTGGATTTTAGATGCAGTCAACATTTAAGATCCAATTAAACCTAATTTCAAAATTATTTACTAGGTAAATTAAATAAATAATAATAATAATTAAATTAATTAAATAACCAAAAAAATTGTTGAGCTTTCTTTTACCCAATGAATTAATAACGGTGATAACAATCAACTTCTTCAAAAATGATTACAAATATCTTTTCATCTGAAATATTTGAACTTTTATTAATACATAATAATTGCACAAAATTGTTCTTAATGTTAATCTAATAAAAAATATTTTGAGAAAGGTATGTTGTATGTACCAACCTACAAATCAGTCGTAGCAACAAACGACATTTGTCATTTTTTCTCATTAAAATTGGAAATGGAATTTATTTTAAAATAATATTTGAAAGCAATAAAAAGTATTGTACTTAAGTTGATTACAATAATTTTTTATGTCAAATATTTTGAATTTTTAACAATTATAAAGAAAGTTTATAATTAAAGTTATAATAAAAAGATTTTTTTTTCTATCAACGATTTTTTTTTAGTTTTAGTCTGAACTTTTATTTACGTTGTCCGATTCTTTTGAATCACTATGTGTACATTATTTTAAATTGCTTTTTTGTAGGTATTTGGGAAAAAAGATTTACCAGTATTGAAGTAAGCCCTATTAAAATAATGATGATTTAATTACAGTTTAATTTTAATAGCAATTTGAAGATGATTTACATTTATGTATTTTTCATGCTTTTAATGAAAATATCACAGAACATAAAACATTTTGTTTCTAATGTCTTACGGAACATGAAGCTGAATAAGTGAAATAATTGATAATTCCGCATTCTGCACGTTGTGAATTATTATAACTGCTCTAGCATTCCGAACAGTGGAATAATTTTTTTTCCATTTCTTGACTTGTACTTTACTACGATATTAATGCTTCGGTAGTTTTCCTGATACAACTGAGTTAATTTTCCCGACTTCGAATTTCCATAAGTGAATACCCTCTACCGAGATTATCCTTTTCGTGCAAGTTATCACAATAAAACAAGCGATTTTCCTCAAGACTAACTACACAGAATACATCATTCTTCCTTTGTATTTTCGTCACATAACAGATCGAAATAAACGTGACGTAATTCGTCCATGTCTCCTTTAGAATTTTAACAAAGCCATGATTACTTTCGTTTTTCCATGGCGCCTAATTGTCATTTAATGTGAATCTTACCATCAATTTCGTAACTCCTCCAACCATAAGCAACATTGAGCTCTTTTTTGCCATCAAACAGGCCGAAACTGATCCTTCCGTCGCTCTCGTGGGGGTTTTTGAGCCGTTTTGCTTTCGCATTCACCCACTGTTTCGTCCCTAAACTGGCCACCAACAGGGCCATGGCGATGCAAGATCCGAAAAACGTAACGAAGATCATGCCACGCTTGAAGAGATTCATTTTGGCATTTTAGGAATGATGACACAATTTAATGTGCTGGACATTAAAAATAACTTTCTCAAAGTTTTTATGATCGATTCAGGATCAACGGAACGTGAGGATTAAGCCACTGAAGCATGGATCCTGTATGACCTAGCGTTAAAGTCTCCACGGAATACAAACATTTTTCTGTAATACCTCTGCGTTTCGATATTCTTTCATTATTTAACCACCATCAGTGATAAATTCTTCGGATATTTGTCCTACTTGCGAAAATCATCGTTATAACTGTTCACAATCGATTTTTTTTTCACTAATTTTTTATAACACTCACTAGGCACAAAATCACATGCTTGACACTCACAACCACTTGCAATAACTTGAAAATTTGGTTAGTCAATTAGAATTGACTCATCTCTTCGTGGTAACTCTCGTAGATTGTAACCTAAAGAGCGAGGCAGGTATTATGGTGAGATTCTATGGGAGGACTTCCGAACTGGTAAATTCGTTAGGTTTCGGATTTTCTCGGCTGGAGTGGTTTTAGTGTGTTATTATAATAATTGTCCTAATATTTTGACAATAGTCAATAGATATTTTCTTTCTAAAACGTTGCAATTTGTAGTGTTGAAATCGTTACGATTTTTTTTTATTTTTTATATGCATTTTGCTTTTTTGTAGATACAGAGTTGACAATTATTTTATTTTTTACTGATTATGTATTGAACTTTGTCTGTTTCTCTTCATTAACATTTAAATCAAGATTTTCCAATAAATTTGCATTCGGCCGGTAGAGAAAGATAATTGCCTCAAGCATCATCAGTTTTAAAAGTTTAAAGCTAGGTACTTAAAAATTTTCTCTTTCATTACGCAGAAATTTTTAATTAAATTGTAAAAAATTAGAATAATAGTTATTTATTGTAAGAGTGTGTTAGGTAGCGTTTTATCCACGCAAGAATGTTTAACCGCGAGAACGTCAGTTCGAGCGGTTAATTTTCTTAATTAAACTTAATTAAAAATTGAACTGACATTTAAACGTCACGCCAAATGTGCTTTCGGTTAAACGTAGTAAGCTGTTACGCGGTGCGCTGGTTACTAACAGTAGAATAAAGTTACTTTATTCCACTAGTGGATAAACTGGTAGTTGATACGCATCTAAAGTGTGGAATAAAGTCTCTTTATAGAGTGATTGTGGATAAAATTTTATATTGTACACGACGATAATATTTGTATTATCTTTTCGAGCAAATCGCTCTCAAAGACAAAATTTAAATTTATCGTCTTGTATACCTAATAAATAACTATAACTAATTAAACATATGTAATTACCTAAGCCAGTGTTTGATTTCTCATTGTCAATTATTTTTTGTGGCGTAATTACAAAATCTTTTAAAGACACTCCAACAGTGCTCTTACTTTCGCTTTACCAAGCTGAATTTAAACTTGTTATAAACTTTTTTGTAATCATAAACCTTGTAATATAAAAAATACGAGTTTAAAAGTTATGATTTTTGATGGGCCCCTGCAAAAAAAATCGATAAAAGAATTGTTATACCTATGTCAAAAACTATGACAAATAAGTACCAACAACTTGGGTACGTTTTACTCAGTATGAAAAATCAGATTTAAAAATGTAATAAAATTTAGTGGTTTCCATTTAAAATTTTAAAGTTGGCAATTTCTCATAGTTCTGGAAGTTCTGCTATTTATAAAATAATTTAATTGAATTATTTTAAAATTTTATTTTGGTTGCGTACAAAATTTTAAAGCCGTAGCTACATTGGAAGTTGAAAAGTTTATAATGTGAACTCTACAAAAATCAGCCGGTATAATAATCATAAAAATTTAGGGAAAAGAAATTTAGAAATTTTTACAGCATTCTTGACAGGATTAGTATTAGTTGAAGACGTTTGTCTTATGATTAACAGGGTTTTTTATCACGGGAGGGAACTAGTGTGCACCGGCTATCACATCGCTTTAATTTATCGATTGATTTTTGCAGTAGTGACTAATAAAAAAAATTAAAAATCTATAATTTAAACGAATGTACTATTGTGGACAAAATACTTTGGTTTTCATTTTTCTGTCACTTCAAAAAGAATCATGTAAATCAAGCATTAATGTCGTCAAGTCAACATTAATGACAATTACAAATTATTGACTTTTCTCTTGTCAAAAATATGGCACCTTCCACCGTACAACATTACTGACAATTACAAATTATTGACTTTTCTCTTGTCAAAAATATGGCACCTTCCACCGTTCAAAAATTTAGAACCGTCTCTTTTGCTTTTGAGGGATTGTCCATGGGTCCATAATTACAAAAAGATAGGGTACCTATAGCAAAAAGTACTGTTTATGTTGTCAACAAGTGACAAAGAACGTTTTAACAATTTTAAATTTTGAGAATAGTTTTGACAGTAGTAGGTAATAAAACTTATTATATTCGTTTTCATATTAATGTACATCGAAGTAGTTGTTGAAAGGGATCATTTTAAGGGGGCAACCATGCGAAAATTCAAACAATCTTCCCTAAAAATTATTCTTTTCAAATAAATGTGTCCCCAGGTAGCACAAAATAATTAAAATTAACAAAGTAATTAACATGGGATAACAAACATAAAGATTATTGTCATCATTGATGTGATTAAATTTGTTCTGGATGACATTAATGACATATTTTGTGTAAATCGGCCTTTAAATTAAAGATTCATTTAGACTTTTACAACTTACTTGATGCACATTAATATGAAAAAAAGTATATAAAAAATATTTGTTAAAAATAAGCTTCTATTTAAAAAAATGTACTAATATAGCAAAAGAATACCTAATTACGATTTTATAATAGTTAAAAATTGCAAAGTTATCAATTTTTGAAGAGAAAGGTTCAGTGAACACAAACCAATTTAATCCGACACACTTTTATTAAAAACACAACGCGTTTTCAACCACAAAGTGGTCATCTTCAGGTTCACATCTTCAAATTTTTAAAAAAGTCTAAACCGGCTGAACTTTGGCATTGAAAAGGTTAATAATAACTCTCATAGAATAGAGGTAACTCGGGAAATTCAAAAACGCAAATAAAAAAGATATCCAGAAGTACTGCCATCTTGAAAATATTTTTATTATGGATTATGGCAATACAGGGTTTCGCGCTCCTGAGAAAAGTGCCATGGAAGACAAAATACCAGGAACATAGAAAAAATGGTACAAAAAATGTATTTATAAAAATTTCGAAATTATGGGAGTTCAAATTTTGCACTTTGACTATACAGGGCGTGTCACAACTCCCGCTCCACAGAAAAATTTAAGTTAAGATACCAGAAATATGAAAAAAATTCTATCTCTCAAAAAAAAATGTCATTTATTTCTTAATCTTTGGCATTTTTTTATGTCTATTTAATGATACTGATGATCTTGTATATGTTTTTTTTATAATTATCTAGTAAAGGTACAAAAATTTTGTCAATAAAATCCACAAATAACATTAGACAGAGTTACAATAATTTAGGATACAGCATCCTTGTTTTCTCTTCTAATAAAAACTTGGAAAATTATTTTTCCAACAGAAATAGAGTCAAAGTTCAAAATTTAAACTCTCATAATTTCAAAATTTTTCTAGACAGATTTTTTTAAACATTTTTTCTATGTTCCTGGTATCTCACCTTGTTTTTTCTTTGGGGTGCGAGTTCTGGCGCACTCTGTATGTGTAATATGTTTCATTTAGGTGTTAAAAATATCATTAATTTGGTTGGATTTATTTAAAAAATGGCACTCATCAAATATTTTTGTTATCTACAACAATTGTACATTTTTATAAATAAATAATTGGTGTTCAAGACATTATCGTTAATTAATATAACATAATGACTGGGTCTGCATTTTCTTCTATATGCACATTTACGGCCGGTTCTTTGGAAATTAGCCAATTTCGAACATACAACAAACTCATACTTATAATGTAACACGCTAAAGAAGCCAAATTTATCCTAAAAATACAGACATTAAAACATTAAAATTTCTCAAAATAATTTTAAATATTACCAATAAGAATATCCCAAACTGGAAAGCTCTTCTGTTGTAAACACATCAGTGAACGTTTTAGCTGTTGGTAAATTATTTGCTTGCAAACTCTGAGAAAACATTGCACCCCAAAGCACAATCGATATTAACACACTGAAAAATGCAACAGCATTGTAAATGTACAGTCCAAAAATACTCAAATAATTCTGATACGGGTTTGAAACTATGTTCCACAAAGCCAAAACGGCCGAAACAATTCCCGCCATTCCGGATATTATCAGAAAGATAATGGTACACAACCAGACTCCAGCATTGATAAATGTTCTGTCTGGAAAAAAGCAGAAATAGATATTTTTTCAATTTCAAGAAAATTACCTTTGTCACTCGATTGAAACACAAACAGTTTAAAAGTGTCAGGTATCCTGCTGTAAAGCTTATCAGTGGTTGTTGCAATTCTTGGACAATCTAAAGCTGTTATGTTGGTTTCTCCTTTATACAGTCTCTCTAAACTGTTTTCCATATTACTACCACACAGCAGGGCGCAAATATTCAAATCAAACAAACACACAGCTGCAGAAAAATAATGTGAATCGAGTTTTTGCAATATAAAAATTTACTTGTCAGTTCGTAAACTGCTGGTTGAGCGGTCGATTGAGTGAAAGTCCCACTGAACAATCCGAATTTGAGATAATCATTTTCGTTTTCTGACTGTAAACCAGCTGCGGAAGCAGAAGAGGACACAACTGCTGGCGATGTTATCCATTCTTGAGTTCCTAGAGATACGAATGAAATGATTGCGGCGGCGCCCGAGAAGAAACACGTCGCGAAAATGTATTCTCGTTTTGTTTTTACCATGATTCACACTTTAAATACTTTATTTGGATGCTCTAATACTGCTTCAATTTCATTATTTGTACAGAACTGGGTTTATCTCGGATTCCTTTTTCACAGATAACGTATCAACATTAGACCGTAATTTTATCATTTATTATCAACCAAAACCATTGTTCGAACATTATTTTATCGTTTTATATCCTAAAATTGATGACGAATTGATCGTAGTTTTATGACTCACATTGAAAAAATAACAATTTCAAAATAAGTCAAAATAACTAAACTTGTCTTATCCGAATGTTTATAGTTTCAGAGATATACAGGCTGTTCCGTCTAAACCCCACATTAAAAGTATTTGGACTTCGAATAATCATATTTATTTGAAAATTGGTACATAGCCATAATCCATTAAGTTCTCATCAATGAAAATATTTTCAGGATGGCGGCACTTCTGGTTATACCGGAAGTCGGTCTCAACTTTCTTATTTTAAATGGAAAGGTATATTTTTTACTGCGTTTTTGGATTAATCGGGTTATTTTAAGGGAGTTTTCATTAATTTTCCCTATACCCAAATTTAGCCGTTTTTGAAATATTTATTAGAGTTTTTCAAATTTTTTTGGATTTGCACCTTCCACTTTAAAAAACCGGTAACTCGGCTATTTTTTAAAATTTTCAATTCGTTTTTTTTTTTTTGGCGTTTGTAAGAGAAAGTTTAGATCTTTCTTCCGGTGTTTTCAAATTTTGGAAAAAAAAAATTAACAAACCCTATAATTTTAAGGTTACTTTTGTAATAATTCAAATACTCATAACTCAAATTTTCCAAATGAAATACCCCAAATTTTATTTTACGAAATGGAAGAGAATTTAATTCTGCGTATTAACATTCCCTATATCTAAATTTAATAATTTTTAAGTTATGGTGACTTTTTGTTAAGACTGTCGAAAATCTATTACGTTTTAGTATAGTTTGCTATGGAAATAAAAAATGTCAAAATTGTTTCTCAATAAACGTCAACAGTGACTTATTATTTGACAAATAGTGCCAAAATATGGAGAGTCAAAGCTACTCAAACTTAGATTTAATTAATTTATTTTGTAATTATGGAGAGTGTAACAAAATTATGATGTCGTTCATTAAATAAAAATAAATTTTTCTCACTTGTTAGCTTTAAATATTGATCGCATGATAGAACCTATCAATAATAATTAAGTTTGTATAACTTTGATTTTTCATATTTTGGAACTATTTCTCAAATAGTAATTTACTGTTGACGTTTGTTTAGAGAAAATTTTGATATTTTTGATTTCCATAGCAAACTATGTGAAAACGGGTGTGGCTAGTAATAAATTTTCTGTAGTCTTAACAAAAAGTCCATAACTCGAAAATTATTAAATTTAGGTATAGGGAATGTTAATACAGATCAATGCACAATTAAATTCTGTTCTATTTAGTAAAATAAAAATTAGGGTATTTCATTTTTAAAAAATTGTGTTATGAGTATTTGAAGTATTACAAATTTTGGGATATGTTTTTTTTTTCAAAATTTGAAAACACCAGAAAAAGGATCTAAGCTTTCTCTTTCAAACGTCAAAAAAACGAATTCAAAATCTTAAAAAATGGCAGAGTTACCGATTTTTAAAGTGTAAGGTGCATATCCAAAAATTTTTGAAAAACTCCAAATATTTCAAAAAGTATAGGGAAAACTGATGAAAACTCCCTTAAAATAACCCGATTAATCCAAAAGCGCAGTAAAAAATATACCTTTCCATTTAAAATAAGAAAGTTGAGACCGACTTCCAGTATAAGCGGAAGCGCCGTCACATTAAAAATATTTTTATTTAGGACTTAATGGTTTATGGCTATGTACCAATTTTCAAATAAATATGATTATTCGAACTCCCAATACTTCTAATGTAGAGGGTGCAATCTCTACTTTGGCGTAAAAAAATTAAAAAAAAGTTGCAATAGTTTAACGTTTAAGTTTAAGTTTAAACGTTTTAAGTTTACATCCCTAGTTGTCGGTAACATTTAGTTAAGGTAATGATTAATGAAATTCGGTGTTATTTTTAACAAAAAAATGGTTGCAAAATTTTTACCACCTTTTTATGATTTTTTTTATACGAGAACACTTGTTTTTGTGCCTGTTTTTGCTAATTTTATCTTAATTCTTTTAATACAATGTAATGGATTTTGAAGAACTAACTTCAGAAATCGTATTTGTTTACAATTTGAGTTGGTGAAGTTAAAAGTTGCGTTTCAAATTCAAATTTATTGGACGTACAAAACCCTCTATATCTCAAAAACTAAACATTTGAGTAAGGCAAGTGGAGGTATTTTGAATTCTTTTGAACTCTACTATCACCTATTAAAATATTTGCACATACTTTAAAAACTCTTGTACCTATTAAATTTTAAAACGTCATTTTAGTTTTGGTTTTGCAGAAGTGAAAAATCTTTTCCTTTAACTCATTTGAACATTTTTTGCCAAAAAATTAAATTTAAACTTTTGGCGCCGCATGGTTTCCAGTAAAATCAAAAGTCCCCAACTAACATATGTCAAACTAAAATTATCATGTGAGTGTGAAAACAAAAACAAATTGTGAAGGCAATTATTTATGATGGAGGTTGTTGCCAATAATTATCTACCGGGTGATCAACGTTTAGTCGATAAGATCGTCTACGAGCTGAAAGCCCAAGGAATTTTTGACCAATTCCGTAAGGAATGTTTTTCTGATGTTGACACCAAGCCAGCTTACCAAAACCTTCGTCAAAGAGTTGAAGGAAGTGTTACAGGTTTTCTTAAAGAACAATCATGGAGGCCTGACATGAATAAGAATCAAGTGCGAGAAATGTTACGTAAGAGGATTACAGAGTAAATGATTATTATCCAGTGTTTGTGGCTTATCTAACCTAAAAATATTCCAGGTCTGGGTATCTTGAAACGGGGGTTGAACGAATTGTTGATCAAGTTGTCAATCCGAAAATAAATACGGTTTTTTTGCCCAAGGTTGAAGAGGTTGTTTATAGTTATTTGGGAATCAAGAAACCAAACAAAAGTGAAAATATGAAGAGTGAACAGTGTGATGATTTGTTGCCTACTGATTTGGAAGCCGTGTCTCCTGAATCTGAACCCGTTGATAAGAAGGATGATAAGAGTACAGATACTTTTCAAGATTTGGATGAAAGTAAGACTGAGGAGGATGAGTCGCCCCCGTTTGAACCCTTGGAAGAACAGGCTAGTTATGTACCACAAGAGGAGAATTCTGTTGATTCACACATGTCAGGATTTTCAGGTATTTTTGAGTTAAAATGTATTTATGTATAATTCAAAGTGTTCGTAAAGGTTTAGCCAGTCACGAGTCCAATCAAAGCAATGAAAATAAAATAACACCAATGGAACAAGATTCACAAATGTCGCGCAACAGCTCTGATAGCCGTTTATCAATTGTGACATCAGACGAGAATTCAAAAATGGATATTTGTGAAGATTCGCAATCAAAATCCATAAAATCAACTGATTCAAGTCACAAACATGACGATAAAAACAAACACAAGACGTCTGAGCGTCACAAATCGCGCAGCGAGAGCAAATCTGATAAAGGTAGAAAGAGTAGCAAAGATTCAAGATCTAGACACAGTTCGTCTTCTAAAGATAAAGACAAGAGTCGCGATCGACGGGATTCCAAAAGCTCAAGTAGCAAAGATAAGCCCAAAGACAACGATAAAGATAAACCCAAAGATAAAGATCGGAACAAAAGCTCCAGCACAAGTAGTAACAAGCACACCAGCGGCAAAGATAAAGATAAAAGTGTAAAAAAAGATTCTTCTCGATCTGATAAAGATAAGTCTCGGTCAAGCAGCAGCCACAAAGACTCAAAATCTCGTGATAAATCCAGCGATTCCAAATCGAAAGAGAAGTCTTCCTCCTCAGACCGCCATAAGCACTCTTCATCTTCACACAGCGACCGACACAAAAAAGATAAAGACAAAAAGAAAGATTCCAAACCGAAAGACGATCATTACAGTTCAAGAGACAAAAGAAATGATCGTCGGTCAACTGACCGCGATTCGAACGATGGTCAGTCAAGTCGCCCCCCTGCGAATCCTTCTGAAAACTCCAATTCTCAATCCCAGAAAAGCCAAGATTCAAATTCGGGAGGCGGTGATTCGGGGAATTCCGATCACACCGAAAGCACCACCAAAGCCCCTGTGGTGATTACGGGGGCCGTGGAAAATTCCGAAGTGGAGATTTCGCCCCCGGAAACTCAAAGATTCAAGGTTTTGAAACCAAAATGTGCGTCAAATATACAGGAGGCACTCAAATTGATGAAGATTCGCAAACAATTGGCTAAGTTGGAGAAGCAGAATCAGTTGAGTTTGGCGAGTGTTGATGTAAATTCGCCGATTGTCTTGTCGTCGAGTATTAATTTGGATGATTTGAATCAGAATTGTCTCAAAAAAGAACAAGAAATTAATAAAATTGAGGTGGTGGTACCACCATTACAGAACACTGTAATTAGTCAAGACAGTTGGGACACTATGGAGGCGAAGTTGAGGGAAGAAGTGTGCAACGAAATGGATGAAAGTGGGGATGAGGAGGAGAAATGTAAATTTTTTGAGAGTGTCGACATTAAGAAAATAGAATTTTTGCAATTTGTTGAGTTGTTTATCAGTAAGGTTGAGAAGTATCAAAGATTGCGTAAAAGAAATGGGGGGAAACGTAAAATTGAAGACAACGACTTGAAGAATAATAACAAGCAAATGAAAAAACAGAAGCTTGTGAAAAATAAAACGACGAACAAGATTAATAATCATGCTGGTAACATAGGGTTCTGTTTTTTTTTGTTGTTTTGTCATTGTTGAATTTTACAGTTGTAAATGAGAAATTTCCACTACCGTTGAGTCCGGCCGAAAGTGATAAATCAACAGGTAAGAAAGAAGAAATTTCCACACCTAAGATCAAGCGTAACAATGTAAACAAAGGTGAGTTATTAATTATTACACAATTTTTTGTCTTATTTATATTTTGTCAGTCAATAACCAGAGATACTCTAGCGACGATTTATACAAGCCTAGACCAACTTTCACTAGTACTAGACGTAGAGGTGCCAAAAATCTGGAAAACTGACTAAGGATTTATTTCTATTCTAGAATAGAAATTAGAAGCAAATAAATATTTTTATATGTATTATATTACAATAAAACAGCTTTATTTAATTTACCTCATTTACAACAACTTAAAATTATCGTTTACTTTGGACCAACATTGTATTTACGACTCCGAAAATAACTATCCATGTTACTTCAATCCCGAAACCATTCCAAACCTCGAAATAGTCAAAAGACCACCCTTTTTTCATCACATTTCGGAACGAATCTATTGCGATTGTAAACGGGAGACATTTCGAAAGCCATTGGAGGACAACAGGCATGCCTTCAAGGGGCCACATGAGACCACTCAGCAGAATCATGATGTAAAAGCTTCCAGTTGTCAGGACATTAGCCATAGTTACATTTTCCGAAATAATAGAAATCCAAAAACCTGAAATATAGTTAAGTTTTTGCGAATTTTTTGTTTTAATATTTACCAAAGCCCACTCCTGTTAATCCTTGGAAGAAGGTAATTAGCGTAATAATCCACATACTACCAATGTTTGGTATTTTAAATATTGCGAATGTTATTGTGAGGGTGATGACAGTGTAAATGAGGACGATACCGATTTGGAAAATAAAATGTGTCAAACTGATTTCAAGCGATGACACTCCTGCTATTATAGAGCGGTCCCAAAGGCCCTCACTGCGGTCTGTTACGATGATTTGCGACGTCATTAGAGTCATTAAGAAAAACATAATTCTGTAAAAAAAATTGATACAAATTTCTTAATTTTAAGTACGTTTCCGTACGTTAGGACAAGCCCCGGTGTCATATATTCCGTAAACGTGTCCCCATCCTTGCCGTAAAAAGTCGTCATATTCATAAAATCGGCCATTTTAGGCTCATAATTACAGTCTCTGAGCAAATCCTTCTGGAAATCTTTAAAAATTGTCAAAAGTTTGTACTTAACAGTTGCCCCAATTTGCCGGTCTAAAAATTAGTTTTAGTAATGAGTGGTTAAACACATTTTTGGAGTAAATACTTGACATATCAAGCCATACTTTAATTTCACTAAAGCTTAAAACCTCAGCTTCAACATTTCTTCCGTCTTCAATTCTGGCCTCGAACGATTCGGTGAAATTTTCCGCCATGTACATCACACCGACGACTTTACCATGCCTTGCATCCTCAAGAGCATGCGGTAGCTCATCATATTTTACTTTTGTTATCATCGGGGTGTCTATGTAACTCAAAAACCGGCAACTCATATTATAAAAATGGCAATTATAGTCGTCATAAGGCATCGCTGATTGTGAAAAATTAAAATTCGGACACAAAGTAGCAAAACTTTCCTCGTTAACAACAGCCAAATTGACACCTCTGGGGTCGGGACCAACCGCAAGAAGAAAAGCAACGTTTTGTGCAATTGGAAACATAAAAATGAAGATCATTCCACTGACATTTCGGTAGAATTGTTTCCAGTTTTTGTCGAGGAGGCTTTTTATCCTTTTGCCGTTCAGTTCGTAGCCACTCTTATTTTTACTTTTGGTTTGTTTTTCTTTTGTGAGGATCTGAAATCATTGCATGATTTTTTGTAAGCATGAAGTAGGGTTTTTACATCGGTGGATCCCCGAGTCGTGTCAAACGAAGCAACGCTAATGTCGGTGTTTGAATTCTGGATTTGTAAGTTACTGCGAGCTACAGCCATGGTGTCTTCGAGACGTCCTTCGGACTGTTTTTTGCTCAAGATGAAAAAGACGTCTTCCAGGACTTCAGTTTGAAACATAGTTAAGAGTGTAGCGGGAGATTCCTCGGCGATGAGGCAGCCTCCGCGCATTAAACCAATCTGAAACCGGAGTGGGTTTTATTTTTAATTAAAAAATATATAAAAGAAGCAAAAATAAATAATAAAAGGTCGCGTTTTATTGTTCCGCTTCCGCTGTAATCACATTAAATATCGAAAAAAAATAAAAAATTCCTGCTCGATTCATAAACAAAATGTAGTTTTGTGCATTTTAACGACTTAATACCCTTTACAGTAAAAAGATCTCACAACTTTTGAAGTGGAGAATTTGTGCCATAATTACCATAAAAAGTAAAGTCTTGATGAGAAACAACATTAAATAAGACCAAGGAAAGTAGGATTTTTAACATGGTTATATTGATTATTGTATGTTGCAATAACCGGAATATTGTCAATTTTTTTTCTTAGCTATACCTAATAATTATGGTTTAGTTATTTACGCAAACGATACCTTCGTGTTTTAGACTTTTTGATTAAATAAATAATAAATCCAATGGGAAAATATCGTTTTAAAATTGAATGGCTTTTTTATTGTTTTTTTATAATTAAATAATTAAACGAAACAATAAAATTAACCGCTAACTTTAATTATTTTTTATTAAAGGCTAGCTGTTAATTCTTACTGTAACAATTGAAAGAGACATTTGCCTCTTTATTGTTGTTTGTTTTTACGAGAGTCGGAGAGTCGACATTTAAGTATTAGTAATAGGAATTTAAATAAGAAACTTTCTTATATCCAACTACATTATAAATGATTTAATTATTTTCGAACCTGTTCAATTATTTTTTTTAATATTATTTGCATTTTTATTTAATATTATGTAAAAGGTAATTTTGATGTTTCTTTCAATACTCAATTACCCTACATTTTAATAATAATTAAGTAATGATGAAATCAAACCACATTTTAGGCCATTTCTCCAGTGGTTGTAAGTAATAATCTTATTTGTTTTCACTTATAAATTAGCATGAGTCCAATCACTATAATAAAAAAATTACAAAATGTCATCGAATGTCATAGAGATTAGACAATTTTATAATTTCGTAGAGAATTTTTTTTTAAACACATTTAAACACATATACAGGCTGCGCCAGAACTCGCGCGCCAGAGAAAATTTTCAAGTAAGGTAAGATACCAGGAACAATGTTTAAAAAATTCTATCTCTCAAAAAATTTTGACATTAAGTTTTTGACATTTGACCTTTTTTATATATATATAATGATACTGATGATCTTGTATATGTTTTTTTTTACAATTATTTAGTAAAGGGACAAAAATTTTACCAATAAAAGCCTTAAATAACATTGAACAGAGTTACAATTTAGGATACAGCTTCCTTGTTTCCTCTTTTAATAGCCTATAGCAAAAAAACTTGGAAAATTATTTTTCCAACAGAAATAAATAGAGTCAAAGTGCAAACTTTAAACCCTCATAACTTCGAAATTTTTGTAGATAATTTTTTTTTAACATTTTTTCCATTTTCCTGGTATCTTATCTTATACCTTATCTTCTGGCGCACCCTGTAGAATACTTGAAAGGAAAAATAATACATATTTAGGTGGGGTCGAATGCTGAATGCTATTATTTATTGACATTCGACAATAATAAAAAAGTTTCATTAAACTTATTTTGCACTTTTTTTACTCGTTTTTGATCACCCTGTACGTACGTAAAAATTAAAAATCGCTTTTATCCACAATCACTCTATAAAGAGACTTTATTCCACACTTTAGATGCGTATAAAGTACCACTTTATCCACTAGTGGAATAAAGTAACTTTATTCCATTGTTAGTAACCAGCGCACCGCGTAACAGCTTATTACGTTTAACCGAAAGCACATTTGGCGTGACGTTTAAATGTCAGTTTAATTTTTAATTAAGTTTGGAATAATTTGGGCCTGTGATTGTGGTTTAAAAAGTTATATTGTAATCGTTACAATAAATAACTATTACGTAAATTTGATTTTTTTTTTGGTTTAAAAAAGGATCTCAATTGAAAAACATGTTTTTTTACGTCTAGAATTTCGGTATTCCGGTAGATCTGGTCATCACTAATGAATATTTATAGTGGAAGAAATCGTGAGAAAACAATTCGCAAATCTACCCAAATTTACTAACATGTAAGTTGTAGGTACTTATCACTCATCCTCAAGGCAACCCGGTTTTATTAATTTTTGTCGCTTATTATTTAATAAAAACAATATAATGCGAAGACTCGACCCTACTATTATCGCTTCTAACATTAAAAAAAAAATCTCACCATATTAGCTTGCCGCGCTTCTTCGATATAATGCGTGGTAATAATCACAGCCGTGTTTGATTTACTCGTGATTTCCACGAGATAATCCCATATCCTTTCCCTCAAAATCGGGTCCACTCCCACTGTTGGCTCATCCAAAATGAGCAATTCCGGCAAATGCACCATCGAAGCAGCGAATGAGACGCGCCGTTGCTGACCTCCACTGCAGTTCCTTATAAATCTGCATACACATTAATCGCGATTATTAACAAAATTAATTACTTACCGATCTTCAGGTGGTAAATCCAATAAACCCGAAAGTTCGTTAAATCTTTCTTCGAGCATTTTTTCAGGCATGTCGAAAATCCGACCGAAGTAGAAAATGGCATCTTTTACGGTGAATTCGCCGACGAGGGCTATATCCTGTGGCATATAGCCGATTTTTGGACCCGGAACGCCACTGTCGACAGTGCCAGGTTTGCCCCCCAAAACCCAAATGTCCCCGGAGTTTAAATTCCGGCGGCCCACAATGCAACTAAGAAGAGTTGTTTTGCCGCAACCACTTGGACCAAGGAGACCGTAACTATTTTTAACATCTTTATTAAAGGGTTCAAAAGTGGGGAAAATACATACATGCATCCTCGAGGCACTTTCATTCGGAGATTTTTCAATACTTCTTTTTTTCCGTATGATTTGCAGGCGTCTTGAACATAAACGGCGTCTTTGGCCGCCATGTCGACGGCTCTACGAAAAACACAAATATAGTTTTCTAGCTTTTATTTGTTTAAAGGAATTTTTTAATCCACCATTTATTTGAAATTTAATTGTTACTTAATGGACTTTTGCATTTTTATTTTTATGGTTTTAATGGTAACAATTGACTTCATAGGTCAAGTTTTATGTGTGATTTTTTGATTTGCGATTCATATTATTTCTCTTTTCTAGAAAAAACTCGAGATTAATTCCAAGGATAAAATGAATAGTTGATTATTAATATTTAATAAACTTCAATTGGCTAATATCGTTTTACATGCGCACAGAGAGATCAATTTTTATAACGCAATAGAAAAGTTTTCCAGTTGTTGTTTCCACGATCCAGTAAACATTCTTTTCAAAAATTCGTAGAACTTCAAAAATCTTAATTGGAACAAATTTATTTTTGGCTCACTATCCTTTCTTTTGCTGGACATTTTTTGCAATTACAGAATTTAAAATAAATATGGGGTGGTTTGAAAATTATAAAAAATAAGTTTCATAATCATAATTTTAGTTTCATTTTCTATTTTCGATAGTCAGAAATATTTAGGATTTTTCTATAATAATTCTAAGTAATAGTACTAAAAGTTTACTTTCTTTAGAAACCAAAAACCATTTCTAGTACACTTCTATACAGAGTGTTCCGTTTTTATTGTTACAAATTTAAGCATCAGGTGATAGAATATTCAATTTCATTTCAATTCCATGATTTTTCATCACAAAAAAGAGATCTCTTACCTAATATAACTTACCTAAACTGGGGGGTTTAGGGTAAAAAAGTACCCTAACTATTTTGACGGTTGATTTTTGCAACTTTCGGCCACAAAATTGTAAATTTCATAGCTTTCACAAAAAAGAGGTCTCTTTTGTTTTTTCGATACAACTTACCACCGTTTCTGAGTAAAATTAGTTTATAATTTGTCTTACACGCCATAAAGAGGATAAAAATTAAAAATCAAATTCGTTTTACCGTTTAAGACGCCCGTGGTTAAAAATTTTGACAACTGATCTTTGAATTCGATCAGGTGTTTATCAGCCGTACCAACTTTTGTAATTTTATCAATTTTACAACAGTGGGAAACCCCATTAAAAAACGCATCTCTTTTAGGGGGTGTAGCTAGCTCGCTTACATAACATTTTTTGATACATGTTCATAGAAAAAATTAAAATTGAATATTCCATCACCTGTTTAAATTTGTAACAGTAAAAACGAAACATCCTGTATATTTTGCTTCTTTATTTATCGTTGAAGTCACTCCGAAACAAGATATTAATAAAGGTTACCAATTTGATTTGTCCGTTTTTTAAATAGTTCGACTAGGAGGAGAATATATATGTTATGACTTTTTAAATCTTGTTTAAAAGCTCGCCAAACCAGTGTTCAAAATTCAAACTCGATCTTTCAACTTTGCCCCTTACCAGAAAAACGAAAAAATTGAGAAAACAATTCTTTGGTGTTTTGAAAATTTTGCGCATAAAAAATGGAAAGCGCATTTTGTTTCATTTTTATTTTTTTATCGACCTTTAATTAAACTTCAATCAGGTTTTTTCGCAATGCCATTTTTAATTTTAATTATGTACGACCTCCTTGAATATGCATGATATGTCTTTTTGTATTATTGGCAAGAAAAAATACGGTGAAGTACGATAAACGATAAAAGTACTCAATTTCTTTTTGCAAAATAGCAACTTTTTATAAATTGCTTATAACTCAAAAAGCCTAATTAAGTGATTAATAAATATTTCTTTTGTTACTTCACTCGGTAATAATAATAATAGTTCAGTATAAACACGGAAGATTTATAATTGCACAGGAGGTCGGATTTAATTAATTCCGCGATTGGAATATCATTTTCTTATCACATTTTCTATTAATTTTTTTGATTACAAGATATAGTTTTTGTTCACCATTACAGTTTTGTTTACAGTTTTTTTGTTTACCATTTGTAAATAAGGGATAAGGAAATACAATGAAGGTTTACCAACCTTCGTAAAAAATTCCGGTTCATATTTACAGTGTTTCCGAGGAAGCAAATTAACAAATTTTAATGTAACCTTCTATTCTTTTTCCGTATTCAAAGATGGACAAAGAATGTTTTTCTATAAACGCAAGAGTTGTAAAATACATTTGAAATTGTAGGTCAACAACTTCTCCCAGCCTTGTATTAACTTGTAATTTTGTAATAATTCTTAGGTATTTAAATAAATGTTTCATTCTTGTACCTAATACAAAAAGTGATGCTAGAATTTTTTTCATTCGTCACTAAATTTTTGAAAGTAGAATGGTAAACCTTGATTTCCAACACTTTTACGTAATAGAAATTATTGAAGAAAAAACACAACCGTTTGTCACAAAGTGACAATCCTTTTTGCAAGAGTAAGAAAGTAATTATTCACCTATTTCAATGCCACAACAAAAGGATTTATATTAGATCATGTAGGTAATTATCTCATTTTAATATAACCGGCAGGTGATTTAATTTCTGCTCACTCATGCATCCATTTCACAGCTAATTATTCCTACATTGCATAGGCATAAAAATGTTACAAAAAATGCGAAATTTCAACTTGTTTTGATTTTCAGAGTCTGCATCACTGATGCAAGCACAAAAATTTACCTTGACCGCTTATTCTTTCTCCTAAATGTATTCCTATTACGATATTTCGTAAATGTCTGCGTTTATAATTACTAAAATAAGAGTAGATTGAGAGTGAGAGTGCGTTGTGAAATTGGGAAATTGTCCAATGAATTGGGTATTAAAATGTACGGAATTTTATTATACTGCCAATAATTTCGCAAGAAGTTTATTGTAAATTGAAATTTCAATTGACCTTCGCAATTAGAAATTATTTAAATACATGATTTTTCTCTGAAGGCGATTGTGCATTTGTAATAAGTCTGGATAATCGTAAATAATAAAATAATTACTTATAATTATTATAGATTTACACCGTCACACTAGTCTTGCATTGTAGCATAATTAAAAAAGACTGAGTCGTAGTATACATATAACTGGAAATCTTAACTAAACAATTGGTTTTTCATTCTTTTTAAACATTTTTGACAAAACAAACGACTCTAGTAATGGAAATTTCAGACCCAATATAAGTGACGGAACGATTCATTCATAAAAAAATGGCTTCAGAATTGTGAGTACAAACATTATTAATTGTTATTGTTTTTGATTATATAATTTTAATAGCATAAATATTAAATAAAAGTAAATACTTAATAATACCTATGTTTAAATTCTAATTAGAATTTTATATTAATATACAATAACTTAAAAAACGGGAATTTAAGATTCAGATTCTTTCCATTTGGATTTGAGTGTTGTGATTGATGTATTCTCATTGTATAAATGCCTATAAACACTTAGTAAGTATCTTGTCTCATTTGTATAGGTACAATATACAAACAGGGTGATTTTGACGTATGTGCAAATATTTTAACAGAGCTCAAAAGAACCCAAAATAACTCAACTTGCCTTATCTGAATGTTTATAGTTTTTGACATACAGAGGGTTTTATTTGTCGAATAAATTTAAATTTGCGGCGCAGCCTTGAACTTACTCAAATTGTAAAACTCTGAGGTTAATTCTTCAAAATCTATAATATAACATTGTCTAAAAAAAGAGTTAAAATTAGCAAAAACAGGCCCAGAAAAAAAGGGTCCTCACCTAAAAAAATCATAAAACGGTAAAAATTTTGCCCCAGAGAAAAAATCCAACTAAAATAAGACAACAGGAACACAGAAAAAATGTTGAAAAATATGTCAAGCAATTTTACATTTGGCCTTTTTATGTCTATTTATTGTTACCAATGATCTTATATTTATATAGCTTCTTTGTTTTCTCTTCTAATAGCCTGCAGCAAAAAACCTATAAAATTATTTTTCAAACAGAAATAAATAAATAGTCAAAGTGTCAAAGTGCAATATTTAAACCTCCATAATTTCGAAACTGTTACAGATATTTAGAATTTTTTTAACATTATTTTCCATGTTCCTGGTATTTTATATCTTTCTACCTTGTATAATTTACTCAATACACAACTTTCTTTTAATAATTTTTTTGCATAATATTAACATGGAAAAAATTAGTCGAGTTGAAGCAGACCTGCAGCTAGCGGAGGGTAGAAATAAAGTTTATTGTCAGTATAATTTACTCAATACACAACTTTCTTTTAATAATTTTTTTGCATAATATTAACATGGAAAAAATTAGTCGAGTTGAAGCAGACCTGCAGCTAGCGGAGGGTAGAAATAAAGTTTATTGTCAATGATTTAGTGTAGGCCACACAAATAAATACTCGATTCCTGGAAAGAATCAGAAAGAGCCAAAAAAATAATTTTTATGAATTTTTGAAATTTTTAATAATAATTACAGTTTTTTTAATGATTATATTGTATTTATTATCTAATAAATAGCAATACAGGTCTTGTTTAAATTGTGATTTTCTTTTCTAAGTCCTTCTCTAAAATTTTATTTGCCCCCTTTGAGCTACATTCGTGGCTACGGCCCTGAGTTGAATTCACATGTGGGAGATCAATACCACCATCATAAAACAATAAAAAAATGTGATGCGGGCTTGACGCATTGAAAATTTTTGTTTCAAACATAACGCAAATGAAAAATTATTGTTACTATTCAAATCTGTGTTAAATAGGTTAGTGTAAATAATTGTATATGACAGAAAGTGTATACAAACTAATATAGCTAATCTAGATATTTTTTTCTGTATTTTATGCTTTTACTTTCAATCTTGTTGCAAAATCCTATCCAACTGTGCTTGCAAAACACTTACCCTTATTTCGTATCCACAAATCCAAAGCCAGACACTACCTACAAAGTCCAGACACTACTTAGTGTAAGTCTTCTCGAACCACTGCTCACATGCCAACTGGTCCAATACGACTTAAGTATCACATTCACAACTTTTCAGCAGGAAATCGCTTTTAACCTTGACTCTACCTGTGAAGGAATCGATAAAGAAAAACAGGAGATTGTCCCACAGTAATCAAAGACATAGACCGCTTTTTACAAGCTATAAAAGTTTATTTTATAGTGTATGTTTAATTTAATTTTACTCGTAGTTGCCAATTCAGCAAATTATATTTGCGCAATGAAATATTTGCACTTTAAATGTTCACAAACCGTTAGTTCTTTCAGTTGGTGTGGAGCAACTGTTGCTCTTGTAGACGAAACTAGTTTTCACAGAGAAAATAAGCACATTTCTGGAACCACACGTTGAATTAACAACTATCGTGAAAATAACTAATTGTGTGAAGGTTCGGACAAATAAAAAAAAATGGTATAAGTATAAGCATGTGTTAGCGATAAAAACTTAAACACAATAATTATGGATTTTGTTTAGAAATAATAATTATGGATTTTGTTTAGAAATAATATATTTTGTAACTGGTGTTATTGTATGTTATTATTTTATTTTCATGTCTATTTTGCCAGTTAAATTATTTAATTTTTGGATGACTAAAAAGTTAATTTGGAAATGGTGGCCTTTCCAGTTTTATCGGAAATTTGTAATTAGAAACTCTTTATTACCCATTTGCCATTTGTGGTTTTTAATAATCCTAATTGCACTAATTGCAGGTTTTTTTGCAGTGGAAAATGAATTCCGAGATTAATTCTTTACTAATTAGAGAATTAGACTAATTACTTGCACTTCTACATGTATTCATTGCCATAAGTAGGAATAAATGGTATTTATAATATAGAGTGATTTTGAGGTATATGCAAATACAAATATTTTTACAGGCGATAGTAAAGCTCAAAAAAAATTAAAATAACTCAACTTACCTTTTTCGAATGTTTATTGTTTCTAAGATATAGAGGGTGAAACCTCCACATTGGCGTCGAAAAAAATATCAAAGTAATTACTTTATCACTAAGTTTACATTGCTAGTAATCGGTAACATTTGAGATAATGAAATTGGGTGATAAATGCAACAAAAAAAATTATATAAAATTTTACCGTTTTATGATTTTTTTTTAGATGAGGACACTTTTTTCTGTGCCTATTTTTGGTAATTTTAGCTATTTTTTTTAAACAGTGTCATAGATTTTTAAGAACTAACCTCAGAGATCATATTTGTTTACAAATTGAGTTGATACAATTTAAGGCAGCGCGGCAAATTTCAATTTATTCGATGAACAAAATCCTGGAAATCTCATAAACTATAAACATTCGCATGAGGCAAGTTGAATTATTTTGATTTTTCTTGAACTCTACTATTACTTATTGTTAAAATATTTGCACGTACCTCAAAATCACCCTGTAGTTAATAGAAAATATACCTCAAAACCAATTCTTTTTAATTTTAAATACATACCTACCAGAACGTCTGAAGTTAAATTTAATACAATTTCTATTTTAAACATACAGGATGCGCCAGAACTCGCGCCCCAAAGAAAAATGCCATATAAGGTAAGATACTAGGAACATGGAAAAAATGTTAAAAAAAAATTATCTATAAAATATCTATAAAATTTCGAAGTTATTAGGGTTTAAAGTTTGCACTTTGACTCTACTTATTTCTGTTGGAAAAATAATTTTCCAAGTTTTTTTGCTATAGGCTATTAAAAGAGAAAACAAGGAAGCTGTATACTAAATTGTAACTCTGTTCAATGTTATTTGTGGCTTTTAGGGGCAAAATTTTTGCCCCTTTAATAAATAATTATAAAAAAAAAACATATACAAGATCATCAGTATCCTGAAATAGATATAAAAAATGTCAAATGTCAAAAAATAAATGTCAAAATTTTTTGACAGGTAGAATTTTTTAAACATTTTTTTCATGTTTTTGGTATCTTACCTTACTGAAAATTTTCTCTGTGACGCGAGTTCTGGAACAGTCGTTACTTGCTAGAACCTTTTGCACTGGTAAACACGAAAGCCGGATACATCTGCTCAATTTCCGGTTGCTGCAGTTGCAGGTCACAAATTCTGTGTTTTTTTTTTTGCTCTCTAACGTCAATTTATAAGTTACTGTATTCATCTTGAAAATGCCTCTCTTAAGTAGCTAGCCAGTTATTAAATAATTAAATCATTTAGTTCCAGAGTATTTTCAAAGTAAAATTCAGTATTTCATTTATTTTATCCCCGAGGGGATAAAGTACCAGATTATTACTCAAAAAAGAGGGAATAAAAGCGTCACTTTACTTCTTGTTGAGAGGAAATTACTAGTATTATGTAAATTTTTCATTCTTGGTTGGGCCACCAGTAATACACGTACCTGTCATTTGTTTCGTCACATCAAGTTGCATAACCTGTGTTGTCACACTTGGCATTTGACAATTGACATTTAGTGTTTATTTACAAATGATGGCTGGTGTGGTACCAAAAAGGGCAACATCTGGACGAAAACAATGGACTTTACATGGTAAGTAATTGTTAAAAATAGCCGGAAACGCTATTTTCCTTTTTCTCAAAGCGTAAACAGCCCCTTGTGTTAAAGTCATTTTTGAGGTTACATTTTCACCCCTTTCAGACGGCCCCCGAAGCTCCCTCAAACGGTTGCGAAGCCAAATGGCGACCGACGGTTGTCCCGAATCACAAGTCGTCCTTGCGAAACAATTATTAGATGAGCCCTGTGGTAAGTACCCACAACCTCAGTTCTTAAATTAAATAAACAATTCCAGAAATAGAAACAGAAATGAGAGAAAACGAGCAATTGGGTGTGTTCTGGTTAATCAAAGCGTCGGAACAGGGTAACACCGAGGCCACAAATTTGCTCAAAACGTGTCTACAAACAGGCAAAGGCATCACAGAGCTAAATTATCTAGATGTTAAGCGGTGTATTAGTATGACACAGCACGAGAAACTAGCCAGGAAGGCCGCTCGTGAAATGTTTGCCAGTTTGTCAAATGGGGGCGATTATATAACCTCTGATCAATTACAGAGAAAAATTTTGGCGATTGATCGCGATCAGTATCAAACAATACATCACGAAAATGGTCACATTAATGGCGAGCTTGCTTTTAATGAATCTGAATCAGATGAAGAAACCGACTGGAGTCAGAAGTCGGACCAAAACGAGAAACTCACAGAAGACCTTTTGGTATCAGCCGCTGTTGATTACTCTCACGGACACCTTCCTCTAGTCAATCGCACTTTGTGTCTCTCAGACCCTGATTTAAAAGCTCTAGACAATATTCCCCTTATTCAAAGATCAATCTTACATCCCGTTCTAGCCCTCAAGATACTGTATTACAAACTTGTAAAATTTCTAGGGCAAGGTTTCACCCTATTTTTTCCTTTAGCTAAGTCCGAAATTCAGTTACTTGTCTTAATGTTGGTTTACACACTGGTTAGTTCTGACAATGTTTTATATTTTTTTCCTATGATTTTCTATTTTGTTAGCTTTATCATAATGGTTATTTCGACGTTTCAAATGTTGCAAATTAAACGCGAATTTCACGATTTCCGGTTGTGGTCAGGTTTATTTATTACTTATTCTGGGGGTGATTTGAATTCAGAAGATGCAGAATTTTTGTACATCCGGAATAATCTTAAACCATACGGTTTGTTTTTTGGGTCACTTTTAGTAAATTTTGTTGTTTATCCTATTATAGTCAACCAGTGGATCCCCCAGTCCGAATTAATGATAATTTCATTCTGTCTGACTTTTGCAACACTTCTAGGTTTCATGTATAAGAGAAGGGGGAAGACAGTTTTCGATCTTTTGGTATTTTTTAGTTTCGGGATTAATGTGCTAGCGAAATACCCCTATGAGACTGATCCAGTTGTAGCTCAAGGTTGGAGGTTTCTTGATTTAAAAATCCCAACTTTCGCCAGTTATGTGATAGGAAACGGCATCGAATTTTGTATCAATTTTCGATTATTCCTCTACATGTTTATTCCACTTTTGTTGGTCAAAATAGCGTCAAGGCAGGACTGGAAAGGCACTTATCAAATGTTGATCCCCCACTGTGTGACTCTGAGTTGGCTCCAGGTGTGTATAGTAAGCTCCGAGGGGGCCACAATGTACGGCTTGTTACGCGGCAGTTTGGCTTTAGTGGGGGTTGTTTTATTCTTACCCCTAGTTGGGCTAACAAGTGTGATACTCCCGGCAGCTGCTTTAACAAAATGGATAGTGGCTTCGAATTTCTTTCTCAGCGTTTGTGTTTTCGTCGGTGTATCTGGTTTAGGGTTGGCGGTTTGTTGGGCCTGTGCCCAAACCAGATTTAGTAAAATCACAGCTTTTATTCAAGTCCTTTCAACAATTTTCGCTGTTTTAACCCTTATCAAATCCAGTTATAAAAACGAGGAACTTTATTTTGAAAATAAATTACCGGAGTATTTATCATGGGATGTTTATCAGCGGTTTTGCCATCAACCAGTCTGGCAAGAAGAAAACATCGCAATTGCCCAATTGAAGTGTTCTGAATTACACAATTCGCACATTAACTGGGACGGTTACATCCATGACATTAAAATTTTGACTATCTCAAACAAGTTCCAAACGATTATCGATCAGTTCCCTTTGACTTTACGTGATTATCTTTATTGTTTTTACGGGGAAGAAACTAGAAATGATTGTTCAAATTTCCCCCCTGCTGTTCGCGAAGAGTGCAGCTCCTTCTACAATGCAATAAAATCGACAAAGTCGTGTTCGCTTCAAAAACATAATTCGTACACGTTTGAAATAACAACGAAAGTGCAATCAGGGATTTGGGGAAAAAGTCCTGAAGTAACGATTGTTGTTGATGATTATTTTCGAAATTTTACCCTCGGGCTTAAGCCTAATGATCACATTTGGTTCAAGGGTACATTGTTTAATAATGAGATTGTGGGGTCTGATGGGATTTTAGGAGGGTTCAAAACTCATGTAAAATTGGAGGAAATTGGTTGCCTTGCGTGTAGTAATAATAAATTAACAAACATTAAAAAAGAGCTGCAATCTAGATTTGATATTAAGAATGTTATTGATGGTCTCATTTTGGGATTCAAGTTTGTCTTGAATGTTATTTTAAGCCCAGTCGTAGTGTTTAAGTGATTTGTTACGTAATTTATTAAAAAATGTATTTATTTATGTTAATAAATGTTAGAAATTATTTGGGTTTTGCGCCAGAATTGAAATCTTCGCACAGGTGTACCACCACAAAGTTATGAAAGTCACTAGCGACTTGTATTACCACGTGTAGCTTGTGGCTGTAATGCGTGCTTTTAGAAAATATAATTAATTTTGTCCCAATTTTATTCATTAATTATGGTAAGAGTTTAAAACTGTGTAATTAAAACATTGCTAATTGATTGTTTTTTTTTGAACAATCGAAATTAAAGCAATGTTTGTAAATATAACCTCATTTTCACGTCGCATGCTTTTCAGTCTAAACTCTATGTGTTATTCGAGCACGCCGCCGGCTATGGAGTCTTCAAAGTCCAAGAATTTGAAGAAATTGGTATGCTTTTACCCCAGTTGGAAGCAGCTATACATGACTTAGCCCGCTTTAATAGTGTTGTTCAACTTGAGGGCTTTTCACCTTTTAAAACTGCAATTTCGGCCTTGGAAAGTATCAATGCCATTTCGGAGGGTATTGTACCTGAAGACTTGTTACACTTTTTGGATATCACAGTCCCAAAAAGTAAGAAAAAGAATAAGATTACGTTGGGAGTTAGCGACCCCAAATTGGGGGCTGCTATTACTGAAGCTCTTGGGATACAATGCAGCCATGTTGGGGCTGTCCCAGAGGTAATTAGAGGTAAGATCGAGGATCGACACTGATTGTAAAAGAATTAGTGGAATATTGACCCTAATTAATAGAAGTCTCTGTACAGGTATTAGGCATCATTTCCACAACCTTGTGAAAGGTTTTACTGAGAAAAGTTCAGCCGTGGCCCAACTTGGCCTTGGACATTCATATTCAAGAGCCAAAGTCAAGTTTAACGTTCACAGAGTTGATAATATGATAATACAATCAATAGCCCTTTTAGACCAACTTGACAAAGACATCAACACTTTCTCAATGAGAATTCGGTACTATTTGATGAAATGTCCTAAACTTTCTTTTCTGATATGTATATTGTAGCGAATGGTACTCTTACCATTTCCCAGAATTGGTAAAAATTGTCCCCGAAAACTACACTTACGCCCGTTTGACGAAATTCATAAAAAATCGCAAAGAACTAACCGATGACTCTCTTGCGGGTTTAGAAGAAATCACAATGGATTCAGGCAAAGCTCAGGCAATTTTAGACGCATCCAAGTCCAGCATGGGCATGGATATAAGCGTAGTTGATTTGCTAAATATCGAAATGTTTGCCGGCCGAGTGATAGCCCTTGCTGACTATCGAAACCAACTTTCCGAGTATTTGAGAACAAAAATGACCGACGTGGCCCCAAACCTGGCAAAATTAATCGGAGAACAAGTAGGGGCCCGCTTGATCGCTCATGCTGGGTCTTTAACAAATCTTGCGAAATACCCAGCGTCCACAGTTCAGATCCTTGGGGCCGAAAAGGCCCTTTTCAGGGCTCTCAAGACCAGAGGAAACACTCCGAAATACGGGTTACTTTTCCATTCCACTTTTATTGGACGTGCCGGGGCAAAAAACAAGGGGCGCATCTCGAGGTATCTGGCAAACAAATGCTCGATAGCATCACGAATTGATTGTTTTACTGAACAACCAACACAGATCTTTGGAGAGAAATTGAGACAACAAGTCGAAGATAGGCTCAAGTTTTATGAAACAGGAGACGTTCCAAAGAAAAATATCGAAGTAATGAAGGAAGCAATGGAGGAATTGGAACAAGAAACAGCGCAAAATAAATCTGAGAAGAAGAAGAAAAAGAAGAAACGTAAGTTGAATGATACGAATGAGTCAGTGGGGGAGAATGGCGTGGGCGAGACTAATGGGAATGCAGAAGAGGCGGAGGAGCCGCCCAAAAAGAAGAAAAAGAAAAATAAGAAGAATAAGCAAGAAGACGCTGAGTAATTGTTTGGGAAAGTCGGGTCTCTATTTTTATTCTTGTAAAACCTATTGTTTTTAAATAGATACTTGATCAAATTACCGGTCTTATTTCTTCTTAAAACATGGGTTAAAAATCTAACAGTGTGAAGTAGATAATGTTGAAATCTGTATGTCAATTTCATTTTATCGTTGCAATAAAACCAGGTATAATATTCACAACAATTTATTTTGTTTTTACAATAAACTAAATGAGCGGAATGTTCAAATAGTTACTAATGTAACATGAATAATATTTTTATCGTTAATAAGGCACCACGGTATCGCAACTCTCAATTGAAAAAGAAAAAAACTGCCGATAAGTCGAATTTGTTTTTATTTTATAGAAAATTATTAACAGTGCAATATTGCTTTATCTGTTTACTAAACAGAGCCAAAATTTTGCTGCTCTTACAAATTAGTAGTTATATAAATAGTTGCATAATACTAAATAAAATATGAACAAACTTAAATATACCCAGCACCCTCATGAGCATTGTAGATACAACCAAACAGACTATACAAAATTATGTGCAAGAAATACGTTTTTTTAAAACTAAAAACGCAAGATCAGTTGGCTCAATCTCAACGAATAAAATACAATCTTTGGAATTTCGAATAAAGAAATGATTATATCATGCTTTAAAAGCTTGGAAATAGTTGTTTATTTGGCTGATTGAACGTATTCGTTTGGGGGAAGCCTTGAGCGTTGAAATTCATCGCATATTGATTTGTTATTTTCGGTTGATTGACAGGTGATGTCGGATTGCTCGCTAATTGGTTCATACTAGGTGAGACTCCTTGTTTCGGTTTCGTCACTAGTAAATTATCTAAATCGATATTTAAGTTGCCAGAATTGCTCCACGTCGACCCTATATTTTGTTGATTTTTATTTGCTGGTGTTTTAATCTCTGTGTTGTTATTGGACGATGTGGAAGACAACGGTTGAAGAGGCTGTTGAGCTGATGTGGGGGTTAACATCGGACCTGCACAAAATCTCGCTGATCAACAAGGCACATAAAACCAGTGCATATTAAAACAAGTTTTTTCCCTCAATGTTAATACAATAAAACACTCATTTAATTAGAAAACCTTTATTCATCATCAACTTTCAAAAAACTATCAATAATACACATAGTACTAGCCGCTAAACTCCTACACTCCAAATTCGGCTCTCCACGAGTCACATTCAAATTCAGTAAATCGCCCAACCAGAGCCTAAACTCAAACAATTCATCGATAAAATCCGAAACTAAAATCTCTTTTGGTGTATTTAGAACAGCAGCTCCTATCAAACTAATAACAGCCATCCTCACTTTGACTTCCTTGTGAAAACGCAAATACCACGAAAAATGTAGCACTTCTTTCGCCATTCGTGGTTCAATAAGACAATTCTGCGACGCACAAATTACTACGGACAGAGTTCGAGTAAAATGAATCAACAATATAAAATCACTGTCATTTTGGGGAATTTGCGAAATCATTTTATTTCGGTTATAACCGTACAATAGAGGAAAAAAGAAATGACCGGCAACGTGTGCAAACTTATTGAGTTTTTCCAATCGGAAAGGTTTGTGTTTGTGGAAGTAACGAGTTTTGGTCTCTAGACGTTTTTTAATGATTTTTTCAGCGTTTTCCAATTCTGAGTTTTTCTTTTTTCGATTGATTGCAATTTTTTCATCCGGTTTTTCCGGTGTGAGAGATGACAAAGTCCTTGAAGCTTCACTTAAAACATCGAGTAGAAAAATACGGTGGGAAATCGAGTAAGTTCCAATGTCAGCATGAAATTCTTTGCAAAGATATTCAGCACACTGTGATGGATAAATGCAAGTGATAGCAACACAACTTTTAAATACCAACGAATCAAAATTTTCTACGTAAAAACGTTGGTCTAGTGCAACCAAAATTTGTAATAATTCTATCCCAAGTGAGACATCATCGTCGGGTAATTGTTTGATTATCAAATCTTCACAAACTTCAAGACTTAAAGTAAAAATGTCACAATGTTGCGTCTCCAATAGACCGTCTCTCAAATCCCGCAAATATTTCGGGGGCTCCTTTTTCGACAATTTCACATCATTTGACAAGTCGTAGGGCTCCAAATCATCATCTGAATCCAATTCAAAGTCAGTACTGTCAATAATCGTGAGCAAATTATTTTTTTCGTGGATTGGTTCAGCCACAAACACATTTTTGGGTTCCTCTTGATTCTTCAATTGTCTCACTGGAGGCACATATTCGACACACTTTTCCACCTCTAACAGCCTTGAAATCAATGCGTAAATGTTTTCTTCGACATCTTTATTTTTGAAGTATATCGTCATATCAGTATCATATAATTTTTGCAAAATTCCCCCAATTTCTTTTCCCTCAATTGGCATTTTTTCAAATTCGAATAGCAAACTTTCGCTTTTCTCATTCTCAGTCTGGATAAAATTCAAAACAATTTCTGCAGCTTTCATTCCCATAGCCCTTACAGAAGTGGTAGAATTTTCCAAGTGGACAGGAACCCCCGAGTACATTTTTGATTGTAAAATCTGTCTTTGATGCTCACTGAGACCAATATTTTTGAAACTATTTATCGCAACTATGATTAGTTTTGTTAAATACAAGTGGTGTTCTACACTTGTGTGATTTAGGGCTGATTTGTCGGCCCAAACAGTGACTAAATTTACCAATAGTGTAAACAAATTATGCTCGGAAGTGGTACTTAAATACACTATTAAATTTTTTATGAGGTTGTCGTTATCGTAGTGTGATAACAGAGGAATTTTTGTACACAAAATGTATTTCCAATTATCACTTTGGATTAATTTAGGAGCCAGAACATTTTTAATTGTGTAAATTGAGGGGTCAGAATTTTGCAAAATTGTCACAGCTAGGATTTCCACAGCGCTTCGTTCCAAATTTTCGAATAAATACCAAAATATTTTTCGATATAAATTAAGTTTGTCTGACTTTTGGTTAGTTAGAATATTTGCAATTTGGACGAAACTTTTAATAGCAAACGAATTGTAATGTTCATTGTAATTAATCAAAGTTTTGCTTAAAAGTAGTGCCAAATTCGTGTAACAAAAACTTTGTTCATATTTTGGTTCTTGGAGTAACAAGTCGGTTGAAAATTCTATCACTTTGATTATGTTGAAAATCAAGAATTTTGAATACTCGTTGGGTTTAAAAAATCGGTTGAATTGGCCTTGAAGGGCATTAGAAATTCGATTTGGGAACGTAATTAATACTTTCACGTCGTTTTGCCACAGATCTTCATTTGTGAAAAAATTGTGTAAAATTAGGGAGAAACAACCCTCACTTTTCAGGCTTATTTCAGCCAAAATACTGAGTGAATTCACAATTTTCAAATCTTTGTTTTTTAAATTTTTTATAATGACATCATAAGTCACTCTGAAGAAATGATAATCTTCCACTGAAAATAAATTTTTCATTTCTTTATAAACCTGTCCGTCGTTTAGTGGAAAATTCTGATCAAATTTAGCAATTAAAGTATCTAGAAGATACCGAAATTCTTGATCAGCAAAGTGGCTTAAATCTGTTGAATCAATTTTGAGTAATTTTTGTACCGTTAGAGTTGGTAATAGTGGTAAAAATTTATCAAGACTGCTGATGATAACGTCGATATCACTTTGTGACGAAATTTTCTTGATTCGATTCAAATTTCTCATAATGGTGGCACTAGCATCTCGTAAATGTTTTTCCACTGTATTTTTTCCTGAATCACGATCACACAACACTTCCTGAACTGGATCTGCAATGGGAAAGCTCTGGTGAGTTTCCCGAAAACACTGCTTGGAAAAGATAGAAATTTAAAGGAGAAAAATACGAGAAAAATGAATCGCTAACTGTAAAAAGAACGCAAACTGAAATACATAAATTAATTACAAAATCTACACAAAGTTTTTAGATTATGTAATTCATTAACAGGACAAGCAAATTAGTAAAAAAAAAATATGTCCAAAAAATAACTGGAAGACTGAAAGTCTGAAAGTTTGTGTTAACAAACAAATATCTATTTCATTAAAACTGAAATACATGACAAGGTAACTTATTTTTTATGTCTGACTATGGTATGATCAAATAAATTCGAGGTCGTACTTGACTTTGAGAAACAAAACTCGAGTCTTTGACTGATTCATTTTTTTTTTCTATTTTGGTGTCACAATGAAAACGGATGCACAAAATGCAACTTTATAACACTGTTTTTAGCAAAAAGTAGTATAAAAAACACGTGTTACAATATCTCATTTTAATAGTCGTGTCACAAACGTATCTCGTATCGCCATGAGAATGTTTGAAGCAATTGTTTTTTAATATACTATTTTAGTGAATTAGAAAAAAAAAGCATTACAAAACTTATATATCAGAAAAAAACATTACAAAGTTTATATTATGAATATTTATTTCACATTTTAAAAAGTATTAAAAGATTCAAATTTTTAAAATGAATAACAGTTAACTTTAGATTTGTTTAATAATTTTTCTCTTAGTTAAAAAAAAAAACAAAGTAGAACAAGTACCAAAAGTATAAAATAGGCCAAGATAGCGAGATAATATTATTATTATTTTATATTTAGATGTGAATAAAACTTTAAATGTACTATTGAGGACAAAATACATCATCATTTTTCTGTCACTTCAAAAAAAAATGTAATGTAAACCAAGCATTAACGTTAAGTCCACATTGATGACAACTTCAAATTTACTTTTCTTTTGTCAAAAATTGGCACCTTCCACCGTACAAAAATTTAGAATCGTCTCCCTCGCTTCTGAGGGATTGTGCCAAATTGCCCAAAGATGGTTATATTTGTTGTTAACAAGTGGCGAAGAACGGACACAGTAGAAATAAATAAGAAAATAAGGTTAACCATCCTAAAGCTTGCTTTACAATTTTATGTCACTCAAATGACTTTGATGACCAAAATAATTTGTTCCCAAATACACTTGTCATGTATAGTTATAGTGTCAAAGTATAGTTATTAAAGTATTGTTATTGACAATGTATAACTCGCATACTTTTTGCACCTAGAATTTAGTTAATAAATATTAAAATAGTAGGACAATCCAATTCATTTTGTTTAACTATCGTATAAAATCGAGTAGTTAATACCATGTCTACTATTAAATTCAAATGCTACACTTTGATAGTCAATTGTCATTCATTTCCGCGCTGATACAATGTGATATTATCAATAATGTGGTGTTGCCAATTTTATTTCGAAGTCATGGAACACTTTGATTGGAAATTTGTTTAAAAGCATGGAACAATAGAAAAATGCAAAATTTTCAAGTTCCAAGTGCAAAATCAAATGTCATCACATTGCGTTATAATTTATATTGTTCCAACACCCCAAAAAAAATTTGAATAAAAAAAATGGGAGATTGAGAAAAAAATATAAAACTAAATCTTGTCGTGAAGTGTTTTATGATCAGAATTCAGGACAAAGTAAGATAAAAATGAAACTGTTTAATTCTAGTCAAGAAATTTCTCTAGCATTTTTTGAATGATTATTTAAATGTGAAAAGGGAAATGTTGAAAAGCAATTAGAACAACTATATCTGTTACAAAATATTGTTGAAATTATTGTAGATTGTGACCAAATATCATTTATAGTTAATTTGTTTAGTATAAACAAAAAAATTGTAGTTCACACTTGTCAACAAATTACGCTTATTACAGCAAGGTCACTCCAACACACTTACAAAAAACAAACTAGTATCACTTCTCAAGTTCTTTTTGCTATTAGCGACTCAAATCGATTAAAACTAATTAGTAAACACGACGCAATTTCCCGTTAAAATTTCTCGGAATTAAATCTCAATTAAAATATAACAGTTTAACATGTATTTAAATATGACATACAATTCTTTCAATCCATTAACTTACCTCCATCCAATAGACTCGGCGCTGTCCCTAAGAGACCTGGATTATTATTCGGAACATTCCCGAATCCTGCTTGAGGCTGTATATTCAAGGCGCTGAATCCCGACAAATCCCCCAACAAATCATTACTATTCTGTGGTTTCACTCCCATCACCGGCATCGTCTGCGCCCCCATAAGATTTCCCGGCCCCACTGTCGGCTGCTGTATTCCCATATTGGGGGGCGGAATGACATTCGGCATGAATAAATTCTGATTTTGGTTCATCAAATTCACGTCGGTGTTATTCTGTGAAAAGGCCGAACTGAAATCAGCAAAATCGTCGTTGGAATTCGGCGTCGCCGTCGTCGTCGTATTTGATCCAAAAGCTGCCTCAAAATCACCGAATTCCGTCGATTTTTTCTCCTCTTCGTCAGCGCGAGGGTTGAAATCGTCGATTAAATCGTTTGTTTGTGGCAAAGGACTTTGACTAGCATCGCGACCAAAATTCGCAGCTGCCCCCAGATCGACTTTTTTTAACGGTTTCATGGATTTTTTTGGAGAGTTTGTGATGGCTGAGTTTATGTTGATATTGACGCGTTTTTCGGTGGGACTTGGGTCGTTATCTTTGTATTTACGGTTCGTGTGATTACGGGCCGATTCTGTATCGCTATCTTCCTTATCAATGTCATATTCGTCATCAAAGGACCGGTCGCGGTATCGGCTTGCACCGGAAGACGGCTCCTCCCAATCGCGGTCGCCGTAGTCTCGGGGCTTGTCGTCCCATCTCTCTTGACTTCCTGTCAAATTAAAATCGCCAACGTTGTACCCAATTTTTTATCAAAAATTGGGAACTTACCTAGCCTCATGCCCATCATATCTGAACTCATTCCAATGTATTTATCTTTATTCTTTTTGGCCTTTTTCCGTTCTTCTCTCAAACGGTCGTCATCTTGGATAAAGTCTATAAGTTCCTTAACTTTGTGTCTAATATTAACCCCTTGGTCTTTCCCCAAATCATCAATAAAACTAAAATTTTCTAAAGACCTAAGGTCATAAATGTGCTCTCTTGCTGAAGTAACGACACGTTCAGATCCATTCTTTACTAAATAATTCAGTACCAACAGAGACTAAAATGTCACATTAAATTCACATTATTTTAAGAAAAGTGAAACCCACCTTGTAAATTCGCCTCCAGTGTTGTTTATTGTCCTGAAACATTCTTTTCCACAACATTGACATTACTTCAGGGAAATGTTCATAAGTGAATGTGGAGTGTGCCAACTCTTGCATGATTTGTCCTGTAGGGCCCCATGGTTCGTCATTTGTGGCCTCTCTGACTTTTGCTTCAATTTCGGTATAATTCATAACAACATTTGTGCTAAAAATAAAATAATTAAATAGGTCATGGTGCAAATTCATTGAGTTTTTAATTAATAAAAAATACAATAGGAAAAGATAACCATCTGGTGGTGCTGTCACTTGTACTTACACTTTGTCTGCGAGTTCTCGCACTTTCCACATACTAAATAAATTTTCCATTTTTCTTAGCTTGAGATCTGTAATAATACGTTAAAAGTCTGGATTTTCTCGGTTTTATCACACAAACAAGTGGAAATTATTTGGCAAAAGATGACTTGGCGATCAGTCGGCCATATTTCCCAGCAATGACATCACGACAGGTTCGCCAACCGTCAATTCAAAATTACTAACATAAAATTCATTATTATAACCAATAATTATTACAAATTAATACGATTTGCGCTACAGAAGACACAACAATTAATGCAATCCCTATTTTTATGTAGAGTTGACAACTAGAAATTAAATTTTACAATTAAACTGGGGTAGTTTCATGTTCGTGTATTGACAACACTTCTTGTCACCCAGTTGTCATTGAAAATGTTAGCAGTGAGGTCATTTTCCCTTTTAAATTCGTTTTTCACGGATTTATCTCTCAGTTCCGGTTAATCAAAGTTCCTACAAAAAATGTCACCGGTTAAAGTAATACTCCTCGCATGCGGGTCATTCAACCCTCCTACGAATATGCATCTCCGAATGTTTGGTATGTGTTTTCGGTTTTTTGCATCACTATTTTTATATTTGTGTAATTGTAGAAGTCGCAAGAGATCATTTACATCGATTAGGGAATCACGTTGTAGTCGGAGGCTTAATTTCACCAGTTCATGATGGTTACGGCAAAAAAGATTTGGAAGCAGCGACCCATCGGATAGCTATGATTAAGTTGGCTTTACAAACCTCTGACTGGATTAAATTGTCAGATTGGGAGTGCAAACAAGAGACTTGGAGTCGGACAAAACAAGTCTTGCAATATCACCAGGTGAGATTAAATTTTGTTCCAGAATTAGCCATAAAAAGTGTCAAAATTGAAAGTGGGTCACTAGAGTCAAGGCGCGAAAATTGTTTACTAAAGTCGCTTTTGTTGCAGAATCACGTCAATGCCCTTCTGAACACCTCAATAAATAATCATTTTGATAAAATAAATGAAGACAATTCACATTGGGTGCCTGATAATGTGAGAAACTCTGGGGACAATGTACAAATTAAACTGCTTTGTGGGGCCGACTTGTTGGAGTCTTTTGGCACCCCCGGATTGTGGTCAGATGACGATGTGAGTAGATTTTTAGTAATTTGGAAATGTTTGATTAATTGTTTATTTGATTTAGATTGAGGCAATTGTGGGACAACATGGCCTGGTTGTGATAACACGCTCAAAAACTAACCCCAATGAATTCATTTACAATTCAGATGTACTTACAAAATATATGGTAAAATCATTTTTTTTAATTTACATTTTTCGTTTAATAAATTTTGATTATAGTCAAACATAACTATCGTGACTGAGTGGATCCAAAATGAAGTTAGTTCAACTAAAATAAGACGGGCATTGCGACGAGGAGAGTCAATTAAATATTTAATACCAGAAAAAGTAGTTGATTATATCCACAAACACAATTTATACGGCAGTAAAACTACGTAAGTGTTTTTTATCTAATAAATAAACAATTTTTTGTGATAAAAGATTAACCATTGTCCTTGTTTGTGCTGCCGGATAACAGTAAGTATTTAACTCCCGAATTAAATTCAAATTTCTTGACTCAATCGCCCTCTGACGTACATATGGAGTCCCCTAGTCCCACCAATTGCATGATTATTTGTAACAACACTTTATTCTCCCGCAATTATGACAAACGCTTATCGATTGATACAGTCGATAGCGTGACAAAAACCAACGTTTTGAACACAATCCGACACCCCGGCCAAGCCGTAAAAATAATAACTGAAAGCTCCGGTGATCACAAAATAATTAAAGAAGGTTCCGATTCGAAAGAGGTACGTAAAGAAGACAAGAAAACCCTAAAAAACTCCAAAAGTTGTGCCAACATTGACGAATTACACAAAACCAACATAAAAACCAGCAAATCGAATGCGAATCTCAAAGAATGCAAGAGCTGTGATGAAAATTTAATCAAATTCATTTTTACTAAACATGGAATTCAAGTTATTAGCGATGTTGAGACTATTGTTTAATTGCATGTTAGTCTAGACATCTATCTCTTGGCTGTGTTTTTCATTTAACGAAAAAAAAAAAAATACAAAGCATTGTCAATGTCGCTCTTCCATTTTTCTTATACACAACTAATGCATGAATTACTGTGATTGTGTAGCATGGTTTTCTGTTTCAGGCATCTCTAGCGCGACCTGCATGCCTCCTCTAGAGCTCGTTGTTTTAAATAAATCTCAAACTACATTCCATTCAACTGTTTTGAGATTTATTCAGTGATGTTTTAAGTAACTGTGGTAAAAACTTGGTGTTTATTTATTTTTGCTATGTAAATAGACGTTTTTGTTCAATAAAGTTGTGACAAGTTTAAAATGGTTTTATTCCTTTAACCAGTTATTACAAAACAATTTTGTATCAAAGAGTTACAACAAAAATAAATAAAATGGCACAATGGGTACTAATTTTTGTTTTTGGCAGTCTTTTCTTCTAAACAATCGCACCAGGGGGTTATAGTCCGATCACAAAACAACTCAATGTTGATAAGATTCAAAGGGGCATTTTCAATCGTCATTGATTTGTAACTAACTATCTTGTATTTTACGTCGTGGAGCCCTGTTTGTCTGTCACGTCTTCTCGTCACTTCTCTCTGATTAAAACACTTGGCAGTATCGCGTTTGCGGTCTTTTCCATGAATATGTCTAAAAATTTTATTTATTATCGAAATAAAACCAAAAAAACGCACCTAAACGTGTCTTTGGTTCCTGTTGATATGTTCTCAGGGCGTGTTACATTTAGATTAGCGTCTTTCAGTCTCACGTAAAATTCGTCGTCTTCTAAGCCCCAACCCCAGTACTTATTTGATAACCCATTGACCAAACCGAAATGATCTCTATAAATAAGAGTTATGGCGAAACACGAAGGAGCCCCCTTACCTGTTAATCAATAAAATCCCGCCTATAAACTTGTCATAGTGATACCGAGGGTGTAAAGTAGGCGCCGCCAAATGAAACGGTGTTCGGGGGTACGAATAAGTCAGATTTTTGTTTAAAGGCAACAAATCAACGTCGTGCATGGCAATGTAGTCATAATTTGATTTAGTTTCAAGGTAACCTACGTTAATTAACGATGCTCGGTTAAAGCGGTAGTTATCAATCTGATTTAGGATGAAAATATCGTGATTAATTTTTTGTTCGCTTAAAAAGTCGTGAATATATGGAACGAATTCGATTAATTCCTCAAATCTATTACGGTAAGGTACTAATACTGCTAGTTTATGATTCGACTCGTAATTCCTATTTGCGTAATATTTGGGTTTTGCGACGTACTGTATGACTGTTTTTTCTTGCCGAGGGCAATTACAATGATCTAAAATAAAGTCATTAGAACCGGACGAGGGCCAAAGGCAACCCACCCTCTGTCAGTAACCTAAATTGGAGATAAACGGTTATAACAAACATCACAGTTAATAAAATAGCAAAGAAATGAGTAAATGTAAAACGGAATACTTTATGCTTTGTTAGGACCATTGCAAACACATTTTTGTTTTTTGTGACTCTTTTTCAAAGTGAGGTTAAATTTTGTCAGGTTGACGTAGCCATTGTTGCCAACGTGACCAAGTATTTTAAGGAATGAAATTTTTGGTTTGCGTTTATATGATTTGAGTTTGGTAACAAAAATGTAAAATAATAATGATAAGAAGTACCTTACTTTTATATACTTTGATTAAAAAAAAATAATGGTTAAAAAAAATTAAAGATTATGCAACCAATTATACACAATTTAAACTTAGGTTTGTTTAGGTGACGTTTTTTCGAATTTTGAAAGCTTCTGGTGATATTTTATCGTCATTTTTGGAATTGAATTTGATATTTGTATTGAAGTGTATTAAAATTTATCGATTATTTATAATCTAACGTTGCGCAACCTGGTGGCACTTCGGCCAGTTAAAAGGCGCCTTGTCGGTTGTCATCGCGAAGTTGACCGTCTCGTGTTCAACTGGAAACATGTTATTGAGTTTTATTCCAATTTTATCTCAAATTAAATGTCAGGTGTCGAGTGCATGTGTAAAAGATTGTTTAACAAACAGTTTACCGTCTTGATCTAGTGCGAAATTAGTTGTTTTATTTAGTAAATTTAAGGAAAAGTTTATTTAATTGTCGACCATGCCGAAAGGAAAAAGAAAAGGAAAGTCTGGTGAGTTAACAGTCAACACGTTCCGTATTTCAACGTTCCATAAGGGCCAATTTCGTCATTAATCGATTTTGACGTCATTTTATCCAAAAGGCCAAAAATGTGACATATGGAACGGTGCTCGGATTTTATTTTTGCAAAAGTGCAAGTTTTTTTCCTACGCTTGAGACTTGGGTATTTTTGTAAACAGATGGGGTAAACAGTTCGTGGAAAACACGGGATGACTGGATGACTCATCAATTAAATTGCACATATTTTCTATAATTATATGCAAGGCACGAAGACAGGATCCTTAAAAATAGATTTTTTGCGATTGTCTTTTGTTTGTATCCAAATTACATAATATGCAAATGATCAAATTTGTTTTTTCTCGAATAAAATGCAGGCCTTGAGTCACCTTGAATCGATGTACCTGGGCACGAGAATTAGAATAAATCATAAATAAGAAATAAACATTTTATTATTGGACAATTTTAATAATCTCAAGGTTTCTCAGTTCTAATCAGGGCGGATTTGCTGGATACACAATAATTCTCTGTTGACCTTTGATTAGTTTTTGTTTTTAACCCAAAAAGTCGGTAACCTTAACCTGTCAAAATTCACGTGTTTTGATGAATTTCTCGGTAATTTCAGATCGTGGTCGTTTCGATGGCTCTTTGCACACGTCGGACGACGATTCGTACAATGACAACAACAGTGTCATCAGCAGTTATTCCGAAAATAAAAGTGTCGAAGATGGTGAAGATATCGAGGAGTTTGCCCATGAACAGTTCGAGGATAAATTGATCGAAATGTTGGACGGTTTGAATCAGAAATCGTCGCAGGGGAGAATAAATTGTATCCAATCGCTTCGTAAAGCTCTGATTAAAAAATACGTCCCGAATTTCGTCAAAGAGAGACACTTTACGATTTGTGACAGTGTCGAGAAGAGCTTGAAGAAAGGGGGCGGTTTGGAGAAGTCGGCCGCCGCCGAATTAGTACCCTTGATTAGTGTGCAACTGGGGGAGGAAGATGCCGGTGAGATTGTCGATACGACCTTGAGGCCGGTTTTGATGACGGTGGCTTGCGATGGCTCGGTTGGGGCGGCTGCCAGGGCCAAGGTACTTAATGCATTTTTACAAAAAAAAAAATATATATATATATCAATAAAGGAGAACGCACACTTTATATGGGTTTCTAAAGACCACTCAATTGTGGATATTTTTCAACCAATCGACGCGTCTTCAGATAAGAAATTATTGTTACCATTGCGCTAACTTTATAAATAAAACGATTATTTGTAAAACAAAATTAAAATGCTGCCATTTACTTTGCATTAGTTGGAAAGAGAGGGGTAGATCTCACTCTAAGGACCATCTTATTTTGCAAATAAGAGCTTTATTTATAAAGTTAGCGTTTTGGCGCAATGGTAACAATAATTTCTTATCTCAAGACGCGTCGATTAATGTAAAAATATCCACTTTGAGTGGTCTTAGAAATCCATATAAAATGTGCGTTCTCCTTTGAAAATAATGATATGATTTTGACCTTCATGTTGTGATTGGAGATAATTTTCTAAAGCTTAGAACGTTTTGTATTCTACCGTTCCTTTGCTGCATTGTTTTTTTTTTCAGGTCTAACGATTGCTATATTTTTATCTGTGATAACGTTTTATTTACTAACACACAGTTGACTGTATTTTAAGAAACTTATTTATTTAGTCACATTTTTTAATAGTCTTGTTTGTCAAGTTTAAACCAATATTTTTTATGATTATATAAATTAAAATACATATTTATAACACCTGTGATAACACAAAATACAAGGTTTTCATTTTAAATCTGGACAGTCTCAATAACTGTTTTATATCTTCAAGAAAAAACAGATCGATTAGAACTTCGCGGGGGAAGTTCAAAACATTTTAAGTTTCATCCCGTTTAAGAATCAGTAACTGATTTTAAACCAATTTAATTTAAACACAAACTATATCTACAGAGTGTATAGAAAATGTTGTATAAGCTCTTCAATACGCTATAGAAAACATTCCAACAAACCTTAGAAAAATAATTTAAAAAATCCTTCTCAACCATTCTTATCAGTATGAAGAAGTAAAGTTGAGAATTATAAAGTTAAAAGTTGAGAATTTATGTTTAGTAGGTACTAAAAAATTATTGTTAATAAAAAAGCCATTGCAATTACGAGTATGTTTAAATTCAATTTCTAAATTAAAAATTTCTGAAGAATAATACATATATTGGTCTCAAAGTTAAATTTCAGTTTTTTAAATTCAGAAGTATGAGATTCTAAGTCGATATTTTGTTTTAATTTTGCAACCAAATTGAAAACGAGCATAAGAAAACATTAGAAATGTGAAGGTCGAAAAACAGACTTAACATAACTATGATTAAAGCCGCAATTCTGAATTCAGTTACAATTGAAAAAAAAAACATTTCTTAGGAAAAAATGTTCAATTTTTCTTGAGAAAACTTACACCACTCAAAATACAAGGTGATTCACGAGGAATAATGAGCCTGACCAAATTCTCGATGAACCACCATTACTCTTCGCAATTTATTTTGCGACAACTGTAATATGGGTTGCATCGAAAATTTGGTCAGGCTCATTATTCCTGGTGAATCACCCTGTACATGATAATTAATTAATAGTTACCCAAAGAGTTATTCAAGTTTGTATTACGTAAATGTTAGAACAAAGAAATGAATTTATGATGCATTTTTTTATTTGTTTTGTTCAAGTTAATTTCAAACAGCACGTAATTAATCAGACTTTTTTGATGTTAGTTAAAATGAAAGTTTCGCAATAAATAGTGCAATAATTAATTTACAAATCATTGTATAATTCTAGCATACATAATGCATTCATGTTGAATAAATACTACAATGTAATTTAGATTTCTCCAACATTTCAACAAGTGTATATAATTTAGTCGAAATGGAGTTTATTTTTCTATTTTTAATTAAGATTAAGATAATTATTTTTTTCCTAGAAAATTATTTTTTATCAATTGCAGGGCTATAATAACATATAGAGTAAAACAGAGCTTACTATTTATCTTATGCAAATTTTCTGATAAGTTATCAACATAATTTTGAAAAATTTAATATTGAATTCAAACAACTATCAATGGAAAATAAATGTGTAGCTTATCTATACAATGGGAAGTACCTACAAAATTATCACAAGAAAAGGGAGTTTATTGTTATTTAAGCAAATAATAAAATTTTACGTAACGGGAAACAATTTTGTTTTTCTCATAGAAAAATTCGTAGTCATATTTTGTAGTAATTCCTGATTATTTTCAGTGTTGCCTCGCCTTGGGGATGATGGGATTTCTTTCGGGCCGCCAACTCGGAGATACTTTATCTCTGATGCAAAATTTGGAAACCATCTTCTCGGCCAGTTACCTAAAAGGCGACGGATCAATCCCTAACGTAACTGCGGAAGTTGCTAATTTGCACGCAGCTGCGTTAAGTGCATGGACTTTATTGCTAACCAATATGCCACCTGGGAGTCTTACCGATTTGATGAACAACAAAGCCTTACCGTAATTAGTTAAATCGTAAATATAAATACACTAATATTGAACCTGATTGTAGATCTTTGGATCAGTTGTCCGAACTGTTGGAATCACCACACCTCGAAGTCCGATTAACCGCAGGTGAAGCCCTGGCGCTGATTTTTGAAGAAGGGAGGAAAGACAATGCGGATTTCGCCGACGATTTTGCTATGTACATCACAGATGTGATCAAGAAATTGGCCACAGATTCGCATAAATATCGGGCTAAGAAGGACCGGAAACAACAGAGAGCCACGTTCAGGGACATCCTCTCATATATTGAAGTAATTAGTATTTTTTTAGAAGTAATTATTTGAAAAGCAATTTTAGGATGATATTGTTCCCGACGTGACTGTTAAATTCGGTCGGGAAATCTTGATTTTGGACACTTGGGCGAGAAGGAAACAATACGACGCTTTATGTACCGTTTTAGGACCTGGAATTAACATCCATTTGGGCGAAAATGACCTTTTGAGGGATATATTTGAGATTACAGCTCCCATCGTGCAACCACATGACCCACCAGCACACGCACAACAACATATGGAGAGATGTCGCAAGGTAAAGGTTTCGTAGGTTTCGTTTGTTTAATTAAGGTGTTTATTTGTTTTTTTTTTCAGCGATTACTTAATGCAGCAGCGTTTAAAGCAAGGACGATATCAAGGGCGAAAAATAGGGACAAACGATCAGACTTTTAATTGTATATTATGGGATATTTATGTATTTATTTTAGCTCAATTATATACCGACAGTAGCTGATTTTGTTTTTATCTGATAGCAGTAGCGAGAATTTATGTTGGCATTAGTTATTTTAAATTTGTAAATATGTTTATGAATAAATTTACAAATTTAATAGGTGTTTTATTAATCACAGAAAATTACCAGTTAACGTAATTATTTAATTCTTCAATTTTTTCTCACAGTAACTTACATATGGCACTCTCATGCTGTTCCACTGGTGTTTTTAAATCAAATTACTGATCGGATTAAAAACCCACTATTTATAGACATCAACAAAAATAAAAAACATTTGAGATTTAAACATCTATAACAATATAAATTTGTAAACAATGCAACAACAATTTAATACGATCAGTAATTAGCGGAAAATGTTAATAACAATAAATATAAATAATACAAAAGTTTTGTCAAGATTGTTTACAACCGGGGATTTTTCTAACTGCGATACACGAAATTGGTTTCTTCCATCTACGTTTGGAACTTTGGTTGTTCGTTTGAGCACTTCCGTTATTTTGTTCGGCTTCACGTTTCTTAATTTCTTCTAGAAAATAATTTTAACAATCAAAAACACATGGGAAGGGGCAAACAAACCGTTAAGCTCCCGTTCTGTGAAATACTCGACGTTATTTGCTGTATCTGAAGTGTCATAATAATGATCGAAAAGATATGGTAGGACAGTCATACAGTGAAATTCGTCGTTTCGCAAGGGCGGGATGGGGACGGGGGGTGCAGTGATGGGCGGCCTCCGCGAAAACCACCTAGAATTTGTCAAAAATAATAAATCAATACAACAGAGTCTTTGACTTACATGTGTTGCCTAATTTGTTGTAAACTCAACCTTTCCTCGGGATCCTTCCTCAACATCCCTAATAATAAATCCCTCAAGGGATCCTCGATATAATCCGGTATTGTGAATTCACCTTTGCCTATATTTTCGAATAATTTGTAAATACTATCACCTTCGAAAGGGTATTCCCCCGTTACGAAATTGTATCTACAACACAAAAATTAATTTTTGTAAGTGGGAAAAATGGAATTTTACAGTGTAACACCGCTACTCCAAACGTCCACTTTGAAACCAGGGAATGAGTCTAAACCGTTGGCGATTTCGGGGGGCTGAAAAGCTGGAGAACCTTGACCTTGAACACATGTGTCGTCTATTGCGAAAAAATCGATTGTCTGAAAAATGGCATTTATTTTAATGGCAGAAAATTCATAGGAAAAATTTAATTCAATCTTTGTGTGCATTTGAAATTATTTTGTTTCACACCGACTATTTTTTTTAATATCTTACGATAAGGAAATTTGAATCACATTAATATATTTAAACAAAGGCGTGACCTGTTTATTTATAGAAACATTTTATTACATAAAAATAAAATATGTATTTGGATCAGTCGCCGTATTTACTTTTCTCTGGTACGTATTTGACTGACAAAAATTTTTGTGAGAGTAAATATCAGCCCAAAATAGAATGGGGTTTATTTATAACACTCCTATCAATTTTTAATGAACAAACAGATACAAGAAATCATTTAACAACGAAATGTCTAAATGCGTTTTCTATCAATCATGAGTTCAACATGCAGTAAAATAATGATACTTTAAATAAATAATTTAAAGCAATGTGAGGTCATTTTGAAGTGAAAAAATTAATCACTTTATTTGGTGTGGCTTCGTGTGTACTCCACAAAACAACGCTTTATTATCCAAAAATCTGTAATCTTTGACCCTGTATAAAACAGGTCATTTTACTTTTGTGTTTAAATCAGTCTTAATGATGTTCCTAGTTGCAACTTTGTTCTTGATATTGCTTCTAACCCTGATAATATTTTTAAGGTAACACTTTTTTATTCTCAATGCTTATCGCCTATCGTAAAATTTTTTACTATCACTTTTTCAAGCAAGAATTTTAACTGTCCATGTGTTTGAACGTTTGTGTCATTTTTAATTAATTACGACAAATTAATTTGTTATTAATTATGAGTGAGGCTATCACGAGAATTTGGGAGACTTTGTGCACGCTTTTGGAGAGGTATTTTTAGATTTTTCAATTTTTTACTCACCTCGGCAACGCCTAAATCAGAAATTTTCAACTCTCCTTCTAACGTGAGGAGGAGGTTTCCCGGTTTGATATCTTTATGTACGACCCTCTTGCTGTGTAAATACTCCAGGCCGTCGATTAGTTGTATGAAATAGCCGTGGGCTTGATATAAGGGGAATTTTTTGTAAGGCGTAGACTCTAACATGCCCTGGAGACTCCCCACACAAAATTCCATTATCAGATACATCTTCTGCTTCTCCTCGTTGAACAGAACATCGACTAGATTGATAACATTCTTGTGTTTGAGTGACTTAAGTAGTTTGATTTCTCTGAAATTTGTTACAGGTTAAAATCGCAAATGGCGGCCTTGGTGGCTTGGATCGTGGGAACGGTGAGTACCTTTCTACGTTTTGTACTCCATTAGGTATCCTCCTGAGTTTCCTCTGTTTCAAAATTTTCACCGCACGTCTACATAAAGTGTCCGAGTCTAGCATTTCTTTCACTTTGCCATAGGAGCCCTCGCCTAGTAGGTCCCCCATTACGTACTTCCCGATCATTTTCAGGCGCTTCTTGGCCTGGTAGATAACCTGATCGGAGGACACGCGGTGGAAAAAATTGTTAATGTTGCCTACATCGAGATCATCCGATAAGTTGTTACTCCAGTTGTGTTGGTCGTCGTCTAGGGACAAATTTTCAAAGACGCGGTCCCCCAAAACCGGGAATTCCTCACTGTTAACATCGAAAACTCGGTTGGTTAGCTCGAGTTCCTCGTGTTCAGGATTTAATTCCTGCTCGTCACTGTCACTGTTGGTTATGTTACACATTTTTTTGTCCATAATTAATATTTCACAACGGTTTCTCTCAGTTTTGATTCTCTGTAAATTGGAGTTAGACACTTGCACCTCATGTCATTTTCAATATTTTTGTTGTCCAACTAACAGCTGTTCCTAGGGATTTTTGTGGCTGTCACCCCCGTGTTACATAACGTGAAAGTGGGACACCAAACACCGACATCTCAAATTTTATTATACAAAATCAATTATCACACCCTTTTTAACGCCTAAATAATTTTTTGCACAAGAAACACACGAATTCCTGACATTAGCCCAGATTTTTACGTCAACAATCACACCAACCGTGGCAACCAAAAGTTACCAAATTTAAATTTACTTTCATTTTATCAAATTTCTTAAAAATGCACTCATGTTTATGAAAAATACAACTACAACGTAATTTTAACGATAATGGAAAATAAATTAACGTATTTGTTTACTTAAGTTTGTTAAAATTAAATTTGAGATAAGGTTAGGACATTTTTCGAAACAAAGTTTTTTTTTATAATTAAAGTTTTATTAAGCTACTGACAAAATATTAAAGCAAATCTAAAAGAAAATAATTTAAAGAATATTTATTTCGTGTGTTTTTTTCTACATGTCAACAAGTGGCTGTCATCTCAATGTCACCTTGACAGTTCCAAATACATATATCTCCTCTGGCTTAAAATCTCAATTTATAAGAGAACCGAACATCAAAAGTAAGTGACAACGAATTTTTTAAAGGTTTGTTAAAAAAATACTGCAACTCTTAGTATTGGGTGAGTTTAAAACACAGGTTTAAAACTCCAATCAAATTGTTATTTATTTATTTTCATTTCCTAATCACATTTTAGAACGTTTTTATAGTTATTATTATTGAATGAGTAATTAATTGAAGAAATAAGGTACATAATGTTCAATAATTTATTTCTTTATCGTGTAATTAACCAATAAAATTGAATTTATATAACCTATGGTCTTTGATTATTTTTAATGAATTTTGCTTTAATTTGTTGTGACTAAACTACTTAAAAATTTCTTACAAGTAAAGTCGTAGCATTTAATTTAATTGCATGTTAGTAAATAACGTTTCAGTTAAGGAAAATTATTCAGTGTAACAATAAAAAAGATTCTTTTAGAATGTTTTCATGTCTCTGGAAATTTTATATCGGAATATTTCATTTGATATTATTTTTTTTGAATAAAAGTTTTGCTATCGCGTTTCATTTAATAAGATACGTGTTATTGTGGTGTGTTTTAATATTATTAAGCTTGTCACGGTATTTAGAACAAGTAAGTTTATTTTTAAATTTCCTTGTATAAGTAATATCGCTTTAAGTTTCCTCAAACGATCGTAATTTTCTCAGATATCTGGCAGTAGAGGCGAAGATAAAGACCAAGAAGAAGACAATAAAGAAAAATCAAAGAAAAAAGTTAAACAAAAACCGAAGAGAAGCGCATTAAAAGAACCATCTTTTAGTACAACACTTACAAATCCGATTGAAGAAGTCATTGAAGAGATCCTAGACGAAGAAGTGAAGCCTTCCAAACCTAGAAAACGGAACAAAGCTAAAAACAAATCGAAAAATAGCGACGACGAACTCGGATTTTCCTTTTTCAAAGCTAAATCGTCGGAAAGTTTACCAAAATTTGAAAATGTTGAAACTAAGTTAATTTTGCAAGTACCAGATCCACCCGAGGATCCACTCGGATTTTCCTTTTTGCCCGTTAAAGATAAGAAACAGAGAAAGAGTCAGAAACAGAAAATTGAGGATTTGCCAAAATCGACTCTCATTGAACATTTCAAACACGGCAAAAGGGTAAAAAATGAGTTTGTCGTAATTGAAAAAATTGAAAAAATCGAAAGTGGAAGTAAACCCGAAAATTGTATCGAAATCGTCAATAAGGAAACTGGGAAAAAGGTTTATCTTGAAGCCAAAGAGAGCAAAAAGGTTGATTCGAAGATTTCGTATGCGAGTGTTGCTTCCCAGAGTTTTGAGGAAAGTTTAGAGCAGTTAAGGAACGAAGAAGAAAATAAAATTGATTTTGAGATTATTGAAGAAACTGAAGAAGCTCAAGTCAATGATATTAAACGACAAATTGAGGAAAAACTAGTGACTCAAATTCGGAGTGAAGAACGAAGATTGATCGATTTACTTGATGAAAATCACTACAAGTCAAGTGAAGAAATTGCTGAGGGCAAAGTCGAAGCTAACAATTTTGTCGCTTTAACAGAAAAAAACAACTCATCGTTTGTGAAGATTAATGGAATTGAACAAATAACTGTTACTAGTGAAGAAACAAAAACGGTAGAAGAACTTGAACCAGTCAATAGCGAAGAAAATCTTGTTGAAGAAATACCAGAAGTGGTGCAAAGCATTGTTGATACTGTCACTAGTGAAGAAACAAAAACGGTCGAAGAACTTGTACCAGTCAATACCGAAGAAAGTCTAGTTGAAGAAATACCCGAAGTGGTACAAAGCATTGTTGATACTGTCACTAGTGAAGAAATTAAACCGGTTGTTGAAAATCCAATCATTCAAACTGAAGGAATAGTGACACAAAGTGTCGCATTCGCTCAAAAAGAAGAAATTTCTTCAAACAAAAAACGCTTCAAGATGTCTTCCGGCACCCATCAAATCCGCGTTTTGACCCTAAACGACAAAGAACACCAAGACTCGACTCTATACCGCCTCCAAAAAAACTGGATTCTTCAATTCCGTCTCGGTCCTTCCTTACTAGGACGAAAAGTGTCACTTTATTGCAACTACCCTCAAAACAACGAGTTCAAACGACACTCCTACAACTTGCTAAAGTGGCACCAAGACGAAGGATGCCAACATTCTGACGATACAGCCTTTTTAACGGAAATAACAATCGAAAAATCCGGAAGTTTTCACTACTTTTTCACTTACGACGACCAAAACAAACATCAAGGCTCCGGTTTTTTCCTCGTAGATCCAGTTTTGAAATACGGAAATAATGAAAAATTGCCATTGGATTGTATTCAGTGTCAGACTGTTTTGGCCAAAGGTTTGGGGCCATTTGACACTTGGGAAAATAAACTAAACGTCGCAAAAGAGTCGGGGTACAATATGGTCCACTTTACTCCAATTCAGGTAAGTGTGGGCGTTCTGTGAACTGAATTAAGTCCATTCTTAGGAATTGGGAGCTTCCAATTCATCTTACAGTCTTAGCGAACAGTTGAAAATCAATCCTTTGTTTACGAAGCAAAGTGGAGATGAAACGTCGTTTGAGGACGTGGATGATTTGATTAAAAAAATGAGAAAGGAATGGAAGGTATTTTTTATTAGTTTATTTGTAGTTGGTTAGTTTTGAATTTTTAAGATGGTTTCAATTTGTGATATTGTCTTAAATCACACGGCCAATGAAAGTGCTTGGCTTAAAGAACACCCAGAGGCCACCTATAACTGTCAAAATTGTCCTTATTTGCGGCCTGCCTACCTCCTAGATGCCGCTTTTCACCAGTTTTCATTGGACGTCTCTAAGGGTCTTTATGAGGAAAAAGGGATTCCTCCTCAAGTCTCTACAGAGGATCACTTGAATTCTATACGTTACCACTTCCACAATGAAATTTTATCACAATTAAGAATCCCCGAATTGTATACTTGTGATGTCACTAAACAAGTCGCAGATTTTCTAAATTTGATCCGGAATAAAATCCCGACTCAAACTGAACCAAAAATTGAAGAAAACCTCAAGCTGATGCAAGACCCTCAATTCAAACGACTTGCTTCAAGCATTGATATGAATTTAGCCACGAGACTGTACAACAACTATCGTCTCGATTGCTACGACGAGGAGACAAGAATTAAAAAATGTGCTGAAGATTTTAAAAACAAGCTAGAATCGCTCAATAAAACAATGATTGATGAAATTAACGACCACTTGAAAAACGCAGTTGAGAATGTAATCGCCGGGATTAGATACTTCCGGGTGCAATCCGACGGCCCCAAAGTACGCGAAATTTCGCTGAAAAACCCCATAGTTTTCCGGTATTTCACCGATTACGGAACCCCCAAGAGTCTCAAGGAGCACGAGGAGATTATGTATAGTGAGAATGGGCGATTTTTGATGGCTCATAACGGTTGGGTCATGAATTCAGACCCTTTGAGGAATTTCGCAGCCCCCGATTCGAATGTTTATATAAGACGAGAATTGATCGCATGGGGGGATAGTGTCAAATTGAGGTAAGGTGGTTAAGGGATGAATTTGAGATAACAACGAGAGTTGCAGGTATGGGGAGAAGCCAGAGGATTCACCGTTTTTGTGGAGACATATGAGGGAGTATGTGGAGTTGACAGCGAGGATTTTTGATGGGGTTAGATTGGATAATTGCCATTCAACACCAATTCCGGTAAGTGAAATTTAAATTATTTAGGATTGGTTGTACCGATAAAACTTCATTTCAAACGAAGCTTAATTCCATAAATAGGTACTATTGTAAAAAACCATAGCAACAAATAGAGATAAAGAAATAATTTATGCTGCAATATACCGTGCGATCAAATAAAAAATAAATTAGAGTAGGCGTCGATTAAATTCTGCAGTTGGCAACACATAGGCTGGGAATCTGGGCTGGAAATTTTTCACACAAACTGAAACTGAAAATGACCACTCATCGTTTTCCTCTTGTACAGCAATAAAAATTTTCTGCTCTAAAGTGAACAATATTTCACTCAAAAGGAATAAAACGCAAACTTGTCAAAGTTTCCGCTGACATTTGTCAAGAATCAGGATTGCCATCTGAAGGACTTTAATCACCGCCTACTCTATTTTTTTTTTGATTTTACGGATACAGAATAAAATTATAAATCTGTTTAACTATTTAAAAATACGGCTTTCTAGATGCTAAACCGTTCGTTCGTTCAATCAATTTTTTTCCCAAAGTGGCCTGTGACTTTGAAACATTGAATAATGTTGAATGAAATAATTGAATAATGTAGAGATAAAACATATCTTTGTCTTAATTATCTGTCGATAGATAATTATGAGACTTGTCAATTTCTCTCGGAAATGAAAAGCGAAAACGCAAAACTTTTGAATACATCTTTCAATGTTGCTAACTTAATTTTAAAGTCACAAGCCACTTTGAACAGTAATCTGATTATACGCATGTTACTCTATTGTTGTTTTTTTATATTCTTTTGATAAGTTAATTGATTAATCTGTAAAAAACAATTTTGGTGCTAAATAACAAAATTAAAAAATAAAATTGTCTTAGTAAACTTTTATTATTAACGAACTAACTGTATTAGTTTTAATTTTTTCTAATTACCAGGTGGCAGAATACCTCCTCGACTGCGCCCGAAAGATCAACCCCGATCTCTACGTCGTCGCTGAGCTGTTCACAAACTCGGACCTAACCGACAACATATATATCAATCGTCTCGGCATATCATCCCTAATTCGAGGTTTCTATCACCCTCACTGTTTTTTCCCACCACCAATCAATCAAATTTCAGAAGCCATGTCAGCTTGGGATTCCCACGAACAAGGCCGTCTCGTGTACCGTTACGGTGGTTCCCCGGTTGGTTCATTCTACCAGCCCAGAGTTCGCCCCCTCGTACCCTCAATTGCCCACGCCCTTTTTCTCGACTTGACTCACGACAACCCCAGCCCGGTCGAAAAACGCTCAGTTTTCGACTTATTACCAAGCACGGCTTTGGTCAACATGGCGTGCTGTGCTAGCGGCTCGAACAGGGGGTATGATGAACTTGTACCTCACCATATACACGTTGTTGACGAAACGAGAAAATATACAGAGTGGACAGAAAACGAAAATCTTGCCGCCGGAAATGCAAGATATATTACAAGAAAATCGGGGATTATTGCGGCCAAGAAAGCTTTAAACGAGCTACATTACCATTTAGGAGTTGAAGGATTTGATCAAGTGTGTAATTGTCATTTTTGATGAAAGAAAAGAATACAATATGGTGTTTGGCAGGTTTATGTAGACCAAATGGATCCCGATGTGGTTGCAGTTACGAGACATTGTCCAGAGACACACGAAAGTTACGTTCTTGTCGCTTTTACAGCTTTCGTACATCCGCCAGAGGACGCTGATGGTCATCAAAGAGGAATCAAACCGCTCCGAGTCGAGGGAGTCTTAGACGAAATTGTTTTGGAAGCAACTCTGAACCAATCAAATCCCAAGTAATGAAATGGTCATTAAATTTGCTCTAGGTCACAATCAAAATTATAGGTCCGGTTCGAAATACACCAAAAGTCTAAATTATCGCAAAGATAATAAATGGATAAACGGACTGTCTGAATATCAGGTCCACCTGAAGCAACACATCCAACCAAGTGAGTCTGAAACTGTTGAGAAAGTCGATTCTGGGTCACCCAATGTAGTCCAGTTGAATTTTAAAAATTTCAAACCAGGAAGTGTCATCATAATCAAGTAAGTGCGTGCCTTAGGTAGCTTTGATTTGATCCAAATAATTTTTTTAGAGTGTCGTTACCGAAAGATATGAAAGAGGCTATTAAGAATGTCCGCAATTTGATAAGTCAATTTTCTATTAAAAAAGAGACAGAACTATGGAAAATAATAACTGAGATGACTTTAGCTGACTTGAATCGAGCGTTATATAGGTGCGAGCAAGAGGAGAGAGATGAAGGTTACGGTTTTGATACTTACGATATTCCGAATTTCGGTCGATTGGTTTATGCAGGGTTTCAAGGTTTTTGTTTCAAAGTAATTAAGTTTTTATTTGATTGCTTTTTGCAGGTTTTATGTCTTTATTGTGTACTGTTCGGCCTAATAACGACTTGGGTCACCCAATGTGTGCCAATTTGCGCGACGGAAATTGGATGATTGGTAAATATTTACCTATTTTCCCTTCCAAATCTAAAAACTGAATCAATTTTAGATTATATTTGGCAAAGATTGAAGCTTGATGACGGCACAAAACATCTAGGCCAATGGTTTGAGGAAAACTCAAAGTCGCTCAAATCGATCCCTCGCTATTTAGTCCCGTGTTACTTTGACGTGATTGTTACAGGAATCTATATTTTGCTACATGAACAATGCTACAACCTCATGTCGGAGTAAGTCGAATAAAATGAGACTTTCGTGCATAATTATCATATCTTTTAGTTTTGTTAAACTCGGCTCCACCTTTGTCAAAGGTCTAGCGATGGGTTCAATCCAGATGTCTGCTTTGATAAAATCCGCTGATTTACCACAACTTTCCCCAAATCTTTCTGAACCTAAACCACCTCAAAGGAAAAATAACAAGGGCGAGTTGGTACAATCTTGTGTTACTATGTCTGCCGGTTTGCCCCATTTCTCGGTGGGGTATATGCGTAATTGGGGTCGGGATACGTTTATAGCCTTGAGGGGACTCTTCTTGCTGACTGGGCGATACGAAGATGCTAGATACCACATTCTGGGCTATGCGGCGTGTCTGAGACATGGGCTTATACCCAATTTGCTCGATGGTGGACGAAATTCACGGTATGAATATTTTTAATAGTTACAACCATGGGCGCCGACTACTTGGTGCATCGGGACACTCTTAATTTTATGTTTATTTTAATCTTTTTTTAGTAACGTTGCATTCTAAATCATTTTAAATGTCAAAGATTTCTTAAATTTTCTATTATTCTATTTTCCTCGAGAATACTCCTTCAAAAAAGATTTTTTATTATCAAAACGACAAAATATTCTAAAAAAATCTTTTTATACAAGGTGATTCTTTTAGGGCCTTCATTAGAATTTTTTTAATTTCTAATGCAGATAGGAATTTGAAATTTTGTACACAACCCAAATCAACCAGTCTGAGTTCAACCAAATTATTTTCAAAATGGCTGAACTTCCGGAACTACGAGAAATTGACGCCAACTTTGAAATTTTAAATGGTAACCACTTATTTTGATTGCATTTTTGAATTCTCCTCTTTAAACTAAGTAAAATGTACCTAGGTGTTACTACTTATCTGTCATAGTTTGTGACATATGTCAATTTTTTGGTCAAAATTTTCATTTGCAGGGGTTCATTCAAAACATCACAGCTCTTGAACCTTTTGCGATAAGTGAATATTTTTTTTTGCATTCGATAAGCAAAGATTCGAAAAGTTTTCTAGAATTTTCAAAATTGTCACTATCAAATTGCAAGGCTAGTATGATTTTTTGAAAATGATCATTAACAAACAGCTATAACTCAGTTTTTTCAAATGAAATGACTATTTTCTCAACGGCAATCAAAAGTACATCAATTTGTAGAAGGACTTTTATCAACATGTCCTAGACCTATGTCTTACAGTTTTTGAAATAATCATGAAAAACATGTTATTGTTTTTTATTTTTATAATTAATCACGTAGGCTTGGAAAAATACAATAAAGATATGACGTAATTAATACAGATGTTCGATATGTTTACCATTTTCAAACAGTCCAAAACTCGATTGTGCATTGATTGAGTGGCTTCCATTATTTCATTTCTTTGAAGATTATTAAATGCCGCCTCAATCCTTGCCTCAATTCTTCGTAATTCCGGATAGGTGTTGTGTAGACTAAATCTTTAATACGTATTGATCATTTTCCAAAGCCTACGTGATTGACTATAAAAATAAAAAGACAAAAACACGTTTTTCGTGATTATTTCAGAAACTGTAAGAGATGGGTATAGGACATGTTGATAAAAGTCCTTCTGCAAATTGATGTACTTTCGATTGCCGTTGAAAAAATAGGGTCATTTTATTTGAAAAAACTGAGTTATAGCTGTTTGTTAAATATCATTTTCAAAAAATCATATTACCTTTGCAATTTGACAGTTGACAATTTTGAAAATTTTAGGAAACTCTTCGAACCTTTGGTTATCGAATGCAAAAAAAATTATTCACTTATAGCAAACGGTTCAAGAACTGTGATGTTTTAAATGAACCGCTGCAAATGAATTTTTTGACCAAAAAATTAACATATGTCAAAAACTATGACAGATAAATACTAACAACTACATTTACTCAGTTTGGAGAGGTTTAAGTGGTTACCATTTAAAATTTCAAAGTTGGTGCCAATTTCTCGCAATTCCGGAAGTTCAGCCATTTTGAAAATAATTTAATTGAACTTAGACTGGTCGATTTGTGTTGTGTACAAAATTTCAAATTCCTATCTGCATTAGAAGTTAAAAAGTTTCTAATATAGGCCCTAAAAGAATCACCTTGTATACTATTCCAAAGAATTAATGGAACAAAAAAAATTCTTATTTTTTTCGTGATTTTTGAAAGACTGTACCCACTTTAATGAAAAATGGTCGTATCTAGATTAAAAAAAGTTCTTTTGGCAAAAAAATTTCTGAGCTATGGTTATTATGCAATCCTAAGAAACAGCGCGAGAAAAAAAAATGTCTATTTTTGGGGACTTGGGTAAATTTTTCTTAGTTAAATCAATGCATGGACCGGGATAACTTGTTCATACAGCTTCAACTTGCTTTTTATGTTCTCTTTACGTCAATTTGTCGCTGAGATATTTGACTTTTAATAGAAAAAGGATCTTTTTGTCTTTGGTCATCGATATCTTAGCAACCAATGATCATACAGAAAATGTAAGAATGATTTCAAAAACTGAAATAAACTTCCTATGAGATGTTTGTACGATTTTTTGAAAAAACAATTTTTCACTCTCAACGTTGATTAAATGAGAAAAAAAGTAACTTTTTTGTTGTTTTAATAAATCTACGGTGTATTCACAAATATTGATGGGGAGACTAATGTGGAATTAATTGTTTCTGAACATTGTGTATTCTTCATCAAAAAGAAAAAAAAGTGTTTTTTCAATTTTTTTACAATTTTGCATGTTAAATTTGAAAAAATATCAAAAATGTTTGTTTTTGATAAGTAACAAAAATCAAGAAACAATACTAATTATGCCTGAAGACCATTCAGCTTTTGCATACCTTAATTTTACTCATCTCAAATTAATTTCGTACAGCTACATTAAAAAAAAACGGAAAATGAAATTTTTCCAAATGTAAATTCGATTCTAGTACCTATCAAAAATATTTCTATCAATGGCATTAAATTTATACCAACTTGTATAATGCCGCATTTAACTGAAGTAGAGAAAGCTAGAATCGTCGCTCACCCCTGGGAAATGATGGGAAAATTATGAATTTAGCGGCAGAATTTAGAGTGCCACATTTTAACCCATTTTTAATAAAACACGTTCACACCATGGAAAAATTGAAAAAAAAAATCTCTAAAGTTTTTTGACTCTTCCCGTTTTTTTAATGTAGCTGTACATTAATGAAAGTTGATACCCCCAAGCTGTATTCACGACTCCATTTATGAACATTCATGTAATTTTTTTCAATTGTTTCCGAATTTGTTTAATCAAATTTAACAGTTGTATTATTATTTTTAAAACTCAACAACTTGAAGCATTTTCAAACATGTACTTTACATTTTTTATTCTATACATACATTAACAACTTTTGTATTTTATTATTTTTATTTTCTTTTGTGCTATACAAAAAATTACATAGTTTTTAAATGTACTAAATATTAAATACATTAAATTCAGAAAAATTAGAGAAGAAATCGTTTTTTCGCGTAATTGTTCTTAAGTCCTGCAAGTTATAGCAACTAGAAGATCTGAAAAGAAACTTTTTTTTGTCATGTGCATTGCTTTAAAGACGAATAATTTATCAAGTTTTTTGTTTATACACCCATTGAAAATATGAAAAGTCGGCGCTCATGATTACAACACACTTAAAACTTGCATATCCGCTTCCCAAGCGTGAAATTATCCGTTTTTTATGAGACTAAAGTCCATTTTATAAATAACAATTACTGTAATTATCCATCTCACATTTATTTTTCCTTCAGCTTCAACTGCCGCGACGCCGTCTGGTGGTGGTTGCACTGTATTAAATCCTACTCTGAAGATACCCCCTCCGGTCTCTCCATCCTTCAAGACAAAGTCTCCCGTATCTTCCCCAACGATGACTCGCCCCCTCAACCCTCCGGCCAATTCGAGCAACCTCTCCATTCCGTAATGCAAGAAGCCCTCAACGTCCATTTCCAAGGTCTTGTCTTCCGCGAACGCAACGCCGGTCGCCAAATCGACGAACACATGACCGACCAAGGCTTCAACAACCAAATCGGAGTCCATCCGGAGACAGGTTTTGTCTTCGGAGGCAACGCCTTCAATTGTGGGACTTGGATGGACAAAATGGGCTCGTCGGAGAAAGCCGGAAATAGGGGAAAACCAGCAACGCCGCGTGATGGCTCTGCTATCGAACTAATCGGATTGGCTAAATCAGTAGTTACGTGGTTAGATAAGTTAAGTAGGGAGGGGAAGTACCCGTATAAAGGAGTAGAACGAGTCGGGAAAAACGGGGTAGTGACCAAGTGGACTTTCGAGGAATGGGCGGAAAAGATACAAAATAACTTTGAAAAGTATTTTTGGGTCAATGTAACGCCAGTAAAAGCCGAGATTCGACCAGATTTGATCAATAAAAGAGGAATTTATAAAGATTGCTATGGGGCGAGTCAAGAGTGGACCGATTTTCAGTTGAGATGTAATTTCCCGGTTGCAATGGTTGTGGCACCGGAACTGTTTAACCCTCAACATGCATGGGTGGCTTTGAAACAAGTCGAAAAATACCTTTTAGGACCTCTGGGGATGAAGACCTTGGACCCCGAGGATTGGGCCTATAATGGGGATTATGACAATTCGAACGATTCCGAGAATTTCAATGTTGCGCATGGGATGAACTACCATCAAGGGCCGGTAATTTTTTTAATACCAAAAATCAGCCAATCAAATTTAAGAGCATTCACGTTGCCTATGGTAACAATTTTTATCCATGGGCACTACATTTTCTGTAAAATGTTTAAAACAAAATAAAAAAAATCGTATTATTTTTTCAGGAGTGGGTGTGGCCTGTCGGCTTCTATCTACGTGCTAGATTACGATTCGCCGCCGCTAACAACAAATTAGCACAAACTGTGGCTGACACTAAAGTCGTCTTATCGAAGCATTTCGTCGAGTTACAAACATCAACATGGCGGGGACTCCCCGAATTGACCAATAAAAACGGAGCTTTCTGCAAGGACAGCTCAAGGACGCAAGCATGGAGCATGTCGTGCATTTTGGAAGTGAGTACGCTTGATTAAGTTAAATCTCGATGCGATTTTGTTTTACAGGTTTTGCACGATCTTCAAAGGATTGAGAGGGACCAACCAACGATCAATTGACTTACAAGAAAATTAGATTTACTTACCGAAAATTGCGAAATTATAATAAATTCACCGTTGAAAAGGACTTATTTTAAGCGTGAAACAATATTCAAGGTTGAAGATAAAGTCGAGTTACCACAAGTTGAAAATTTCATCGTTTACAGTGATTTGTACTTTAAAGAAAATCAGAGTTTGAATATGGTTGAGCGTGACTTGAGTCACTATGTGCATGTGTGTAATTTGTTAGTGTGTAATGATTGTTTTGCGGCAACGCATTTTATGCCCTGTTTTGGGGAGTGGTCCCAAGTTTTACAAGTGTTAAAATATTCTCCTGGTGATAGTCTTAGTTTTAATTTAGATAAGTCTTATAAGAATTACCGTGCAATTGTTAAGTATAGTTCATTTAGGAAGCGTGTTGTGTGTTTCAGTGATTTGTTATCAAGAATTTCAGTGAAGCCGAAAAGAAAAACAATTCGTTTGATCGATTTAGATGAAATATCACCGGTAGATGATGACAATCCGAGAATTACCGACGAAATTGTTGAAAATCAAACTGAAAAACCCTTGTTAGACAAACCTAGATTTAATCCAATTATACTCGAACCGTTATCGTTAGAAACTCTACAAAAAAAACGTGTTATTAATAGGATTTATGAAACTGAACAGAAGAAACTTATTCGTATTACCATTATGTACACTTTGGCCTTTTTTGCTTTAGCTATTACCACTTTTTTTATCATATATTTAGCCTAAACGATTATTTATTTCAAAAGTTTGTTGTGATCAGTTTATTTTGTAATAATTAAAAACACTATTCTGATTATGGTTGTTTTATTACACTTGTAATCAGGACATTACATAACAGTTTCTTCGTGGTTACATTGAAATAAATTGCTATCGTGGAATGTTGGATTAAAGAAACTACGATTATAACATTTGGAACTACGGTGGTTTTCAGGCCAACACATTTGAAATTTGAAATCTCTAAATAGTGAAAACAAAAATTGCCTTACAAACAATATAAAAATATAATTTCTCAACGCAATAAAAAAATAACAATTTAATAAACATCAATGACTTAGATCAACTTATACATCGTCGAAAATACCCCTCGGTGGCGCCCCCACGCGAGTCCTATAGCTACCATCCGACTGATACGAATCGGAAAACCTCGGCTCGAGTTCTTGCGAACTGTTATACCTTTCGTTAATCCTCGTGCTGGCGCCGAACCGAGCATCGATATCGTCTTGATCGGGGGGAAACCGCGTATCAACTTCACTCGTATACCTCCGACTCTCGTACGAATCCAATGGGTGCGACTCTTGCAGCAAATTTGAGCGTGTGTTATCCAAATTTTCCAGTTGGGTCATTGGCCGAACTGAAACCGTCGTTTGAAAATCAACCAATCAGAACCGACAACTTACTCGTATCGGTGCTTCCCCGAGGTCGGTACCTCCCCGTCGTCGGGAATCGTTCATTGAATTCGGTTCGTCTCGTACTCGCCTCCTCTGATCGCTGGCGTTTGCGTTTTTCGCGTTTGATTAATTCGCGGCCTTCTTCGATCAAGTCGGTGGTCATTTCGTCGTCGCCGACGAATTGGTGGAAACCCAGCATTGTTAAAAGGCGTGAACCGACGCTGAAATATGTTGCTAAACAAAATACTAGAATGGCCATTGGGAAGTAAACATTGAAACCGTCGGAGATTATGGAAATGACATCCATGTGACCCATGATCTGGAAAAATTACGGTTATTTTCACCGGTGGGAGAAAAAAATATGTAACTAACTTGTGTGTAGTGAGTCTCCATAACTTGCTTTTTTATTATGTGACTATCCATGTGAATTAAGCCGAGAAAATTTAAACATAGAGGAGGAGTAAGTCGGCTTAACATCATCCCTGAGAAGATTAAACTATATTCGTTTGTTTGGTGGTGAGGTGCTAAATAATACAAGTTGAGGAGTTTTATCTTGAGGACTGTTGAGTAAGCACAGTAGCATAAGTACAAGATTATTATAGTCGACAACAACTGTAACATTTTTTTGAGAATATTTGAAAAATAAATATTTGTGTCTTACTTCTATCGTAAAATAGTCATACTTGACTTTAGCACTGTTAACAATGGCGGCGAAAATCGAGAGAACAGGTTGTTTGTTGAAGAAAGTCACTTCTGACCAAACCACAGCCACGGAAAAAAGCCCAGCCATAACAGCCAACAATTTTTGTGTGTAACCGTAAAAAAGGCATTTCCAGTACCACTCTTGAAAAATTAAATAAAACATACAATCACGCCAAATTTATTAACAGTCTCACCAACTGTCGAAACGTACAAAAACCTCCTGAACAGAGATCGAGGTTTTTGGAATGTGCGTTTAAATCGTTTATCTCGCGAAATTTGATTTTTGAGAGTATCCTCAAGGTCGAAAATTTTTTCGACGAGAAGGTTCCATTGAGTTTCGGTTCTTTGAAGTACTTGAAGGGATTTTATCGTCTGAAATAGTGAGTGTTTAGTCTGCGGTCCGCGTCGAACAAAAAATCGATTTATCATTATGACATAATAATTATTTGTGTACCAATGGAATAAACAACTACATATTTTTAACTCCTAGAATTAGGTAATGCCCAAGGCAATCAAAAGGAGTCGAGGGCGTTTTCATTCGATGTTTATTCCAGAGATGTATACAAAACTTTCCTCTCAACAGACAAAATTAATATTAACATAAGAAAATGATGAATTTGTCAAATAATCGCAAATAACTTATCAAAACATTCAGTTCATTAAATTGCAATTTTAAGAGTAAAAATCGGTATTTCATATATTTTATTCCCGAGAGAATAAAGCGTCACTCTATTCCCTGTTGGAAGGAATTAAATGAAAAATATTTTATAAATTACAACACCTTTTCCTTCATATTAAAACAAAAGTAAATACTGTTAGAAGTATTTAGTCTGCGGTCCGCACAATACGTAAAACGTAACTCACTTGCTTGTGGAGCCTAATTAGTGCCTTTTCGCTTGGCAAATCTGTGGGGGTGTCTTCGGGTAACTGCCTCCGGTTCATCCTGTCCCTTAATTCCGTAGGTACTTTTTGTAAAATAGTCTCCAAGTTGGCATGCAATGGATGTCGCGAATTAATAGCCAAGGAGACAGCTTGTAGCGACTAAAATCCCCAAATATAGCAATTGTACCTTGACAAATAAACAGAATAAACCTCGAGGACATCATCCACAGTTTCCTCAGCCTCGCATTTGTCGGAACTCAGCTTGGCTGCTTTGAAATACGAATGGGTTAGTACAAAACTGTGGTTGGAGTTATTCCAGAGAGTTCGAGGTACTTCAACTAAAGCGTATCCAAATAGTAGAACTAGGAGAAACAAACCCCAGGTATTGCTAGCTGATGAAGCAATTGCTTTTAGTTTTGACCAGTCAAGGTGAATGCCTGGCTGGAGGGCTAAATAAATTAGTAATACTCCACAAATTAATAAATAAGAGCCGTAATATATTGCGTTATCGATTACAGCCGATTTTAATTTTCCTTTAATTGTAAAATCGCCTGCTTTGATGTAAGACTGCATCATTGGCATGACCAACCTAAAATTTATTTTGTTAATCTTTTTTGTGAGAAATATGAGAAAAAATACCAAGTTAAGCACTGAGTGCTCCAATACACCGTACGCCATAAATTAGGAAAAACCTCATCAGGGACTCGACTCCAAGGTTCTTCACATTTTTCAATACTCTTATTTGTGACAATTAACACTAATGAAGAAGTTACGTTATCAAAAGTGTCATGTTCTTCTTTACACTGGCGGTAAACCGTCTAAGAAACAAATCTGTGATTGACTGAAACTGAATAATTAATTACTCACCGAAATTACGTCTAAAGGAAGGGCAAAAATAATCAAGAAACTGAAATACCAAGCAAGAAGCACGATTAAAGTCACGACAATGTGATGTCTGAACCAATTTCCATATCGGTACAAAACTGTCGAGGCAAGAATAAAAGAAAGCAAAATTTTCGAAATTAGCGGGCCGTAATTCATTTTGAAGCGATTTTACTCTTCTTTCGGACTCTGTTGCATTTGCGATTTTTGCGCTTCTTGTTGCATTTTTTCCAATTTTTCCAAGGTGAAGCTTTTAAGAGGGATCAAACGGGGTTTACACAACACTAAATCCTGGATATCTTCAATGATTATTTGTCCTTTCTTAGGCAAAATCGGTTTTGGATTTTCCGCATTGGACATTGTCACTAAATAATTTACGACAATGTCATCACAACAAAGTCATCAATATTGATCATTTAAGTAATTAGGACAGTGACTAGGGCCGAAAAATTGATTCTCACGTGAAAATACCGAAAATATTGAACTTTTACACACACGCACTAAACGTCACTTTTGACAAGTGCATGGAATGACAAGTGTCAGTTGGCAATGTGGCCAATATCGATTACCGGTTTATCTTCACTAATTTGTTCAATTTCTCCCCGGATTTATTACAGTTAAACTTAATAAGTAATTGGTACTGTATGTTCATAAGAAAATTCGAATTATTTAAATAAAAGCCAACAATTCTTTGATAAAACAATCACCGGTTAGGTTTCTCTAGTTGGCAACACTTGTCTGGGGGCGTGTGCGGGTGTATTTCAGACAAAAATCCCTAAACCAACGAGAAATTTTGTTATGAGTTCTCTCCAATTTTCCAAGTAAAATGAGTGACTTATTTAAATCGGCATATGAGTACTTTAGTGGCCCAACGAACGGGCAAAGTGACAACAGTTTTGTGGGCCAAGTAATAGAAATTTCTAATGTTAAATTACGAATAAAAAAAGTCATTGCTGAAGGTTAGTTTTCAATATTGATTTTTCTTTGAAAATTTTGCAATATTTACTATGTTTTTCAGGCGGTTTTGCTGTTGTTTTTGTTGCCCAAGACGTAGGTACTGGTAAAGACTACGCTCTGAAAGTAAGTTTCTCTTAATTTTCGTCCAAATTCTAAATTTTCCTTTGGCAGAGACTTTTGGCTGCAGATGAAGAAGCGAAGAACAATATTATACAGGAAATAAATATCCTGAAGAAGCTGTCAGGGCATCCCAACATTATCCAGTATTTGTCAGCATCTTTTATTGATCAATCACAAACTACACATGGGAAGGCAGAATTTTTACTGGTCACAGAGTTATGCACAGGTATTTGGGGCCATTGCTGCGATTTTATAATGTTTGAGGGGTTTTAGGAGGGTCTTTAGCTGAGATTTTGCAAGCAAGAAGTACGCCTTTTGAGCCAGAAATTATAACACGGATATTTTATCAAACATGTAGAGCGTTGGCACACATGCACTCACAAAATCCTCCAATTATTCACAGAGACTTAAAGTTAGAAAATTTATTGATAAGTAAAGACGGTACAATAAAATTATGTGACTTTGGTTCAGCCACTGTTGAAATATTTAGACCTGACTTGACGTGGTCTGCTAGCCAACATGACAGTTTGGAAGAAAATGTAATTGAAATAATTTTGATTCCAGACTTTTTTTAATAGTAACTTTCAGATGGCCCATTGTACAACTCCCATGTACCGCGCCCCGGAAATGGTCGATACTTGGAACAACTATTTTGTGGGCCCCCCTGTCGACATCTGGGCCTTGGGCTGCCTTCTTTACGTCTTTTGTTACATGAAACACCCGTTTGAAGACAGCGCTAAATTGCGAATTATTAACGCTAATTACAATCTTCCTTCTGATCCTAAATATTCATGCTTCCAAGACATTATCCGTAAGTAATCCTTTTGTCGTTCAATTGAACCCCCAATTATTTTATATAAGGTGGCTGTCTCCAAGTCAATCCCGAGCAGCGCTTGACCGTCTCTGGAGTTCTAGAACGGGTGGCTGCCATCGCCGAATCCAACGGTTTCAACTTGAGAGCCCCCTTACAGTTCCAACAGAAACAATCCCCGGAGCTCGACCACAGTTCCGGCGATGGGGTGCACAATAACGTGAAGCCTCCACCTCGTCCTGTACCCCCAAGACCGCAACCGGTTCCCGAACGGCCGCCACAGCCCCCCCAGAGACCCGCAATGCCGGTGCAAAGACCTCCGGAGGTGAAACAATCGGGGCTGTTTTCATCATTGAAGGGAGGAGCTGGGAGTTTTTTAAAGAATTTGAAAGATACGAGTTCAAAAGTGATGGCAACTATGCAACAGTGAATTTATTTATTTATTTTTAATTTTTATAAATTAAGTTGTTTTTTTAGATCGATTGCAAGGACGGATTTGGATATGAGTTATGTAACTTCTCGTATTTTGGTAATGCCGTATCCGTCAGAAGGCATTGAGTCTGCGTATAAAACTAATCACATTGAAGATGTGCGAGTATTTTTGGATTCAAGGCACCCGAATTTGAAGTATTCCGTTTATAACCTTAGTGGAAAATCGTATCATTCAAAGTTTGGACAAGCGAGAGTTGTTGACTGTACGTTTGCATATCCTGAACATTTTAAAGCTCCGTTGTTGAATTCACTGTACCAACTTTGCGAGGATATTTACCAATATTTGGCTGGTGATAGTCGGAATGTGGTTGTTGTTCATTGCACGGTAAGATTTTGAGTGAAAACAAAAACTGACAATAAAAGATAATTGAGACAGAAAAATAAATACATTCTAAACATAATATCGTCCCCTAGATAACTGGAAATTTATAGTTTTGTGCAACTGGAGTTTAAAAATTTGAAAGACAAAAAACTACACCTTGAAAGTAACCAAAAATTATTTTTTTTAGTCATACAATGTGTAATTTACTAAACTATGTTTTTTTTAATCTGATAGAAAATTTGGTTTTATGTTTTTGAAGTATTGCAAAAAATACTTTAGAAATGCTTAAAACTAAAGATATCTATTATGTATTCACAAAACTCCCGTGACGTTTACAATGTCAAACCAAAATTTTGGAGTGTATCTTAAACGACACAGATGACTATTATTTCACCTGACTGTACTTGATGTCAAATTTCCATGGTAGCTTGGTACACGGCCCATGCATCAAACGATAATAATAATTAAATCATTTCAAATCAAGTGATAGCGACCAGGTTGTTAAACTTTGAGTGAACTTGTCACCAACATAGCCATAGTGACTTTTTGTTTAACTAACTTAACGTCATTTTGACATGTCGGGAGTTTACTGAATATATTTATAGTTGTTGCACTAAGGAGACGATATGCTTTCGGAAAAAAATATTTTAATTATTTAGACTGATACAGTTACAGAATTAAAATTTCGAGCAGTATTTTTCTGTCACTTCGAAAAATTCACTGTAAACTACCTTTTACTGTCATCATGACTGACATTTGACAATTAAACTTTTCTGTTAGTGACGCTATTTTTTAAGTCAAAATGACATAAACATGACAAGAGTTAAAAATGAGGTTATTAATGTAAAGCTTGTTTTAGAGTTTACATTGTGAAAATGACAATACTGCCCGAAATTTTAATTCCGCAACTGTACATACTTATGGCTTAAACACCTTAAATATACTCTTTTTTATATTAATGTACATCAAGTAGTAGAAGTCTAAATGCATATTTAATTTAAAGGTCGTACCGATTCACGTTAATTTTTGCTGTTAATATTTTTGAGGAGTTTTTGAGAGAAAATATGCCCAGATTTTAAATCTGATATTTATGTTTATTCACAATCATAAAGTAATAATCAAAGCATCTTGCTTGTGAAAAGTTGGAAAGTATGACATTTTAACTTTATTTAACAAATGATATGAAGTATCAGGTTCAGGTTGAGAAGATATCACTTCTTTATCAGTTGATATGTAATACGACAGTTCAGGTTGAGAAATGGCCACGTCCTAATCCTAAAAGTGTTACTGATAAGAAAGTTATCTCTTTCCAGCCTAAACTGTCATGTCATGTTTTGCAAAATAGGATAAATTTTTTATTGGCTTTCTGCTCTTTAAGGAGGATAAATGAATAAAATAGTGTACAAATCTTGGTGGTCGTTGCTTCATCGTACCTCGGCTTATTGGTAACCTTGGACATTGATTTTCGCTTTTAAGCGGATGTAATCTATTAGTTACTACTATTTGTTTGAAAATGATTATTAATTATAAAATGAACCTTTGTTTTAACATAGCTTACAAAAAAATTCACTACACTTAAAGTAAAGTAATTTTACTTTTTGTTTTGACTGTCTTAAAATTGACTGATTTTTATTGGTGATATTTTAGAAATAATTTTTTGTACTAAGCATGTACAAATTTTTTCTAAGCAAACTGTTAATTTTGTTTGTTGGCACACGTCATGTAAAAGCAACAGACATGAAAATATCATTTAAAATTAACTTAAGATCTTCATTGGAGAAAAAAAAAACATTTATATAACTTAATTTACATGTTAAAAACTATTTGTCATAACTTATATGTGTTGGCGTTCGAGCAAATAATGTCGACTAATCGTACATAGAATTATACCGTGCGATCAAAAAAAAATAAATAAATAGAGTAGGCGTCGATTAAATTCTACAGTTGCCAACACATTGGCTGGGAATCTGGGCCGCAAATTTTCCATACAAACTGAAAGTGAAAATGACCATTCACCGTTTTCCTCTTGTACAGCAACAAAAATTTTCTGCTCTAAAGTGAACATTATTTCACTCAAAAGGAATAAAACGCAAATTTGTCAAAAGTTGTCCGCTGACATTTGATGTCAAAAATCAGGATTTCCATCTGAAGGTCTTTAATCACTACTCTAATTTATTTATTTTTTTTTTTTGATCGCACGATATTTATTCTTGGACACAGCAAGTTTAAACATTGTTGACTCTAATTCGAAGAATAAAATGTTGTATTCAACTCGTTTGAGTGTACAGTGATGGAATTTCGTCCACCCAATTTCTGTTAATTCACAAAAATTCACTGTAGTCTGTGCTTTATTGTCATTATAACTGACATTCAAATACGTATTGTCAAATTTAATTATATTCGAACATAATAAAATAAAAATTCTGGTACAAGAAGATATGTCTCAAAGACATGTCTCTATACTTTTGGGCATACCAAGGTCTACAAAGGACAAACGTAAAAAGTAGCAAGAAGCATCGAGCATTCTGTCAACATGACAAACGTTAATCAAAATTCTGAAACAAGGTTAAAAAAACCTAAAGACTAATTTACACTTTTAATCTGTCAGGGAAATTGGGTGGACGAAATTCACTGTTCATCACTGTATGTAAAATTGTTTTATGTAAAATAATTAATTTGAGTATAATTTTTTGTAAAACAATTAATTTGAAAATAATTTTTTGTTTTGTAGCAGGTTTTTAATAAAAAACTTATGAAAATGATAAAACTTAGAATTATAGAAAATAAGTACATAATATTAGCAAAATATAAATAATTGTTATAACCATTTTACATAAAACATATTATCTATAAAAGTATTTTATCAAAAGGTTTGTTTTATTAATGAATATGTATGTCTAAGAAGAGGATTAGCAACTATGCATTTGTTTTCTGAAAAATTTTGTTCTAAAATTTAAAAAAACTATTAACGTTAAGATGTCAATTACCATATGTGTTACAAGTTAAAGATACTTTTGAAATGAATAGTTATTTATTTGACGAGTTTGAGTGTAAATCGGACACATTATTTCACCGAGATTATTAAACCACGAGTGTAACGAGCGGTTTATCATCCACGAGGTGGAATAAAGCGTCCGGTTTACATTCAAACGAATTGAATACATCATTTTATTCTTCGAATTAGACTCAACAATGCTTAAAGTTGCTTTAAATCTGTTAAAAATAATCTGACGTTTCGTATTGAGAAATGCCAAACAGTTTTCAAAATGTCCTTACACCGGTGAAAAACCGTAAATTTTGACAGTGTCGAAGAATAAATTTAATTTTTTATATCAAAAAGTGAACAATCTTATTGCTTGATTTTTATCTACCATGTTTTATGAATAAAGCAATGTATGAAAGAGGAAAAATTTCGATCTTTGACATCATTCACTTGATACCAAAAACTGTAAAAACCGATTACATCAATCAAAAAAATTATTGTTTTTAAATCGCGGATTATCTCTAGATTGCCACTTGGTTTAAATAATGTATAAAAACGTATACATTTATTGTCGTTTATCAGATAATTATTCCATTGTAACAACATTAAGATTTTAATCTAGAAATTTCAGATGAGGTAAATTCTAAAAAAAATTGTGTTTACAGGATGGAAAAGCTACTTCAGCCACTCTCGTATGCGGCTTGTTTATTTATTCATTTCTTTACGAAGTTCCTGAAGATGCCCTACAAATGTTTGCCGTCAAACGATGTCCACCAAATATGAGACCCTCCGAATTAAGATATTTGTATTATTTGGCAGACATCGTGAAAAATCCGCCGGTCTATCCGCACTATAAGCCGGTCACTTTGGTATCAATTCAGATGCAACCGGTCCCACTTTTTACCAAAATTAGGTCCGTTTGAATCGTTTTGGTTTTTGACCGAAAATAAAGTTTGAATTTTAGAGATGGGTGTCGCCCGTATTTGGAAATTTACAGCGAGAATCGGTGTCTACTTTCAACGCTACAAGACTATGAGAAAATGAGATTGTATAATGTTACAGAGGGAAAAGTAATCTGTTACCAGATTGTGAAAAAAACTGTTTTATTTGAAAATAAAAATTCCAGGTTTTATTACCGATCAATGTGAGTGTTTGTGGGGACGTTTGCATTATTATCTACCACGCGAGGAACATCCTGGGGGGCGTTATGACCCAAGGCAAGGCAACAGGGATTAAAATCTGTCAACTGCAACTACACACCGGTTTTATACCGGAAGAAGAAACTTGTTTGAAGTTTAACAAGTATTTTTCTTGTTAGTTTTGATGGATTTTTTTGACAAAAATGGGTTTTAGGTCAGAATTAGATGAAATATCCGATAGTCAAGATCACTACCAGGATAGATTTTTGGTTATGTTAAATATTTTTGTGTCCGATTCTGAACGAAAACCCTCCCAGCCACCCCCATGGTTGACGGACAAGACGCAACGAGCTTATGATACTATGTTTAGTTCGAAATTAGAACAAGACGAGACGATAGATAATTTTGGTAATTTATTTTGACAAGTATAGAGGGGCTAAAAAGCAATTTTGGATTCTTGCAGCCAGTAAACAACCTAAACGGGAGCAAATATCACCACAAAAGCCCCCAGAACGTCCGAACAAGCCTGCACCCCCGTCTCCCCGACCCACACATGTTGATGTAGAACAGAGAGATTCCAGTGATTCCGAAGTGGAGCAAGTCAAGGTAATGTACAGAGTAACTATTTTTTTGCATAATTTTTAGCATAAAAGTCTGGTTTTGTTTTTTTATTTATCGTTTTTTCTTATTTTTAGCCAACTCCTAGGCCTGTGGAGCCTCCTTTAATCGAAGCCGTCGACCTTCTCAACCTCAATACTACCCCTAACTCCTCGACCATAAAACCCTCCGCAAGCTCAAACTTCGATCTCTTAAGCGGTTTAGACTCCTCCAATGACAACTTCTCCACATTTCCCTCCAATCCCGCTCCTAACCCTCAACCCTCCCTCTTCGACCCGTTCGGTTCCTCCAATCCTCAAAGCAACCTTCTTGGCGATTGGGGTAATTTCAATTCGGCTCCGAATCAACCCCCTGAAGCCCAACCCCAGAAACCCACCGATTTTTTCGCCGATTTGGGTAACCTGGGTGGAGGTGCATGGAACAGCAACGCGTCCTCTCCTATTAAAGTTCCTCCCACAACTCCCCAACAAGGGGGAACGCCCCAACACAAACCCGTCACACCGCAACATCAGGCCAAGTCGCCGGCTGATTATAGTAGATCTCATTTCGAAACGCTCAACGACAAGAATGAGAAAGGGAAGCCGAAAAGTGATGATTTCTTTGGGGATTTGTTGGGGTCGCAGGGGTACAAGTTTAGTGCGAAAAAAGATAATGCCCCTAGGACGATTAATGATATGAGAAAGGAAGATATGGCGACTTATATGGATCCTGATAAGATTAAAATCATGGAGTGGGTAAGGGATTTCAATTTTTTTAGAGGGTGGGATTGTTATTTCTGGTTTGCAGAAAGAGGGTAAAAAGAATAATATTAGGGCTTTGCTGTGTTCGCTACATACAGTTCTATGGGAGGGAACGAAATGGAATAAGTGCGATATGTCGCAGCTTGTGACACCCGTTGATGTCAAAAAGGCTTACAGGAAGGCCTGCTTGGCGGTACATCCGGATAAGGTAAGAGATGCGCAGGTGTCACATGAAATTTAGTGTATTTTTAATTTTTTTGGTTGGTAATCATTCTATTGCAGCAAACGGGTACCGATAAAGAGAACATGGCCAAGCTGATTTTTATGGAATTGAACAATGCCTGGAGTGACTTCGAAAATGATGCCTCCCAACAAAATATCTTCACTAGTTAATTCTTCTCTACTATGTGATCATTCCTTTTTATGATTAACTTATAGATTATTTATTTTTTAGGTAAATTTTATTTCAATTTTACATAACAATGATGTAGCTCTAAAGTGATGACTTTAATTATATGAAAAAATAAAAGCAATTGTCGAATTTAGACAATATTTTAATCATAGTTACTTTAGAGATGTTGTTGTTAAAAATTGAGCGCTGATAATAATGATATTATACTTAATAGTTTTGTTTTTGTATTGTTTAGAATCTATTTTTATATTGTGTCACTGTTACATAAATAACGTCATCTGTGCAATTCCAATATTACGAATTTGTTTTTTCAGTGTTCTTGTTTTTAAATTTTATTCAAGTTGCAAACTACAAAAAATATATGTCAAAGAGCAATCTTCAAACAAATGGACTTATTTATAATTCCACTACTATCACAATTATAAAATCATTCAAGTGCTAAAACGGACAACTTTCAAACTGATACCCAATCGACCATTGCATACAAAAAGTAGATCCCTGTTTTAACGTAGTTACGCCCATCTGTCCTAATTAACCTAACCTCACTTTATTACAAAAATTCTTTATTATTATGGCTAGTAATAACACCTCTGCAGTTTTAGATATAGTGACTGAGAGCAAGGAAATTTCATCAATTTTAAAAGATCACAAAGATTACGACCGCTCAAGCATATGTAGCGGCTCAACAATTGATAATTCTCTTGTAGGTTACATTTGTTGCTGTTTTAAATTTAATTAATGATTCATTTAAGGTGCAATCGCCTAGTTTGGAAAGTTTTTCAACAATCCAAGATATAGAAAATTTATCCGAGCTAAATATGGATGAAAATTCCGACTTGAGTGTTAAAATTGACAATCCTCAGAAACATCTAGAGACGCTTGAAACGTATATAACCTTCAGGATAACAACAAAAGTTGCACGTATTGAATACTCAGAAAACGAATACGTCGTTCGTAGACGCTATAACGATTTTATTTGGTTGCGTCAGAAGTTAACTGAATGTCACCCTTTTTGTATAGTCCCTGTAATTCCCCCATTGTGAGCTATAATTTTTATTAGTGATTGGTTTTCCAGCCACTGCCGGGCAAGCATTCACTCATAGGCCAATTAGATAGATACTCAAAAGATTTCATATTGTTAAGGATGAAAGCTTTAAATATCTTCATTTCGCGAATTGTTAATCACCCGATTTTAAGCTGCAATGAATATTTTAAAACGTTTCTAACAGCTAAACAACCAGTAAGTCGCAAAAGTAATCGTGTCACATAAATATTTTTTTCTAGGACTTCAATTTACACCGCCGACAACGAACCAACTCAGAGAACAAAATCCGTACTTTAAGCCATTCCAATTCAACTCACAGCGCACTGAAAAACCGACACTTAGAGTTTGATAAAACCAAAACGTACTTGAACGTATTATCAGAGAAGCTATCCTCAATTGAAAAAATTTCTAGTCGTATTAATAAAGAACGTATCGATTTTATTGTAGAGCTAAACAGTTACCACCCGATTTTCACAACGTGGGCCACTACCGAACCCGAATTGGCCACGATTTTGCAAAGTATCGGCAATGCCGTTGAGCGCAATACTGCAGCACAAAATATGCTAGTCCAAAGTTACCCCACTGTCATTGGTAACCCAATCCGAGATTTTCTAACTTATATTGAAGTAGTGCAAGACACCATAAAGAAGCGCGAAGCGTATCAGTACGCCTATGAGAACTCCTTAGACGAATTAAATAAGCGTCATAGCGAGAAAGACAAGCTCATCGCTTCTTCACATAATCCGTCCCAAGCTTCCGGTTTTTCGCTCTGGAAACAACCAAGTTGTGACGAAAAACTGGAAAAGTTAGGTGTTTACATTCCACAGTTGCTTAAAAAGGTTGAAGCCAATCAGGACAGTCTAGAGTGTGCTAATGAGTCTCTAAGGAGCGACATTGAACACTGGCAGCTTGAAAAACAACAATGTCTTAGAAAGGTTTTGCTAGATTTTGTTAATAAGCAAATTGAGTACTACCAAGCCACTGTCAACGCTTGGGAGCATGTCTCCAATGAAATTGCACCTCAAAACAATGTGGCTGTATCCAAATGATATAAAAAGTACTTGTTGTAGATCTCATTGTACATTCCTAAATTATTTAAACTTAATTTAATATATTATTATATTTAATAAATCTCTCAATTCAAATCCAAAACAGGGTTTTATTTTTATGGGTATTTCCCCCGAAATGTGATACCAACATGAAAGTTTATTCCCTTTTATTTACATGAAAATCAAATAAACAGTTACCCAAATATCGTTTCCACAAATCATTTTAGTTTAATTTAGATATTACGAATGAAAAAAAAGTTATAGCACAAAAAAATATTATTATGATTCTACCGGTGGCTACACTCACTGAACTCGTATATGAGTTCAGTGGCTACACTGCCTGTTGACATTTCTCTTAGTGCCCTAACCTCAAAAAATGTTAGTTATTTATTTTGGCCGTTCATTATGTCCGAAGAGGTGATTTTCACCTTATTTTACCTAATTTTAAGTTTTTGTATTATTTACCCCCCTGTCGAGTTTGTGTCTGCGGGTTTCACCATCCCTTCGCTCTTCAGCCGAGTGTTAGGATCCGAAGATGAAAATTTCGTAAGTTACCACATAAAACGAACAATTGTAACGTTGGGTGTCTATTCACTGTTGCCTTTGGGGTACATTATCGCTCTTTTTGCCTCGGAGTATTTCCAAGATGTGAGTTCGACTCTAATCCACAGTTTAATCGTGAAAAGTGACTTGTAGGTGAGTTCTTTGATAATCGATGGTTCTCTTTTTTGGAAAGTTTTTTTCACTACGAGTCTAGCATTGCCCATTCTGGCGCTTTATCAGATTAGGAATTGGATAATTGATGACTTTAAACACCACCCAATTGCGATAAATTTGGCTAAGTTTTGTAATAACAATAATAGGGATTGGAAAACTGTCGCTGCTGACATCAACACTGAATTTAGACGGTATTTGTTATAAAATAATCATGTTTGTGGAGAGTTTGATGATATCTTTTTAGTGTTGATAAAATCTGTGTTCAAACGAGTTCTCTAGTTAAAGTGATTGCTACCGAAAATTGGATTTTAAAAGTCAAACCATTCACGATTTTATTAGCCCATCAAAGTGATGCGAGTTTAGTCGTCCAGAAAGCAGACACTCACCGGATTTCTCTTCAAACGACCACTGAAACCCAATACTTAAACATCGAAGTTAAATCAGGCCGACTCGGAGTCGAGACTTTTATTATTCGCATTAACGCCTCTGACTTCAAGGATTTGGAGGACCGAATCGCAAGAGATATCACCATTTTACCCAATGTCAAATTTCATAAAACTGTAACCGAACAGTTTGTTGATGTTTTTAAAGAGACCATAAAAAGTAACGCGCGATATGACACAAGAGAAGTATGAGAGACAGTTCTTGGGATTTTTTCGCTCAAATTTTATTTTAGGAGCTAGACCAATGCATTGGTTGTATGCAGACGCGCCCAAATGTTAAATTGCAAAAATTGTGTGGAGATAACACAGGAGGAGCTGAAAGTTGTACGACTTGCTATTGTAAACCAATGTGGTGTGTTGATTGCATGGCGAAATGGTTTGCTTCGAGACAGGAAAGTGACCAGCAAAATACGTGGTTGTCGTCCAAGTGTACGTGTCCAATGTGCAGGGCGAAGTTTTGTATTTTAGATGTGTCGTTACTTGATAGTATTGATGTTGAGGAATAATTAATTTGGGCGACAAATCTAATGACCAACAGCTTATTTTTAACTCTTATTTCTGATAAGATTTTATCGGGAGTTGCTTGAACAAGATTACTAATGTGGAAAATAAAAATTTATTTTTAAACAACTGTTTTATTTATTACCCATGAAAAAGTAATAAACGTTGTGTTTACACAAATGGTGCAAAATATTATTTTTACGATTTTTTCACATTACATAAAACACTTTGTCATTGACAATTTACACACCAGAATATTTTTCTTGTCTGGTTGTATTTTGTAATAGTATATTACAACCGAATGGGAAATATTTTATTACCCGGAGGGCCCTGTTTTCCTCACCGAGAGGGAATCCAAAATTTGTATATTTTATTCACACTTCAACTTTTATCACCCTTGTTAACGTATTAACTTTCGAGAGATTATTGAAGTACTTATAATGCTGTAGTGGTGTTATAAACTCAACAATATTAGTAACAAAGACTTTGGCCTAATTTTTCCTTCAGGTTGCTTATCATAGTTATGAAATAATCGAAACTATTATGTTAATAAACTTATAATAAGAAAAAATAAGAAATTGTTTATTAATAGTTGCAACATATATTTTTACGGTTTCTGCATCGTATTCGAAAAGCCACTTTATTGTCATTACCTACTATCATTGTGTACTGTATGTTTTAGATAAGAAACTTTATTATTTCTTTATCAGGTGGTTACTACGTTGTTGATTGAAAAGGAAGTGCATTTTGGTTTTATTTTATTCTTGTTTATTTTTTGATTTATTTATTTTTACATTGTATATAAGAGTACAACAACTTTAGAAAAACCTTTGCATCACGATTTAAAAATTCTGAGAAAAGCCCAGCAGTTTTATTTTTACTTGATAATGTTGAACTTAATAGTTGATTCAAATTTTTTTGACAGGATTACAAACTCTAGAAAAATGTAACTAACAATGGAAATGTAAGGAATAAATTGTAGCACTGCCTTTGAAAGTGTTTAGTTTTTTATTGATTATTTGGATTTTAATAATCTGAACGTTGAGAAAATAAATAAAATTATGGTTGTCTTTTTACCCTTTGTATTGATAAATTTTCGAAATTGAAGTTTTTTTTATTGAAATTACTTTTTTTATTAGCAGCTTTTAGTAAACTAATTTTTATATGTTTGTTATTCATAATTTTATTAAATAAAAATTGATTGTATGGATTCCCAATATTAAATTGAATTTCTAGGCTGATTAAAAGTTACAAAGTTCAACAATAATCTACTAAATAATAAACCCTACTTTAATACTTTTGCATAAGAAACTCCTGAATCATTATTTAAACAATTAGTGATGTATTTTTGTTATCAAATACATGTTTCCTCTATTGTATTATCAACAATCTTAGTGTCTATACTTTTATGCAACATATTTTTTTTTGTACCTGCAAAAATCTAAAAGATAAAATAAGGTAATTGAAGAAATGAAAGTCATTGCCAAATAGCAAAAATAAAATCGAGATTAATGACTTCTAAATCAGGAAATGAACATTTATTAAATCAGTGTTATGTAATGGTTGCTCCAGGGTAGAAAATAGGGTTTATAAAGGATTAAGGAACCTTGAGTGCCATTCCTATCGCTACACTGGGAACGTCGCAAATGCGTTTTTTCAGGAGAAATAGGTCAGAAACATTTAATTTCTGTGGAAAAGAAGATTAAAATTTTGAGCCAAGACGAAGCTCCACTCATCTTTCTTTCATACAGAAAAACATTGTGAAAAGTGGTGATAGCTTTGGAACGAAATATAAATTTAGTGAAACAATATGAATTGAACTGTTACAGATTTGTTATAGTGTCTAACTGGATGAACCGAAATTTGAATTTTATTTTTTTGTCCAATTCTCTCTGAAGATTTTTTTAGCTGTATTTTTTATTAGAAAAACATACAAAATCTTTGGATTACACATTAATAAATAAGAAAATATTCCTGCATTTATTTCACTCCTTTTGCAATGTGAGATAACACGACTTAAGAGGATTTACCTTTACCCTCACATTTCACTTTTATCTCTTCCAAAATAAATTTGAAACGGACGTTTTCATCCCGATATTGATTTAGTTCAAATTAAAATTCAATCTGTTTTCCAATCAATCAATAAAACAAAACAAAATAATCTCAAGTGAACCCATTGTTGAACTGGTATCTTAATTAAAAATCTAATCAAGGCGTGAAATTCGTTTTTTATAACGCTAAACTAATCATGTTTCAAGTGCATGATTGACGCAAAAATTGCATAGATATAAAACAGTTTTATTAACAAAATATCACATTTCTAATAGTCGTACAATAAATAAAAAAAATGTTAAAACTAACAGAGACCAAATCTCACAACGCAGTTATTTCCATCCTTCCAATTTGGTGCATTTCTTTCACAACTTCTTCAACACTAAAGACTTCGTCAGGATCACAATTTTCATCATTTTTGTCTTGACTTTGGGATAATTTGTTACTTTCTGGGAAGTAATCCGACACTGAGATATTTTTCCGTTTCCTCTCCTTCATTCTACCACTTTTTGTCAATGATGTTTTTCGTGCAAGAATCGGTGGAGGGTTGTCTTCTTCGTGGTACTTGTTCTTCTCGTTCGTCAAATTTTCACTATTTGACTTCACCGATTTGTTGTTTTTATTTTTTGAACCGAACAAATTGAGTAACTTTGACATTGTGATTTTTTTGCTTTATGGTTAGGAGAGTTTCATCCTCGAACTTCAACTAATAAGTGGTTCAACAATAACACCTTTTATATCTACATGGGTAGGTATACAAGTGATATTTGTTGTGAGATGAGATAAAAAGTGTAATCATATTGTTTGGATTAGATTTATTAATAATTATATTACCTACATGCGGTAAGAAGTTACTGATAAACGCTTTTTGAGTGGGTTTAAGTTGATTATTGCACGCCCCCACAAAGTGCAGAAGAATTATAAGATAAGTCCACTGATACCCATTTTTTATTTAAATTTAAATCCTAGTAATTTTTTTTCAGACTGGTTAAGTTTGATTTGTTTATTAGATTTTTCTAATTTTTGCCAAAGTAGTACTCCTATTAAAATTACATTCGGAAATAATAATTGGAACGTTAAATAAATCAAATTAGAAATTTTTGCACAACGCCAAAGGGAAATATGGATTTTTTTATTCATTGTTTTAAATTGACTAACGTTAATGTTGTTTCTGTAATTTTAAAGAATGATAAAAGAAAAAAACTCAAAATTTAATTTTTTTTGAAAAAAAGTTTATGGGGTTTTTTATTTTCAACTCATGGCAACACTGAACGCTTGATAAATCGACGTAGGTGTTTGACAGTTGTAGTTTATTGACAAACAATACCCGATTCTCTCAAATTCTCCTAATTACATTCATATTCCGTGTCGAAATGTTAAACTAATAAAAACCTGTGATCCATACAAACTTACTCAATGGTCTAACGCAAGTTCTGTACAAAATAGTATTTCGTGACATACTCAAAAGTTCATTGTTTAGTTTAGAAAATGCCACACAGACGGGAATATCGACGCCCCACAACCAGTAGTTTTACTTATGTTAGTTCATGTGTGAAGTACTTAATTTTTGTCCTAAACTTTATTTTTTGGGTATGTAAACGTGTAAAAATTGGACAAAGAAATGAGGTTATGTTGCAGCTGTTTGGAGGATTACTCATAGGGATTGGCTTGTACGCCTTTGTCGACAAATGGCAATTAACAGGATGGGTGAAACTCGAAAATGTGTACGATGTGATTTTAAACGTATCCTTAGTCATGGTACTGATGGGAGGGGTGATTTTTATTGTGAGTTTTGCTGGGTGTGTGGGGGCTCTCAGAGAAAACACCTGTCTGCTCAAATTTGTAAGATTTTACTGTAGCAGTGACACCAACCTAACTGATTTTTTTAGTACTCTTTGTGTCTCCTTATCTTCTTTTTATTGGAAATGGGTATTGCTATAATGGGGTTTGTTTTTCCACACACCATGCAGTCGATCCTTGAGGAGAATTTCACAGATAAGATTATACACACATATAGGGATGACCCAGACTTGCAGAATTTTATAGATTTCGCCCAACAGGAGGTACCATTTTGAGACATTTTTTTTTCAATTAATTATTTATAATTGTTCTTTAGTTTCGCTGCTGTGGCCTCAGCTCTGAGGGTTACATGGACTGGTCCAAGAACGAGTATTTTAACTGTAGTTCCCCCAGTGTTGAGCACTGTGGAGTGCCATTCTCTTGTTGTATTAACGCAACTGACATTAGTTCAGGTCTAGTCAATATAATGTGTGGTTACGGCGTCCAGACTTTATCAGTAAGTCTTTTTCACTGACTTGCAATTTATAATTTGTGATTTTAAGGTGGCTGAAGCGAATAAGAAAGTTTGGACTTCCGGTTGTATTGAAATCGTCCGCTCGTGGGCTGAACGTAATTTGTACACAATTGCTGGAATCGCACTTGGGGTCGCTCTATCCCAGTTGTTTGTTATCTATCTTGCCAAAACACTGGAGGGACAGATAGATTTGCAAAAGTCAAGGTGGGCTAGTTGAAATATAGGGTATATTTGTAAATATGACGTACTGCCATTTTAAACTGTACTGTCCTTTTCAATGTTTTCTAGTGTAGTAATGTAAGTCTTAAAATTTGTTCCATTAGTTGTGTTTGTTTCGCATCTGAACTGCTCAGCTCAAAGCTCAATGTATGGAGTAGTTAATTTTTGACTTGGGTAAAGTTGGTACTGCTTTTACCGCCAGTATACAGTGAGTTTATTATTTAACCAATTTTTGTTTTTTCAGCTGTTTAGAGGGAAATAGAGTATATACTTTTACTGAACAAAAATAATCATTGTGATCTATTCAAATAATCATTAGAAATTATATTTGATAAATTGTATAAATTCCAATTTTTATTAATATAGTTGTTACATAAAAATTGTATTAGTGTACAAGAAAATATATTTATAAAAATAAATTTCTACCTTAAATATTCCTAGTCATGGTGCATGCAAAAAGCAATTCAATATTGTGACCTTTATTTAATAAAGAATAAGTACAAAAAAATGTCATGGAGAATTGTACAAATGAAATTAAGCATAAGTACTTAATTGTCGCCTAATCTAATCAATAATCCTAAAAATAAATGCACAAAAATCAGTTGTATAACGGGAATGCATTTCAACAATTGGAACGCTACAAAGGCACTACATCATAAATTGTGACATGCGATCATTTAAAAAAATCGAACCATTAAATAAGTCCTATCACATAGATATAAAAATACCGTGATCAGCATTCATTTGCGCGTTTCAGTCTTCTACGTGATGATTACCTCTTCAAATTTTCACTCTATTCATCATAAAAATATAAGTGTGATTGAAACTCTGCATGAAGGCATATTTTTTCATTGCTAGAAACTTCTTAATCGTATCTTTCTCGATCTCGCTGACCAACAAATGCACTCCAATTACTTCAATCTTAACTCTTTCGAAAGGGATTGTTTCCAAGACTTGCAATTCGGTACCGGACGACTCCAAACTCAAATAGTCGATCGTGGTGACGTTCATTGCGAGAAGTAGGGAAAACAGTGGGAAACATTTGATCCGGGTTGTGAACCAATCGGGGTCGTCGACCACGCTGTTGGCGTGGATGCTGTTAATTTTGACTTCGTTCTCTTGATGGAATGTCACTTCTTTGGGGTACGGCATGGAGCTGAGACAGGCGTGGATCGCCTGAGACCTCACTCTGTTGTGTCTTCGGAGACTGAAGTAGTGGCGGGTGTCGGACTGGATCAGGAGACCCCGCCAACCGAGCTTCTTCTCCAACCACTCGGTTTTCGAGGTCTTGCCGTCGTTGTAGGCCCCGGATTCCACGAAAACGCCGTCCCGCTAAAAAGTACCAATTAGAGATTTCTTATACAAAAAAAATTGCGCTATACTAGACAATTCGGTTTCTCCTCAAATTTTCTGTTAATTAAACAATCAATTTCTGTTGCTATTTAAGAAAAAACGCACCTTTTGGTCTCAATTTGTCCAAAGCCCATAATTAAGAATTTCAAGAATCAATGAAATTTATGCTTAAGGTATTTACAAAGTCGCATAAATCGTAAGGAACTGATAAAATTTCCTTTCATTAGCCTGGTTTTTATCATCTTTGTGTTATTTTTTTTTTTCAAAAACATAATTTTGACATTTTGTACTTTTTTCACAAATTAATCAGTGTCACTAACATAATTATAATTATTTTAAAAAATATAAATATATTTTTACTTCAATCAAATAAAATGTTGAATAACGCATCCTTTAATTATTACACGATTTTCCTTTATTTAACCAACCTTATTTAGGAAAATGAAAAATGACATCTTAAAATATCCACTGAGAAATAGCGATCTAGTCGATGAGAAATGGTTTTCCCACTTTTGTCATTTGTTTAAAAACCTAACCTTATTGTTGAGCAACTTTAGCACATAGGCGGTGTCATCTGGGGGGCCCGTGGCTTGGGATTCCAGTGGTTTATGGTGGGGCTCAATGGCGGGTTGCATGTGCACTTCCCTGATGTAAGTGATAAGTTGTGGATTGTCTTGTGACACGCTCAAAAGTTCATAATCCTGGCTCATGTTCACTCGAAACTGGTAGTGTCTCATGGCTGCAAATCAATATTTTGTGGTCTCAAGGTGGCTAAAGAGTGTTTTTCCTACCTGTATTATCCATATAGAGAATGAGGACAGTCATAACGATGGCAAAAGCCACCGAAAACGCGGCCAGGGGTAAGATTTTCCTGATAATGTTTGGAGTGGGTGGTGCTGTCATATTGGGGCTCTTTGCAGGTGTCACAGGAATCTCAGGTGAGTTATTTTGAGTCGGCGACGGCGTCTGGCATTGGCCAGAGCTTTTTGATTTAGTGAAATAGTTTTTGAATTTCATAATAAGTTTGTACATCGTCACTGGAATTGACTAAGACAATTAATGGTTAACAAAAGGAGTGGTAACTCACCAATTAGAGACGATCGGTGTTAATTGAGACGGTTATTTGTTAATTCATACATAATTTTTCGGTGTAAAGGTGAAATAATGAGCAACACAATGAAATGACCCGATGGTACATCCTGTCTTTCCAGGTGCTAAAAATGCTTATGGTCGCTTTCGGCACGAAATACAAAGCGAAATGCACGATTTTCGACTCTATTGATTCCTACTCCCACCTTGTTCCGTGTTTGAGAGACATCAAGAATAACAATGTTTCTCTTTCTACTCGTTCGTGCGCTCGCTGTAATTTATTCAGAGAGAAATTTACAAAAATTGCGCTTTTTTTTGTAAACTCTTGCTTAATTTCTTTGCAACACAAGTCTTGCATTTCTCAAAAAAATGCTTTTCACAACACAAGTCTTGCATTTCTCAAAAAAATGCTTTTCAAAGTTTTAATTATCTTTTCAAGCTACTCAATAATTTTTATTTACTACAAAAAATTGGAAAGAAACTGTGGCAGTTATGATTAATTGCAAGTTGCCAAAAATGGCACGTATTTCATTTAAAAATTTGGAAACTAATTTGAGTTGTGACAGGTCTGAATTGGTTTAAATTTCCACCCTATTACGATACAAATCAGAACGTGACTTTTAGGAACAAATTACCATAGATGATGTTCTGGCCTTGGCTATTTCCGACTTGTGGGGGTGAATAGCCGAAATTTTTCGGTGTCTTTGGATCGATATTTCCTTAGAACTGAAAACCGGCTATTGTTTGTTGAAACCTGTAATAGCAGCAGGTAGACAGGTTTGCAAGCTGTTGCAGGGTTAAATTAACCATTTTGTACTAAAATTAGAACAATGGTCGAACTGCCGAAGTCGTACGTGACCCCCACTGTCAGTTTGATCACTAACATCAGAAGAAAGCATTTATTTTACCTTAAAGTTCAGTGATTTACGACCCGAGTAATGGAGAGGAGAACTAATTCTCGTTTCTCTGGCGATGTACTAATCTTTTAACAATGTAATAGACTTAATAGAGGCTGGTCGACAGGGACTTTTTTGCGCCAAGCCTCTAAAATCTGAACATCAAACGGACAGTAGTTGCAATAATAATAATAACCACCATAACGATTTGATATTAAAACTAACACAGACACAAAAACTAAGTTTTGTGGTAAAAGACTTAAAATGAGTTAAGCAAACATGAGGGTGTACCTACTGAGGAACTGAGGTTCTATGATTTTGTTAAATTCGCGACAGAAAATACAAACCCATACTTACCCGCATAACATAAAACTGTTATAACAAAAAAAAAGATGTAATGTCGCAAAGATTATCGAAAAAAATTGCTTTTGTAGCCAGACAAGAACAAATTGCATTACCGAACCGGACGCCTACAACCAAGGCTACAAAATTTTCAAATTTCAAGCTTAGATTCCGAACAACTGAATCAGACTCAATGTAGCAAATTTTTGTCCTTTATCCATGCAAATGAGGAAATGATCCGATGAATTATTCATAATTCATGAGACGCATCAGGATATAATCCGTCATTTGCTATGCGAAAAACCGTCAACCTTTGGGAAAAATTCAAAGCTTGATTCGGTTTAGGAAATTTCAACCGACATTAGCAAAATTACTCCGATTTAATGAGTTAATCCGTTGGTAATTTTTATTTGTATATCTAATCAATTATTTGTAAACAGCAAGTTTGAAATAAATTACGTGATTAGGCGGGAAAAACCGACGTCGACCGATGTTTCGACGCTATAAGACGTCGACGACGCACCGATTTAGTCGTTTGGTGCTTTTCAAGGGCTTAGGTTGGTCATTTTTGCTTTGTGGGGCACACGTGGACACGATTATATGTAAGCGAGGCTTTGTTTATTTTATTTATGAATTTTAAAAATTTGGGTTAATGACAGGGATTTCAGTATTTGAGTAGGGAGTAGTTTTTTTCTTGAAAATTCACTACTTAATCAAAGAAAACAGTGGACGCGTGACGGAAAATTTCTACAGAGGCTTATTTACTAAAGTCATTTCTCAAATGAAGATTCACGTATACTTCTATAGGACTAGATTGAATCTAGTTTATTGCGAATTTTATTACAGTGGAAACTAAATTATCAATTTTAGATAAGAGAAGTCGATAACAGGAAGTGCACTCGTACGGATTTTATGTTAATAAAAATGATTAGTTTTATTTTTGGTTCGAGTTTATTTTTCAATAGCAGTGTTAGTTAAGTTTGCTAAGCTGATATGCAGCCGTTTTGTTGTTAGCTACATCTTTTAATCCGCTTACAAGAGACAAAAAGGGTGCGAAAACAACTATGCATTAGGAATTTGCATTATCTTGTATAAAGTATTATCTCTGTGGCCCGGGTTTTCGTAATCCTTATTTTTAGTTAAATCAAAACAGCATTATTGCACTTGTTTGCTGACAAATTTTATAAAATTTTATATAATATAATTTTATATAATAATAGTAAACATAATAATAAGTTATGGTTCTGTTTACATATTATAGTTAGATAAGGATACAGTGATACAGAATTGCATTAGATATACAGGTGTTCGTTTTTCGAGCTCTACCATGGAAATCTCAGTTATTATGAAAGATACGAGGTCGGTTAAATTAGAGCACAAAGTTGCGCATTTTTATGCTGAACAATTATCTGAAAGAAAATTTAATGTGTCATTTTTAGTTTTTGAATTATTGAAAAAAAAACGAAAATTTGTAATTTTTGTTTTTATTTTTTTAAGCGAAAACTAAAAGATCCAGACGTTTTGAACTACTTATGACATTTTTAAGGAACTTTTTCACAAGGAATCTAAATCTGTCATCGTATTTTGCAAGGCGTGAAAACTCAACTTTGAGTTTTCTTATGGACACCATATTCAATTTCTGCATTTTTGAAAAGTCTTTTTGTTTCTGATTACAACGATGTATCACATGATATGATTAAATTTTATATGCTGATAAAAAATTTTGACTCTATTTATTTCTGTTGAAAAAATAATTTTCCAAGTTTTTTGCTACAGTAGGTATATTACAAAAGGAAACAAGGAAGCTGTATCCTAAATTGTAACTCTGTTTAATGTTATTTGTGGCTTTTGTTGGCAAAATTTTTGTACCTTGTAAATTTGACTATTATTTATACTACAGTGCGATCAAAAAGTCTTTCTATCAAGTAGAAGTAGGCGTCCTGGTTGAGGACGTATGTTACGTGGCAGTTCGTATGTTATCTTGATGTCAAAAAATTATTTTATAAAAATTAAAACATTGAGCTAATTAAATTGAATTTTTCTATGAAACGTCTCAAAACAAACTAAAATAAGATTTCGTTGGTGTTTATTCATAAAAATCGTTCACCACGGTTTCCTGTCATAATTCCTTGAATGAAACTTCATTTTTTGGATAGTTGCACCTGTAAGATAAAACGTCGTATATCACACGTCATCGAAATGCCATTATGAAACTCGTGAGAAGTGTCCCACTCGTGCGCAAACGCACTCGTCAAAATTCTCACACCCGTATAATAATACTTATAATACAGTGCGATCAAAAAGTCTTTCTATCAAGTAGGCGTCCTAGTTGAGGACGTATGTTGCATTGCAGTTCGTACGTTATCTAGATGTCAAAAAATTATTTTATAAAAATTAAAACATTGAGCTAATTAAATTGAATTATTCGATGAAACGTCTCAAAACAAACTAAAATAAGATTTTGTTGGTGTTTATTCATAAAATCGTTCACCACGGTTTCCTGTCATAATTTACATAAAAATTATTTTGACATTTGTCATTGTGACATTTTATCTTCCACAGACATACGTTTTAAATTTCTACGCTTGCTTGATAGACGGACTTTTTGATCGCACTGTATAATGTACTATTAGTTTGTTCACCCTTTCAAACATTACAAAGTTTTTAGTTAGTTAGTGATAGGTAAACTAGAATCATATTCATGCCGTCTCTTGATAGAACAAATGATAATTGTTTCTGAAAAACTCCAGTTTTTGACTATTAATGCAACAGTGATTAGTTTTATTGTCATGGGTTTCCAAAAATTATGTGTATTTTTTGTATCGTGTGTTTTGTGACTTTTGTATACAGGCTGCGCCAGAACTCGCGCCCCAGAGAAAAATGCCATATAAGGTAAGATACCAGGAACATGGAAAAAATGTTAAAAAAATTTTATTTGTCAAAATTTCGAAGTTATGAGGGTTTAAAGTTTGCACTTTGACTCTATTTATTTCTGTTGGAAAAATAATTTTCCAAGTTTTTTTGCTATAGGCTATTGAAAGAGGAAACAAGGAAGCTGTATCCTAAATTGTAACTCTGTTCAATGTTATTTGTGGCTTTTATTGGCAAAATTTTTGTCCCTTTACTAAATAATTGTAAAAAAACATATACAAGATCATCAGTATCATTAAATAGATATAAAAAAATGTCAAATGTCAAAAAATAAATGTCAAAATTTTTTGACAGATAGAATTTTTTAAACATTTTTTTCATGTTCCTGGTATCTTACCTTACTTGAAAATTTTCTCTCGGGCGCGAGTTCTGGCGCATCGTGTATTTGGGTGCGTACATTAGGTGCAAGCCTCGTAAAGTTGTGTGAAACCTGAAACACCATGTATAACAACATGTACAAGATCATCATTATCATTAAATAGACATAAAAAATGTCAAAATTTTTTGACAGATAGAATTTTTTAAACATTTTGTGTTTGTGTTCCTGGTATCTTATCTTAATTGAATTTTTTCTCTGGGAGTTCTAATACCCTGTACTATTACATAAAAATAATAACAGTTTTGACCTAGTTTCCGCTTTTTCTTGAGCACCAGGCTTAGCTAACTCTTTGTGTTTTATTTTAATTAATACACAAATTAATCAGCCATGAAAATATTGTTTCAAAAGCGCTAGGAAGTGGTAAACAATTTAATTAAGCCTTTATTCAAAATAAATTTTAATTTTCAAAAACAGTCATATACTCTAATGGTCTTCTCCAATTAAACATGGAAAGATCCTTTTATTTTAATTTAACGTGCCACAAACACTGTTTATATTTTAAAAGGGGTTAGCAGGATTTTGTTTTAGTGAAACCGTCAACTACAGATGTGTTTGTTACAAAAAAACATTTTTATTACAAATAAAGAAAAAAAATTACAGTGTATAAACTGCAACTGTCACAGAAATATTAATCAGTTCTAAACAAATATTGGCTGAAACAACTGACTTTGTTAGTCAATTATTATTACATATGTATGTATTATTGTTAGTGTTATAATGAATGTGTACTAGTACATAGCTTTGAATCTTAATACATAATTATGAAAAAAAAAATATATATAAAAACATAGTTATACAGGCTGCGCCAGAACTCGCGCCCCAGGGGAAAAATGCCATGTAAGGTAGGATACCAAGAACATGTAAAAAATGTTTAAAAAATTCTATCTATAAAAATTACAAAGTTATGAGAGTTTAGATTTTGCACTTTGACTCTATTTATTTCTGTTGGAAAAATAATTTTCCAAGTTTTGTTCGCCACAGGCTATTAGAAGAGGAAACAAGAAAGCTGTATCCTGAATTGTAACTCTGTTTAATGTTATTTGTGGCTTTTATTGGCAAAATTTTTGTAGCTTTACTAAATAATTATTAAAAAACATATACAAGATCATCAATATCATTAAATAGACATAAAAAAATGTCAAATGTCGAAAAATAAATGTCAAATTTTTTTGACAGATAGATTTCTTTAAACATTTTTTCCATGTTCTTGGTAAGCTATCTTACTTGAAATTTTTTTCTGGGGCGCCAGATCTGGCGCACCTTGTATACATACAGGCTGTCCCAACAGTCCCAAAAAGCTTTATAGAGCTTATTCCATATCTGGTGGCGAACTGACAGTGACAGAAAATACACTTGGAGTGCGCCCACTTGGTTAAGATAACAAAATACATAGGCGTACTTTTTATCTCTAAAAATTTTGAAGACAAAGATTGTTAGGAATATCATTTTTGAAAATATTTTTCATGCGTTAACAATTTAATAATTTATTCATCATTCTTCATCTTATGTACGAATACCTACTTATTATATTTTTTTAAAGAATAACAGTGGTTTTGAAATATTTTTCATACGACGCCTATGAACAATATTTTTTTTAATAGTAAACATAAGTTTAGTGTCAATATTCAGTCATTTTTGACAACGTCAGTTCGCCACCAGATTTGGAACAAGCTATAACTTGTTTATTTTAAGAGATATTGACTTTTTCTTTTTTTTAGATTATAGCTGCCTTTCTGCTTCACATTTTAAAAATATTGCGGTTTATATGTATACAGTATTATTAAAAAACACTAAAGTTATGTTTTTTTTAATGGGATTTACTCAGTTTGATTTTATTTTTGAATTCTATGCTAAATTACGAATAGGTTCTTTTCATTTATCTGTCATCAATTTTAATTTATGGCGCTTTTTTTACCAGAATTTTGAAACGCAGGGGTCTGTCTAAAAATTGGTACTTTCTAAATGCTTGCACACAAGTCAAAGTAAGTATCGCCGTTTGATTCCTGAATGTTTGCCGCATCTTTTAAGTGTTTACTCTACAACTTGCTCAGTGGCATTTATGTACATACCTACTGCGATTTTTTAAACATGACAAATTAAGAAGGTACGAATTTTTAGACAGACCCTTGCATTCTAAAATTTTGGTAAAAAAAAGCGCCACAAATCAAAATGGATGACAGATAAATAAAAACAACCTTTATAAAAGTTATTTGTAATTTAGCATAGAATCCAAAAATAAAATCAAACTGAGTAGATTCCATTAAAAAAAAAACATAACTTTAGTGTTATTTTATATTTGGACACCTTGTATAAAAACCGAATATTTTTAAAATGTGCAGCAGGAACGCAGCTATAATATAAAAAAAAAGTCAATATCTCCTAACTGCCTAACATAAACAAGTTATAGAGCTTTTTCGTACCGTTGGGACAGCCCGTATGTTGCAGTTTTTATTCAATCTTTAAACTATATTTTAAAAAATTGAGAGATGTATTATAAAATTTATGAATTTATACACGTTCTCGTATCAATCAATATATTTTTCATTTTCCGTTGATTATTTTAGGAAAATGATTTAGGCACTTTTCCAAATTGCTTTTATAATCAAATAGCAAATGATTTTTCCTCCGTCAAAACCTTTTAAACGAATTTTTACTTAAACATCGATTTATTCTGAAATTCTAAAAGCGGATCACTTTCAATATTTCTAACGTTGACAATTCAGCAATCACCTGAACGTTGGAGTTATTCAGGTTTTCAGCACTTGTACAGACTAATTTTGATCAATGCCTATCCGGGGAAAGTTTCCTGAAAGGCGACAAACCTAAGTGTTGCGTATAGCGATTTCCCTTGTACAAATTCACATTTTTATATAGGGTGTGCCAGAATTCGCGCCCCGGAGAAAAATGCCATATAAGGTATGATACCAGAAACATGGAATGTTAAAAAAATTCTATCTATAAAAATTTTGAAGTTATGAGAGTTTAAATTTTACACTTTGACTCTATTTATTTCTGTTGGAAAAATAATTTTCCAAGTTTTTTTGCTACAGGCTATTAGAAGATGAAACAAGAAAGCGGTATCCTAAATTTGCAACTTTGTTCAATGTTATTTGTGGCTTTTATTGGCAAAATTTTTGTACTTTTATTAAATAATTGTAAAATACATACACACCTTTACTAAATAATTATAAAGAAAAACATATACAAGATCATCAGTATCATTAAATACACATAAAAAAATGTCAAATGTCAAAAAATAAATGTCAAAACTTTTTGACAGATAGAATTTTTTAAACATTTTTTCCATGTTCCAGGTATCTTATCTTACTGGAAAATTTTCTCTGGGGCGCGAGTTCTGGCGCACCCTGTATTTAACCTTAAAATTACTTTCTCGTCGAAATAATCCAATTAAAAGTTTGGTATTTAGAAGAAAATGATCTCATTATAATTAAAACATCCAAGTAAAATATGTTGCGAAAATAATGGATGCATTTTGTACTTTTTCACGTAATTTTCATATTTGTAAATCTTGTTAACTGGCCCGTAATTCATAAATTGCTAAAATTTATTGCTATGTTTAATTAAAAGAGGAGAAGAGGACGATAATACTGGATTAATTAATGTGCAAAAAACACGGTTACAAATTTTTCCCAGAGCTGAAAACATGACTGATAGTACCGAACGGGCGTAAAAAATTAACAAATTAGCCGTTCAGAAATGTAATTCTCTTAATTACATTGACTTTATCCGATAGTTATGCAGAACTGAACATGACATTATCTAATTATCTCTTCCCCCACAAGTGTCGCATTTAATTTCATCAAAATCTCCACAACAATCGCATTGTGGCTTTTCATTCCTGAAAAGACTGACTTAATCAATTGTCACTAACAGACGATATTGTGTTTTAGTACTAGAAATAATCTTTTTAGAGAGCATCTGTTTCTCAACGAAAATAATTTTTTCCATAAAAATCTGCTTTTTGTATTGTATAGGTTGTTTATCCAAGCTAAAATCTAATGAACTAATAATGTGAAATTTCAGCTCCATGTAATTAAAATGTAAACTCGGAAAGTCTTAGTTGTTGACCCTGTACATTGGTATAATTTGTCGGTTTATTTTTTGTAAATTAACACATTTATTTACTTATTTTCAGATTTCTATCATGAAAACATGGATGTATCTTAAATATTGAACTACATTGTAACTAAATTTAAATGTAGAAGTTTTGACAAATAAAGACAACTGAAATGGGGGCCAACCAATCGGGGAGAATGGAAAAAACGTTTTACGGAGAAGAAGGTAAGTTTGACAAAATTTAGTGTTTTGTTTATTTATCTGATTTCTGTAACATGAAAAGAATATACAGTATAAAATATAGTTATTATACTCGCATATTAGATTACTCTAGAGTTGTTTTATGCAGGATGTTCCGCCTAAATCCCACATTAGAAGGATTGTGACTTCTAACAATGATATTTATCTAAGGTTAGATCTTTCTTTTGGTGTATTCATAATTACAAAAATAATAATTAACAAACATTTTTTAAAATTTGTAATCGAGTTCGTATCGGAATGACGCAGGCCTCGTAAAATTATGTGAAACACTGTGTATAAAAGTCTTTTTTTATTTATGTAAGCAGCGCATTAAAACTTTAATAATCGATACATTATATCTATTCTCTAACATATCTAGGATGTAACCAATGTAATAACTAAGGCTCGGATTATATGCACGGAAAATTCGTAAAATATGCGTATATACAGGACGTTAAAAAAATCGCGCACTTCCGTGACACTGTGTCATCGGGCGGTGCCATAGACAACAAAAAAAAATGTAAAAAAAATCTATCTCTAAAAATTCCGAAGTTATGAGAGTTTAAATTTTGCACTATGACTCTATTTATTTCTGTTGGAAAAATAATTTTCCAATTTTTTTTGCTACAGGCTATTAGAAGAGTATAGAGGGTGCGCCAGAACTCGCGCCCCAGAGAAAAATACCATATAAGGTAAGATACCAGGAACATGGAAAAAATGTTAAAAAAAATTATCTATAAAAATTTCAAAGTTATGAGGGTTTAAAGTTTGCATTTTGATTCTATTTATTTCTGTTGGAAAAATAATTTTCCAAGTTTTTTTGCTATAAGGTATTAAAAGAGGAAACAAGGAAGCTGTATCCTAAATTGTAACTGTGTTCAATGTTATTTGTGGCTTTTATTGGCAAAATTTTTGTCCCTTTACTAAATAATTGTAAAAAGACATACAGGGTGATTCTTAAATAGACCGACAAAATTTTATCCTTGGTAGAATCAAATGTGTACATGCTGGAAAAAATATGAAAAAAATTCTTTGTTTAATCGTTCTCCAAATAAAGTTTATTAAAGTTATTTTTGAGGTAAAGCGTACGCCACTGATATGTTTGTAAATAGTATTAGCACAGGTAGTGGAAACCATGGTATTAACTTAATGAAAATGTACTTGATCATTGCAACAATTCATAAACGCCGTAAGTGGCACGGATCAAGGGGGTTTCGCCCCTAAAAGATATAAACTTAAAAAGGGTACAGTTAATCTTCGCTTATCCTTGGGAAGCTCTGATAAAATTTTGTCGGTCTATTTAAGAATCACCCTGTATACAAGATCATCAGTATCCTTAAATAGAGATAAAAAATGTCAAATGTCAAAAAATAAATGTCAAAATTTTTTGACAGATAGAATTTTTTAAACATTTTTTTCATGTTCCTGGTATCTTGCCTTACTTGAAAATTTTCTCTGGGGCGCGAGTTCGGGCGCACCCTGTATTGCAGTTTTGACAACAAAAATCGAATGATTCAAAAACAAAATTTTGTTCTTAAAGTAAGATCTTTTTTTAAATTTATATTATTATTTTTTGGAAACAAATGATTTCAAAAAAACCGCTTGGTTCGATACTTTATATTCACACAGTATAAAACGAAAAGGAAACACTCAGCAAGGTACTAATTTTTTGAGTCTCTCTTACGAATTACCGGTTGTTTTCTCTTTAAAATATTTTGTAATCGGATCATTTTTCTTAAACTGTCCAATTTTTAACTTGAACTGAAATTTTTTATCGGAAATTTGTGATTTGAAGAAAATATGCACAAATATGCAGTATTTCCTCAAATATACACGAAGTTGCTAAAATATGCAAAATAAGCATTTTTTATTTGGCTTATTTTAATCCAAAAACATTAGATATGCATAGAAAACTTACAATTTTGTTGATATACCTCTTAATAACAAATACGCATTTAGTATATAATCCGAGCCTTAGTAATAACAGTCGCAGATGTGTCAGTTGAAATCCTAGCGAGCTTGTGAGCGAGAAATTTTAAGACATCTAAGGTTATTATGACATTAATTGCATCCGCGGTATGTTCAAGATTTTACTGATTTCTGTCGTTGAGACGACAGTTTAAAACAATTAGATCCAAAAATTTGTTTAAGAGCTGAGCCTTATTTCACTAACAACTTTGCAACTTTACACTTTGCACTTTGCCAGACACCTTTGGGTACATCAACAACAGTGTATTTTGCACACTGTAAAATATACTTTGCAAAAATAGTCTGTTTTACAAAAATGATTTAAATCGATTTAACTTTGCAGTTTGAAATTTATGCAAAGTGAAAAGCGCAAAGTGCAAAGTTACTAAAAACTTTAGTGGAACAGGGCCCTGATCGCAGTTGCATGACCTGTTCCCCTGTCATGGTTACATTTTACATTGGACCATCAATGTTTTTTTAACGGCGATAATGAAAAGAAGTTGTAGTGAATTTTTCCCAGAACTTTCATTGCTATATTAACCTATAAGGTATTGTTTACAATTTTCTTTCTGTTTAAATAAATAACGTTACATTCATTTATTGTTTTTCAATTTCTTGACAATTTTGACAATTGACATTTCGGTGAGGTAATATTTTACCTACAGAATACAGAAAGATCTAACCTTTCTCTTTCATATGCTCAAATACGATTTCAAAATAATAAAAAAATGGTAGAGTTATCGATTTTTGAATAGGAAGGGCAAATACAAAAAAATTTATGCAGGTGTTTCAGAACTTGCGCTCCAGGCAGAAGGTAAGAACATAGAAGAAAATGTAAAAAAATCTTACCTATAAAAATTTCGAAATTATGGGAGTTTAAATTTTGCACTTTAACCCTATTTATTTCTGTTGGAAAAATAATTTTTGATGTTTTTTTGCTCTAGACTATTAGAAGAAGAAGAAGAAGTAAGCTGTATCCTAAGTTGTACAGTTGGAGACAAAATACTTTGGTCGTCACTTTTCTGACACTCTAATGTAATTCAAGCTTTAACGTTAAAATGAATGACAATTTCAAATTAATGACAGCTATTATATTTTCCTATCAAAAATATGTACATACAACTTGTCAACTAGGATTGACAGTAGCTAAAAATAAGGTTAACAGTCCTAAAGCATGCTTTACAAGTTAATGTCACGCAAGTGACATTAACGACCAAAGTATTTTGTCTCCAACTGTAACTATGTTTAACGTTATTTTGCGGCTTTTATTGTCAAAATTTTTGTATCTATACTAAATAATTATGAAAAAACATATACAAGATCATCGGTAACACTAAATAGACATAAAATATGCCAAATGTCAAAAAAAATGTCAAAATTTTTTGACAGATAGAATTTTTTAAACATTTTTCCATGTTATCTTAGAATTTTTCTTTGGGGCGCGAATTCTAAGACACCTGTGTATGTATTTTGAAAATGGTTATAGACGTAAACTTAAACTCAATTAATAAACATATTGAGCAAGAGCCCGCGGTCGCCAGACTTTCGTCATTTTATAAAAGTTGAAAATTTGTCAGCGCATACCAACACAGCAAGGAACGATGGGCAAGTATGAAGTTTGAGTCATCGTGGCTTTGGGAGATAACAGGTAGCAAAGAAGTAAAAAATACCAACTTAAATTTATTAAATAAAAAAGCGTAATTTTTTTATATTTTCTTCGGAACAATAGAAGTCACCTCATCCGTTGCCAGACACGTAATAGCGTGGCAACCCCTTGTCAGAAACCCTTAAACATTAATAAATTGTAACTGTACTTACGTTATAGTGTAAAAGCTGAATTTTAGACATACTACTTTGGTAACTATTAGAAGATGTTTCTCTGTAGCCAGACAGTTTTGACAGTTTTAACCTTTGGCCAGACAAACATATAGGGTAGCTCTAGGCTTCCCATGATGATACTTTGTCAAAAATGAATCAAATTTATTTTATAAACAGCACTTAAAACTGTCGAAACTGTCTGGCTGCTGAGAAAACATCATCTAATGGTTATCCAAGTTACATGTATAAAATTCAGCTTTTCTATTACTCGTATAACGTAAGTACAGTTACGATTTATTAAAGTTGTCTGACAAAGGGTTGCCACGATATGAACTGTTTGGCAATGGATGAGGTTATTTCTAATATTATTCTGAAGAAAATATAAAGAAATTACGCTTTTTTATTTGATAATTTTAAGATAGTATTTTTTACTTCTTTGCTATCTGTTATCTCCCAAAGCCACGATGACCCAAACTTTATACTTGTCCACCGTTCCTACCTGTGTTGGTAGTATGCGCTGACAAATTTTCAACTTTTATAAAATGACGAAGGTCTGGCAACCGCGAGTTCTTAGACTAATAGTTTCTCATTAAAAATAAAAAGGTTGATTCCTACTGCCGGAAGTGCCACCATGTTGAAAATATTTTCATTGAGCAGAATCTATGATTATCTATGATTATGGTAATAAACAAAATTTTAGATGAATATTATTGTTGTAACTTTCAATACTTCTAATGTGGGGTTTAGTGGGAACAGTTTGTATAGTTAGTTACTACGCACATATTATATTTGTTGTGCTGGCCTTTCACCTAATTTTGTTTTTAATACTACAGCATATGTAATTAAAGGAAAATACAGCATCTGAAGTTCACTTCAAATGATACGAAGTTGTTTGATCTCTCCGTGCAATAACATGTTTTCCGATTTCCTAGAACCTAGAAGAACCCTCATTATATGTTAACTAGCTTCATTGGAAGCATAAAAAATAAAAAAACATATTAGGAGTTACTGACGTCAACTTGCACTACCAAAGGCTGGTTTTGATGTAACGTTGTTACGTGTCGTAAAAAAGCGCTGAAAGTGTGAATTGTAGTCATAACAATTTTTCTATTATTAAATAAATTGTTTTCACACTCGTGCTCGGCTTGTGCAGTAATGACTAACATAAAACCATCAATAAAGTGACACACCCTCTGCTTTCTTTCATCGTTATCTTTGGACGGCTTGTCGATAATTTTACGTTTTGTTTTCCTTTGAGGTCGATCAAAAAGTTCATTTCCGCCCCTTTGTTCCTAAATTTGAATCTATTTTTGTATTTGAGGACTTGTGAGTCAAGAGTTGTCCATAAACCTGTATGTGTTAGTCGTAAGAAAAAGGAATAAAACTGAACAAAATCAATATTTAAAGCGGTGTAGAGGCGAGTTTCAACAACCCTGACACATGTATAACAATTTGTTCGTTTTAAATTAATTAAATTTCTTATCACTTCTAAAAGCAAAATTGGGATTTTATTTTGAAACATTTATATATTGTTTCCATTTGGTGTAAAATGTAAGAGCGTGCTGGCGAATTTACGTTTTGTTGTATTTATTTATTATATAAACACAAGTTGAAAGCAATTATGCGAAAGTTTTACGTCGGGTAAGAAAAGCTAAATGTGTGGAAATCACTGGAAATAACTTTCAAGGGTTTACGTAGCGAGGATATTCATTCTGAAAATTATATCATTTGAACTAGGCTAATGGCTAGTTATGTCTAGTACTGTAATAATAATTAAGTAAAGCTCGTGTTAGTTACAAGAAGCAAAATACTCGAGATAGCGAACATCAAAAGGAACACAACGATAAAATTACGTAAATTATCTTTTAACTAAGTCGGTGTTTGTCGTCCTTTTTGTTGCTGCTATTCAAAGCATTTTTAAAGAAACAGGAAAAAGACTCGATTTATTAAAATTGATGTAGATGGGAACGATTTCGTCTAATTAGACAAAGATTCACAAAAAAGTGACAATGTTTTTACCTTCAAAAGTAAGAAAACGGGATTTTGTGGCCAAGTTTTGTTTTACTTCCAACATAAAATATTTACGACTTCCACACAGATCGGATTATTTTCGTTTCAAATAAAGGCACTAATGTACAATGCTTTTGAAGTCAAAAGAAATGAAAGTCACATAGGAAATTCATTTATCAACGTATTTATCAACTGTTCTTAAAAACAGTACAGTTATAGAGAAAAGAGAATGTTCAAATATTTAACAATATTCAGTTATTTCTTCAAGCGTCTTTTTAGATTTGGAATAACAGCTTTGTTTATTTTCTTCATATTACAATTTCTGTGGAAAATATAACTTGTACAATTATTTCCGTTATCCAAATTCAAATTTCAGAAAATTACTAGGATCTACAAAAGAATTTTGCAAGCAACACAAATAAAATGAAAAATGGAACAACATATCTCCAGCTTATTACATCCGACACCAAACAATTTTTTTAAGCTAAAATAACTTTGAAAACTGTTAAACTGTACTGAAATAATATGCATTTATAAATCAATTCATTTTAATTATGGCGTATCAGCAAACGTATGATATTGGCACGTTTTCACCGCTTAAAGTCAGAGAAATTAATTAAAAATAAATTTGTGCAATGTTGAAATGAACCCACCACTTTAATTACAATTTGCTAATAAACCCAAATTTGACGCTGATAGATTAGAATAGCATTCCGACACAAAGTTGTATTAATTATTAAGATATCGTTTAGGATTAAATTCAGGCCAACAAGCTGTAAGGGTATGATGGTGTCGGTGTGGCTATCCGATGTGATTGACTCAATATTCATCTGTCATCATGATAACAGATTATTTCTTTGATTAATTAAACTGCTACAGTGCAAAACTCGTCAATCACTGACTCCGAAAACAACAAAAGTGGAAATTTAACGATCATAATAATTTGATTTGATGTCGTTCGATCATATACGACTATTTCGGTCAAGAGATAAGTATGATAATAACAGTTTTAACCCAGATTTCCTCCCTTTTTCAACACTGTAAAAATTTATTTTCTACTTCAACCAAGCTTTTTTCGTATGAAAGTCAATACGGTTGTATTATTGACCGACTATACACAATAATCGTTATTTCATCCAACGGTTTCCTCGAAAGTTTAATCGAGTAGCATCGAAACTTCAATTATCTGGTTATTGACTCTGATAAATTTTACAGCTATGTGTTATGCTTACCCACTTATTAATAAACATTCCTTTAAGATTAAATTTTCAAATAATATGCTCAATGCGAAACGAAGGATTAATAAAACCGATTTTTCGAGTAATCCTTCCCCGGATTAACCTCTGCACCGTAAACGAGAATGCAATTTAAAATTAATAACATATTGATTATACATTTAGTTTTTGCAAATTGTTTTTTCTAATTATAAAAGCTGTTTAATTATGTTTATATACGAACTAGGTAATTGCATTTTTAATAATTGCGCAAAATAAGTTTTGTAACATAATAATGAAAGTCAAAACTACAGAGATATTTAGTTTAACACAGGAACATCAAAAGCTTTTGTTGAGACAAAATTTTCACACAAGAAGTGAGTTACATGAGAAATTGTGTTTTACCTAAATAAAAACCCCAAACACTAAAAGATGTTGAAATAAAGTTATTGAAAATAGTTTCAGATCCTTGTGAAGTACCACTTTAAGTAATTTACTATTAATGAATTTACCTCCTTCACCTTTGAACCCACATTCCCTTGAAATGGGGGTAAGAGGTCCCAGGTCTACCTCAGTTTTGCAACTATGATCAAATAAGTTCATCAATATTCATACACGAATTATAATGTGGTGAAAATGTTATTGTAGAGTAGAATTTAATTTGGTTTAAATTGGTACAAACCAGGAAATTTTTACAAACGACAGTGTAACCACAAAATTTAAATAATTTAAATTTCAAACACATACTAAATTAGTTAGAAATATTTTGAAATTGAATATCAAAACATCGAAAGCAATTATTTTTCAGTTTCATTTAAAACCATTAATGTATGTCAATATATTGATTTGCAAGCATTTCGCTAAAAAGTTTTATTAAACAAAATATTTGATTTGAAACTGCCCAATTGTTGCTTCCAGGCTTTCAAAATTTGGCAATTAGTCGAAAGTTGCGGTTTGTATTTATAGTCGAAGTGCAATGTCCGCTGAAATCCTCTTCAAACCAGCTTCGTCAGCTTCTCGAGATTCGCTACACCAAATCTTATCTACAGACGGAAAAATAATTTCGTGGTTTTGATAGAGATTTGTTGAACACACAATTAAAGCTCGTCTCGCAACTCGAGAGCTATTAGTTAACTCGAACAACGTAAGCGAAATTGGCTAAATGTTTGTTCTGTTTCAGTGAATTTCGACCATTTTCAAATTTTACGGGCAATAGGAAAGGGAAGCTTTGGCAAGGTGAGTAAATGTACTTTAGTTGGTAAAATGAAGGACTCTTCAGTTGTGTTTTTTACTGCTAACTTCTGGTGTCCTTCACAAACTCGGTTTGGTTGAAATTTCCTCTATGTGTAATGAGGTTTCCAGCACGATACCTCTCTAAATTTAATAGACAACATGGTAATGAGACTCTGTTGTAAGCTTAAGAAGTTTCCAACTCACGGTTCTGGTTGACCCGAAAGGCTTGTTTTATTGTAATGTCGTTTCATTCCCCGAGTTATAAAAGCGGTTTGCAAATTTATTTAAATGTTAACGAAAACGCGGAACTAATTCTGGTAAATAGTTGGAAACAAGAAGTATTATACCTACAATTATTTCACTTTGTAATTGCGAAAAGAAATCCTCCAACACAAAATAGTACTTAGATAATTAGATTAATCGCATTAATTGTTATCCATCACTGGCCCAGTTACACAAATACCGACAAATTTTTCAGTTTTATGTGATTTATTTTTTATTTTATTGTTTGTTGTTTGGGCATTTAAATAGACTAAATTAATTTTAACAAAAATTTTATTTTAGTTTAAAGAAGTTTCATCAATTACCTATATTATTCGTATTTATTAACTAGAATTATAACAGAAAATTTGTTTTTTAAAACTTGTAACAAATTGAATTTCTAATAATAATTACTTACTCAGCCTTAATCTGTGTTTGAAAAATAGTAGCTTGTTTGTTTGTTTTCTTTCAAATGGAGGAACTGATTTTCATTATTTTGTTCGGTTTTAAATTTATGTATACACGTGTACGTTTTGTGAATATAAAGTGATGAATATCATTGATCGTTTTATTGTAAAGCATCTTCTCGTTAGTTGCAAAAGTTAATGTTTAAGTACTCAAGTAAATGTATTCTAGAGACAAATATTTCGCAACCATTTAGAGGAAAGTGAGGTAATTTAACAGAGAGAGTAATTGTGTGCATCTGCTTACATCCTTCAGGGTTTAATTTTAAACGGCCATATCAGTACGATGCTTTACATCCCTAATCGACCGTTTCTAATTTAACCAATGAGGAAAACTTCCTTTTATATAAATTATAAACGGGATTTTCTTTGAGAATGTTTTGGTGAAGACAAAGGGCCGAGCGGTCTTTTCATCAGAGATTTTCCTTGGTTTTGTGATAATTATTTAATTATTTTTTAATTAACTGTTCAGATTTTTTTATGACTGCCTACTCGAGCAATTTAATCCGGTAATAAAATGTTTATGCTCACTTGAAATGTTTTCTTCTCTTTATATCCCACTAATCCAAATAAAATTTTAAAAACACTGCCACTTGCAGACGTTTAATTGCGTTTTAATGAAATTAAACTTTTGTCAACGTGCCATCTGTTTTCGTTCAGTGGATAAAAACAACGAGGATAAAAAAATACGAAAGTTAATTACTATTTCGGTCAAAAAATTCACCTTATTTATAGTTTTCTCCAAGACCAATCTGTTTTCCTGTCTATAACAAATACTGTCGATGTGTAGAATGGAAAGCTAACAATACATAACATTCACGAAGATAAAATTGAATATGTGCCATCAAAGCATGTAGATAACTCCAGCATTGTAAAACTGACAAGTCTTGTAGAATATTAAATTTGCGTAGATGGTGATAAACAGGTAATCTATGTCAAAGTGAAAGATGTTTTCATCTAAAATTAAATCTAAATAGATGTTGTATTTTTTGATAAGGATCACATTTGGTGGATGCGCCGGGCTAAAATTTTATACACTTTTGTGGTAAAAGCTATATATCTGAAATAATCATAACTAAAGAAGGTCGAATTGCGTTCAAGCATAAAAATAAGTAAACAAGTTTTTGTATATGTATTTAAGGTCGGAAACTTAGATCATTCTTTTTAAGTTGAGTGAAATTGTATGTTTTACAAAAATTACATCGTAGTTTGTTTAGTTTGTTTAGTGTGACAAATTTTATTTGTTTTAATGATGAATATTTTTATTTTTTATTTAAAATTTTTACAACTGAATTATAAAAAAAAATTAATCTGGTTGCAAAAACCTTTCTTTTAGTTTCATGAACATCATGAGTTTACATAAGCCATCATCTGATAATTGGAAATTGTAATTTTGCTCAGAGCTGTTTGCAAATTTAGAAAATTTGAAGCCAAATTTAGGCCTCTTATATTGTCTCTAATAAAGCATTTTATGTTAAGTTGTTATTTGAATTGCATTGCCAAATGTTAAATTAGTTGTAAATTAAAAGAGTACTTAATAAATAATCAGTTAGCGTATACCTACATCATATTTATAAAATGTATAACGATTGTATTTGTAATTTTTTTTATTTTTTTATTTAAATTGTAATAGTTATGATAATACTTATAATTTTTGATACAACATCAATTAACGCTCAGTGGTATCTGGGAATGTATTTTGTGTTGCGTCTACAAATCGGGTAGGGTCTTTATCATAAATGACTCGCCCTGTATTTTTTATTGAATGTCATTTTTTGGTTTCAATACACTAGAGATACACCAGTTGATAAAAATGTTTACGTTTACGTGGCCGACTAAATCGATTCTGTACAACCTCCAGACCAAAACGACCAAAAGAAAATATTGCTACTATTTTCTTGTTGTTGCTTGTTACATCCTCTATGCAAATACTTTACTCTTCACAAAGTTTATTTTTATAGTTTTTTAGATGGTAGGCATGCAAGCTGTTGCATGACAATATTAAATACATAAAACTTTTTGTCGACGTTGTAATATTCCAGTAATGGCAATTATTTTTTATCAATAACTGTTGAAAAAGTGGAATTTGAGTGACATGAGGGTTGTTTTTTTGTCCGTTCTGGTCTGAGAAAGGCTTCACTGTTCATTTTCCGACCACTTGTCGATTTCCGCGATTCAAATATAAACGTAGGTGTAAGCAGCTTTAAACGTCGCGGTTTCGTTAATGAATTAACCTTTGATGCGAATGCGAGGATATGGGTTTCGTAAATTGGTTTTGTGATGAGGCAAAACAGATGTATGATTTCTTGGCAATAGTCGAGATTCGAAACTCGTCTTGTGGCGTTCATGAATTTAAAGTAGAAACGGCTGGAAGCATCATCATTTCCAATAGGAAATTCGTTCAAGGTGCGGAACTAAAATCAAGTTTCTCTCAAATGCTAACATTCTACTCGAGTACCAAAAAACTAGGAGTTTTTTGGCAACATAGAAACTGTTTCCACATCAGTGGGATGTTTGTGCAGCAAACCCATTTTGGATATGATTGATTATGAGTCTGCACGGTAGTCGTGATTAACTAATAATTAATTATAATTATTCCCATTCAAATTTGACGCGTTTCAGTTTTGGGTGCAGTGTTTGATATAATATTTCGTAGAATACCAAATTTGTCAATATGATGTCACTGCTGCTAATAGGTGAGCCTGACTGACTTCGACAAAAATTTCTATGTAGATTAATTGAGTTTGTGCGTTTTGAAATTTCGTCCTAATGGGAAATTAAAAACTAATTAAAACTTTCAGCTGTCTATCACTCGATGATTTTGTCAAAAAAGTATGTTGTGTGTGGGATAGTAAATTGTGCAGCAAAAGCATTGAGATTGATATTTGTATCTACTTAAACAAAAATTTTAAAAATTAAAATCGTGAGTTTTATTGCAAAACTATTTAAAAAATTGTAATACAAAACTGATAGACATCGACACTCATTATTGTGAGCTACCGTCATCGCACAAATTAGTTTGTTTTGTTTCAAAATCAAACAATAGACAGTTATTTAGGTACTATTGCAACAAATTAGATGCACAGTATACATATTCTTTAACGTCAAATATTTTTATTCAGTAAAAATAATAAATGCACAATAAAGACAATCAATGTCCAGTAAAACTAATAACCCCACATGTAATTTTTAACAAATTGTTTCCTAGCAAAATCAGAATATCGCAAAGCTAACACATACAGGGTGTCCCACGAGTAATAATGAGCAACCAACATTTCAAAGATAACGTGGATATTAAAATATTTAGTTTTAATAAATTAAATATAGTGACCAAACAGCAAACATCAACTTTAATTTATAAAAAGTGACACCCTTGAGAATTTTGTGAGAATTATTAAAATCTTGCCGAAAAGACCAACAAGATTCTCATTTATGAAGAATGTTTGAAAAACGTTTCGCAGACTGCACGTTTCTATCCAGCGCGATATCCAAATAGGCGAACTTTCTAAAACTGGAGTAGTCATTTTGACTGATAGAAATTTGTCAAAAATAAAAACACGATTACTATGTTTAACTAATTAAAACGAAATATATTAATATCCACGTTATCTATGAAATGTAATGTTGGTTGCTTCAAAAAAAAATTCAGGCTCATTCTTACCCGTAGGACACCCTGTAGGTACTACCCTCTAAGGATAATAAGTATTCGGTAATACTTACAATAATAAATAATATTCTTACCCAGGGGCCATACATTGTTATGAACCACTACTGAAAATTCCTTAAATCTTATGTTATTTTCCTAATTTTGATTAAAAGTTACTGAACGTTTATTATTTTTATTGTGAAAATTATTTTTTTTACCGTGCCCTTTTACATACTGAATAAATTACAATAAAAAACTGTACGTAATTTACTTGGCATGACCCTAGGGGAGAACCAATCTGAATTTAGTATTTAATATAATTTTTTGACTCATTAGCTAATAGTTCTTTATTCGACGAGTTTGAGTGTAAATCGGACGGATTATCTCACCGAGTGGGTTATTAAACCACGAGTGTAACTGGAATAAAACGTCCAATTTTGTTCTAAAATTTTAAAAAACTATTAACGTTAGGATGTCAATTACCATATGTGTTACCAGTTAATAACAAGATACTTTTGAAATGGATAGTTATTTATTTGACGAGTTTGAGTGTAAATCGGACGCATTATTTCACCGAGATTATTAAACCACGAGTGTAATGAGTGGTTTATCATCCACGAAGTGGAATAAAG